AGCCTGAAATATACTCGGGAGTCGAGTGTGGATTTCATGCTCTTTATTCAGCTCATAGTAGTGAGGAATGAAAGGTCCCCCTGAAATGTCTGTTTTATATACATTATTTACACAATGGGCTCCACGTGATTGGCTAATTCCAGGATTCTCCTGTAGGCCAATCAGGTTGTGGATTCAGTTCCATCTGGAGTTGGATTGGGTGGCTCCTGCGGACCAATCAGACTGCTGCATTCTGGATCCTATTGTTCTAGGACCAATCGGACAGCGCCGATTCTGTAGGGCGAGGCGTCGCATGCTAGCACCACCGGCAGCCTCTCGTTGAAGTGTGCCAAGACCGAGTTTGAGACGAGCAAGTCCTTGACTGCCTGGAATGCATCCTCCTGGCGCTGGCCCCACACCCAAGGGGCCCGCTTGTCCAGGAGTCTGTGTAGGGGCTCTGCTACCGCCGCCTTATGGGGGAGGAAGGCATGGTAAAAGTTCAGTAGTCCCAAGAAGGCCTGAAGTTCAGTCTTGCCTTTGGGCACCGGGGCATCACAAATGGCCCGTACCTTGTCCACAGTCGGGTGGACCCCTTCTGCGTCCACCATAAATCCCAGAAAGTCCACCCGAGGCACTCCTAGTAGACACTTTTCCTGCTTCACCTTAAAACCCACCGTCTGGAAACGGTGCAGAATGGTGCCGAGGTGGTCCTCAAACTCCTCTGGCGTGAGCCCAGCAATCAACACATCATCAAAGAAGGGGGTGATGCCAGGAATCCCTTTAAGGAGAGAGTCCATTAGATTCTGGAATATGCCTGGTGCCACGCTGACACCAAATTGCAGCTGCTTTACCTTGAACACCCCTCTATGTGTCACAATCGACTGTGCCTCTGCTGTGGCCTCATCCACAGGCAGCTGTTGATAGGCTTGGGCCAAGTCCAGCTTGCCAAAAAATTTTGACCCAGCCAGGGTGGCGAGGACATGGCTGACCACTGGCACTGGGTATGCATGGGCCGTGAGAGCCTTGTTTATGGTACATTTGTAGTCTGCGCAGATGCGGACCGAGCCATTATGCTTGACAGGTGTGATGATCAGGGTTTCCCAGGGGGCATTAGGCACAGGTTCCAGCACTCCTTCCTCCACGAGCTGGTCCAATTCCTCGTCTATACGGGGTTTCAGGGCGACCTTGAGCCTCACAGGTCATACTGCAGGGTCAAGCTGTAGGGCAATGGGGGGGCGGGGCATATACTGTCCCAATTTCCCATCGAAAACCCCCGGAAATTCCTAGCATATGGCGTCCACATCCACTTGTAAGCTAGTGTGGTTCACCCCGGTAACGGCTAGCCCCAGTGGTCCAAACTATGCCAATCCCAGTAAGCTAACGTAGGGCCCCTTGACCACAAGCAAGTCCAGTTGCTGTGTCCGCCCTGAAGGTCCCCACCCCCATTGTGGGGACCTCACATTTCTGGAGGTCCTAGAGGGTGAATGGGGCCTGCCTGAGTTTGGGACCCCCACTAGGGCATAGTTTCCTTAAGGTCCTTGCCGAGATTATGGACAGAGTTGAACCCGTGTACATGAAGCACGGGCCCCCCTCTATCTGTACCTCTACATAAATTTTCTCTATGTTGGGTGAGGCAACTGGTATACCTGGCAGTCCGTGACCTCTGTCAAGTTGCCTTGGTGTGTTGGGCCCCAGGGCCTGGGGTTCTTGGATTGGTCATCTGATGCCTGGCGTCAGGTGGGCTGAGCCCAACACACCCGAGCAACGTGTCCCAATTTTCTGCACTGCCTGCACTCTGCGTTGCGGAAATGGCAGGTCCTCCTCTCGTGACTCTCCCCGCAGCTTGCGCAGTTCCCTCCTTCTCGTCGAGGCAGCTGTGGTCTGTGCGCTGCTTGAGTGTGCCGCTGTACTCGGTGCACCTTCTCCCTGTCGGATCCTGATTTGTCGGCAAGGTCTTCGTGGTGGACCCTCAGTTGGGACGGCAGGCTTGGCCGTGCCTTTTGCGTCGACCTCTTGGCAGCTTCGGTTGCCAGAGCCTCCTCCAGCGCGACCTGGAACGTTAGGTCCTTCTTGGCGTAGAGGCGTCGTTGCAGCTTCTCATCCTTCAGGCCACCGACGAGGCGGTCACGAAGCATGTTCTCCAACTCTGAGAAGTTGCAGAACCGGGCGGCTTGGTGGAGGGAGGTCACAAACCCAGTTATGGTTTCCCCAGGGGCTTGCCGCTTTGCGTAGAAGGCATTTCGAAGAGCCACCACCGAGGGCTCTATCTCTCTGTCAATCCCTGTACGGGCCACCACCGAGGGCTGTGGTGAGAAGTGTCCCTTCAGCCGTTCCATTATTGTTTTGTAAGGAACAGTAGCGACGTCTTCAGGCGCAAGGAGAACCCGGGCAATTTCGAAAGTCTCCTCTCCGCAGACACTGAAGAATATCGCTCTCTTCTTGGCGTCTTCTTCATCGGTGACCCCTTTGGCTTCTAGGAGGAAGGTGAAATGGGAGGCGTACGCTTCCCAGTCTCCGGATGCTGGGTTGAATGGCAAGAAGCTGCTTTTGGTTGCCATTCTGAGTTCCTTGGGTCCCGGAGCTGAAGCCTGGATACACGGTGCGAGGCAGCCGAGTAGCAGGTGGCGGTGCTGTGGTGCTGTGTGTGGTGGTCAGCTCAGCGGGAGCCCACCTTTGTCGCCAGTGAAATATACTCGGAGTCGAGAGTGGATTTCATGCTCTTTATTCAGCTCATAGTAGTGAGGAATGAAAGGTCCCCCTGAAATGTCTGTTTTATATACATTATTTACACAATGGGCCCCACGTGATTGGCTAATTCCGGGATTCTCCTGTAGGCCAGTCAGGTTGTGGATTCACTTCCACCTGGAGTTGGATTGGGTGGCTCCTGTGGACCAATCAGACTGCTGCATTCTGAATCCTATTGTTCTAGGACTAATCAGACTGCTGCATTCTGAATCCTATTGTTCTAGGACCAATCAGACTGCTGCAATTTGGATCCTATTCAACGCAGTACATAACACAGCCTTAAAGTGTTATTCTAAAGTGTTATTCTGGAATACTTTTAAAACCTTCCCAAGCTACTTATTTTGGGCATGTGCTTGCCTTGCTATATTTAAGCAAAACCACGATTGCTAATTCCACCCGAAAGCAACCTTGAGAATGGAGGCTGCAAAACATGTTTATTTTTAAATTAAGATAAGTTAACTGAAGAGAACGGCATTGCCAAACAGACGCTCGACTCCCAGAACCGAACGAGTACATTTCATCCTTTCCCGCTACCCTCCACGAGGCAGCCTGGGACTACACTTCCCAGCGTCCATTGCTTCTGGGTCCTTACATTCAGGATTAGCCAAGGCTGATGGTTGTCATTGTGTCAGAAGAATTACGTTAGCACAGATTACGACTTTGTTTTGCAGCATAACAAGAAGAGTAGCTTCTGTCGTCTGAGGGAGCCTTCTGAGAATCTGCAGCGGGGTCCCTCGGCCCTAAGAAAGTGACGCTTCTATCCCGGCGCTACTTAGCGCGCCTCTGCTGCTCTGGGGGCCTCTCGTCGACGACGGCGCTTTAGGAAACGTCACGTCGTTCCGGTTTTTCAAAATGGCCGCGGTGTCGGCGGCAGTTCGCGTCCTGGGTTATTAGTGCGCCTGCCTATCGGGGGGGGCTCCGGTCTCCTTCACCTTTCCTTCCGAGGCGCCCAAGAATTCTGCGATACTCCAAACTGGCCCTCGTTCGCATTCAAAATAAAAATTAAATATGAAGCCAAGCAAGGTATGTCAACGCGGTCTTACCAAGACTTAAAATACGTTATTTGGGAGGCCAAGTATTATTACGGAGGCTCCAAGAACAGGAAACGCCTCGGCAAGGGAAGATTTCGAGCCAGTTTATGTGCTGGAAACAAGTTTCTGGGATGCCAAGAACTCGCTCCGACAACGTTGGGTAAACACGACTTGTTTCCAAGTGAGGGGTTGGGGGGAGCTGCAACCAGCTAAAAGGTTTCCGCCATATTTTAGTATAGTAGATCAAATGCTAGCAATTCAGTTTTTGATATGGGAGCTATTGCTCCCCCCTCACGTGTTCTGTGCAAATTGCTGGGGTTTTTTAGACTAATGTATGGTGAATTAGATGTTATGAGTGCTTGTTATGAATTTTATGAGGCGCTTTAAATTCCAGTTTTATTTAGTTAGTGTCTTTCAATTTTTAATCTAGGCCATCTTGGAACAGCATTACTCAATAATTGTGGCAGATTTACTGAAACATTGACTGGTCAGAAAATGGCACACACACAAAGCTTATTTCTTCAGTCCTTTGAGCTGTGAATTTAATGCTGCCTTTTACTTGGTTTATGCTTATTTTATAATTTTTGGATTACTTTGTTACTCTGCTGGATGCATTGAAGTTATCCTGGGAATTTTCCACATTGAAGCGTGTTATATACAAGGGTTAAAATAAAGACTATGATTCTAATATTCTCTAAAGTTACTTATGGATTTCAAATGTGTCCTTCCAACCATGTGGAATAAAAGCAATACAATGCTGTACAATCAGTGCAGTGGGCCCAACCCTCAGCAGAGCTTAGACAAAGCACTTCTTGAACTTCAGCCACGTGACTCTCTTGTTCAGCAAGCATTTTAAAGCAGTGGTTGAGTTTATAATTTATTATTTTTTAAATATATGGTTTTTAAAAAATGTCATTGAATAGAAATTCTAATGATTAAACAATATATATTTTAAATAAAAAAATCATGTCTACTCAAAAGTCTTACTGATTTCAGTGGTGCTAACTCCAACATAATTGGTTATTGGCTAGGAGCCTGAGTGTATGCATTAATTAAGCTGGTTCAGATTCTATAGAGTGAGTCACAACATAAAAGCCTTTGCTTAATGGCAAGAAAGAACAAGTGGTTATTTCTGGGGAACTTCATTTAGGTGCTTAAAACTCTATTAAATTGGTTGATGTGTCATGTCAACATCACATAAAAATGTAAATTCTTTTAGGCAGCACTATACAATAAAATAGAAGATTTAAACCAGTGCAAAGTTTATTGGAACTTCAGGTACCTCCATTTCAGGAGGCTTTCATTGAAAAGCAGTCAAAAACCTGATGGCATTGCCACTTCTCTGGCTGTATAGTTAACTCATATCCTTTATAACCAAAGCTGCTGTTCCAGCCATTATACACTAGCAATATTTATTAGAAAAACACTGGCTCTACAGTAATCCCCTCGCATAGGAACATCAGAAGCAGATGTCCTGCACAACCCTCAGTGGGTTACAGCATTAAAACCTCCAATCAAGGCTTTGAAGCAGGAACAGCCAAGGCAGAGCGGCTTCACTGGTGCACTTGTAAGCCAGATATATTGCCATCAAGAAGCAGGCTCTATTCAAGTATGTTACCGTAGAAGATGTGTACGTCAAAAGCCCTTCTTAAAATGAAGAGCTATATTTATTACCTGATGCTCTGGTAGACCTAGCTTTGCTTTTCGCATTAGTGGTCCACATGTATAGTCCTATGATGCCGTAGGAATGTTTTTATTGTGTATTCTGATTGTATCTTTGTGTGCCTTTTGCACTGCTGCCCAATGTTCTATATTTTCCACTACAATGCAGTCAAAGACCAAAAACTGAATGGCCATTGTCTATGTTTGCACTCCTATTCAATGCCCAAGGAAGAATTATCTACTTCAAGATGTGAACATCTGCCTCCTTATACAAAAAGTCAACAAAAGTTGTTGAGTTTTGAGATGTCATTCACATCTACAGCAACTTTCATTAGAATTTTGTTCTGTAGAGGAAAAAAAGGCTATAATCCATCTACATTTCTAAGCTAAAAACAAACTCAAGCCACATGTTTTCATGGAAGACAGCAAGATTAAGAAGGCCAGCTAACAAGGTTTGTTTGCTCTCTAAACACTGAAAACTTACTAACCCCATTTATTAGAGTGTTCTGCAAGTACAGTGGCTCACTGAATTTGCCAGGGGTTAAGCAAATAGTTCCAAGATATTCAGGAGGACCCATTGGAGGCAGCCTGATGGCTATATAGATTCGATTCTTACCCTTGCCCTAGCTTTACTAGTCTTCCTTATCAGTATGTGACCTTTAAAAGCCAGGGCATGAATTTCCTCCACTGTCAAAAACACCTCCATCCAAATGGGGGAAAGGAACAAGAGGGATTGAGTAAAATGACTGCAAGCTTTCATAACATCATTCCTCTCCACCTCTCAAATCACTACTGGTTTCTTCTAGACTGAAGTGTTTCAAAGTTTCTTCTTGCATCTGCTTTAAACACAAATCCTGTCTCAAATTTCTTCTAGGGTAGCAGATTCTTCTTAGGTTCTTGTACCCAGTTCTGCTAGGTAGAAAGATCAACCACCAGTTTGTTGACAGGGCCATGGTATGCAAATATTCTGTGTGGATGACATCACACTGGATGTTCCCACTCATCTTCTACTTCAAAACTAGGGTAAAGTAGAAATAGAAACACAGTGTTTCCATTCTGCAGTTGCTTTCTAAGGAGAGAAAAATGCACACACTGGCTTTTCCGATCTGGTAAATGCCCATCTTGTAGAAGTCTCTCCCTTTGGCTAACTGTTTGTCCACCAGGATAGGAGACCCAGACCAGGCTCACTGATAGATCCCTGCACAGAGAAAGAATATATGTTAGAATTTAGCACATGAAAATCTGGGTTATCCATCTAATCTGCAGTATTCTGATTTCTGAGTTTTTCATTCTGAGGGCACGTAGAGATCCTCACATACCCTTTCCTCACAATTATAAATAGTTGAAAGAATAAGGTCTACATCCTGTCACCAAGGATGTGACTACTTTTAGGTAGTGAAAGGATATTTCAAAAGCCTATGTAGAAAGGAGTAGTGTTAAATAGTTACCACTAGTGTGTAGGGGGCTTCCTTCTTCTGCACCTCCTCTGTGGCACTAGAGGTGGAGGGCTCTGCAGAGCTTGGGCCTGTTGGGGATGTGTCAATGAAAGTTTCATCAACCACCCGGAAACGGATTTCCTCTCCTGTATCCATATACAGGTCATGGGCTCCTTCTTCGGTCTCATATTCCCAAACCCATACTTGTTCTGCTTCATCACTGGGCACATAGAGAGTTAAGGCAACAGTGCGATAAGAAGGCATAGAAGTTAAAATTCAAGTATGAAATCCCTTTTCTGAGATTGGCTCTCACAGCTTTGTAACTTAAGTACAGTACAAGTAAAATAATGCTAAATTAGATCACTTTCAACAGCAATGGAAACTTTTCTGCTGCAAATTATCCTAAATGCATTCTGGAAAATGCATTTCGCTGTCCCCTGTACAAGGTTTTCTCACAGAACACAGACCATGCTAGATCTGCTAATAAGTGTCTCTTATGTTATGCAGCAATAAAACTGAATTCAATCCAGCAACTAACCATAGGTCTCAGGATGGGAACAAAGAAGATGTTTGACTTGGACTGCCGCTTCCCAAACCTCAGCTGATCTCTTCATATTAATGCCCTTCGCACCACTGCCCTCAACTCAACTAATCTTTGGGTTGAATCCAATGTGCAAGCAGAAGGCAGCTTTGTGCAATGGATCTTTTTCTCTTCCCCAACAGTTTCCACAAAGCTTCCCTACAGAGTCTGGGGGCCCTGCCAAACATTGAAGGCTGCGTCCATCCAATGCCACAGAGTTTGTGCCCGGGGAGGTTGCCTAAGATTAGGCGAAGGAATCTTGTGCCCTGCAACCCTGACCTCTTACACCTGCAGCACCAGATGATACAACTCACAATGTCTGATAATTCCTCTCTAAATAAGCTGGGGGGGGGGCAGGGATGAGGGTAAATGAAAGATCCATTGTGAAAGTGTTGGATACACCCAGTTTTTCAAAAATTATATGGATGCTTTCCTGAGCTATGGAATAGTGACTTAATGTTAATATTAGTCTAGCATTAAATAACAGACAATCTACTGGAACGTTTTGCAACATACTCATAGGGGTTTTTGCATTAAGTAAAAACAGACTCCATCTGAAGGGAAGTAGTTTTCATATTATACATCTTTAGACATCTAGCATCACGGAGCTGTTTAGAGGATACAACTTGGCAGGTTGCTGTAGGGATTCTGGAGGAATGATGATATCATCAAAGAACCCAAGTGAAACTACAAAAAAGAAGTTCAGATTAATAAAGAAGCAAGATGGATGCAATGTGATTCCTAGGATTTAAGCTTTCCTCATGTCATCACCTAGTGGCATATCCAATAAGGAATCTGAAACTACGTCCCGCATTCTCTCCGCTGTACTGTAAATTTAATAAATGCAGAATTAGAATATCCATCAAGACAATAAAGAACAACTTTAAGCCTCAAATATGTTTTTCCACCTTTCGTTCTCTATTGACTTATTTTTATTTATTTATTTTTCAGAAAAGAAACTGAAGTTCAGTTCTTTTGGCAATGTTTTGCTGCTATGAAGGAGTGGTTCCAAACATCTTAACCATAGTAACTTCAAACTTTATTAATAGAACAGTCTTTCTTTTGAGACATATCTACTGGTTATCTTGGTATAATATTTCATAATTCTAGACACCCACTGCAGTCCTACCCACAATATTCCCGTGATTATTTGGTGAATTACTAGTAAAAGTTAAAATTTACCCCGAACTCCTTCCAGACTGCAGCCTTTTATTACTCCAACCAGAATTTCATCCAGAAAGGGGTGAAACACAACATACCGAAAATGCACTGAAAAAGAAAAAAGCAACACAATATGCTGCTTGAACAAGTCACGATTCACTCCCTCCCTATGGATCGCTAAAATAACAAACCAATACAGTGGACACTCGGGTTGTGAACGTGATCCGTGCGGGAGGCGCGTCCGCAACCCACAGTGTCGGGTCTGCACAGGTTGCGATTTGGCACTTCTGCGCATGCGCAGAAACCCGGAAGTAACCCATTCTGGTACTTCTGGGTTCGGCACGGTGCGCAACCCAAAATTGCGCAACCCGAAGCATCTGTAACCCGAGGTATGACTGTACTAGCATTTTGCTATTTACTAGTTTCTGAAAAAACTTTGATAAATAATGAATGGGCTGAGCAAGCTGAAATACCACCATACAGTGGTACTCCCATTTCAAGCCAAAACCTCCTAAGTTTCAGTGGCTGTTCCTACAATCACCAAAGCAAGTGTGGCAAAATGTTTGTAGTTGTTGTTTAACAGAAGCATAAGGGTTTTGTCTCTTTAAATAAAGGACATGGGCTCCAATGGGAAGGTGTAAATGCTGTAGTAAATGCAGGGCAGAACCAAAAGACCCAAAACCACGATACTGGCAAAGCATGGGTGGGTGGAGTTGGCACTTGCTTCTGACCTTCTCTACTTGACAAAATCCAGTATCTACACTCAGACATGCACACAGCTGGATGTATAAGTGGAGACACTCATGTTTAGGGGTCTAAGAATTTCAAAATTGCCATGATCGCACATCATTAATTGCACCTCTCCATCTCTCCAAAACTATCTGAGAAATCCTAAGGAAAACTATGCTTTCAATCTATGCTTCTATGTCATTGCTCTAATGATGTGCATAGCATATCAGTCCAGTTTCTGGGCAGCTGTGTCAGCTTTTTGAGATTCTGCAAGCCTGGCAGACTGAAAATAGACTTGTTTTGATCGGTAACTAGAGCAAATAGGACAGTGCTGAGTGAACTGCAGCAGTAAGGGAAATGAAGATTAGAGTGGCCCTGTTTGCACCCAAGTCGTCTTTTAGATTTGTCTTGTCAGATATTAGATGTACAAGATAAATGAAGGTCAAGACACCAGCAGTTTCTAGAGTGAACAACTGAAATACACACTGGAAAAAGTCTGTCAGTACCTTTCATTTTCCGTAAGAAACTGATGAATAAAAAAATAGCAAAAACAAGTCAAGGGAAAGGATAACAACAAGTGTCATTTATGCAGGAGCATAAAGGTACATATTATGCACATTGCAAGTAATATACTATCACCATTCCATGACTGATAAATCCATCAGCATTCTAAAGGAGAACATTGTAATAAGTTGAGAATTTAAGACAGGGATCACCAACTTTTTTTGACCAATTGGCATGTTTTTAATTTTGAGAGCCCTGTTGGCACTAGTTACAAAATGGCTGCCATGGAGGGACACGGCATAACACAACATGGCTGCCATGTGGTGCGTGGGTAAAACACCCCCCCCCCGGCAGCCTGATAGTTGAGACGCAGCTTTTAAAGGCACAAGAACCCTGCTTTTCCAAATGTGAATCCGAAAACAAAGCCTAAACCGCACCCGGCACCCACTTACTTGGGATTGTCCCATTGTAAACGTGCTTCCAAAGTTGGCATATACACCGTGGTACTGCAAGCTATTTATACCATGCTTTTTAATGTGTGCCTGCACATCAGATCCTACACAGGAGATATGTCTAAGCAATAGGCATGGCCAATAAAGTGACCACCTGTCAAAGTGGCTCATGGAGGGCTGGTCACTTCTGGATCTAGTCCACCTGCTGAAGTTGCTCCCCAACCCTGCCATAGGTCAGCATATCATATTTCTATTTCTCCAGCCTAGAACATCAATATCAACATGTAGAACAAGCCTACCTCCTTGAGAATATTGGCAATAGGTAAGAAAATGTGGTACTGCAGCATACCTAGTGTGTCACCATAACTCTCTTAAGGGATAGCAAGTTCTAAGGATTAAATGAAATGAAAGGGACTTCTTCTGATTTCTGCCTATGAAGCAGTTCCCAAATGTATTTGCTACAGAAAGTATCTGTTGCTTTACCAGCAAAACGTAGATTCCGACAAAGAAAATAGAGATCTTAAAGTACTGTAGTGCTGTCTACTCGTGTTCATACTGCTTTAGGCACCTCTTTTAAATTTTGTGGTTGTCAACTCTCCTACCAATCCAAAGCACTCATATTGAGAAGAATGAGAGGCAAACCTTTTGTATGTGATGCACCATCTCCTGGGAATATGTAGGAATCTTCCAGTTTTGTGATGTCGTAAAGGCAGATGCAGAGGCCAACATTATACACAACCTGTTTGGGGGTGGGGAAGACAAAATCCGGAGAGCAATAAATTCCAGCCACTAGAGGAAATGTGTTAAGCCTTCCTGAAACAATATGCCAGAGTTTATGAACAAGGAAAGCTGGGCAGATGAACCAAACTGGTGAACTGATTCAAAATAATTGTTTAGCAGAAAATTATTTATACGTGCTGGCCTCAACTGGCAAAAGCAGTAGAGAAAGATGAGATAATTAAGAAGAAATTTGAGTGTGTTTCCTAAACGGATGCTCCACTTCTAGTTTCTACTTATTTTTTGCCTCCCATTTACTTTCTAGTCTTACACTACAATGCATCTCACTTGGATACTGAATTTAGACTGGTCAAAATCTGGTAGTTATTTTTCCATAGTTGTGCAAACTACTGTAGCCACTGCAATTACACCAGTTAAGTTATGTGATTTTGCATCATGCCTAGTATTACATGTGACATTATACTCTTTATTAACACTAAGCCACAGATGCTATTTTCAGTCAACAAACTGGTCTGTTTCTAAAAATCTTCACATTTACAATAGTTGCCCATTAAAAAACTTTAGTCAGCCGTCATGGCCTACAACACTTAAGCTTTACCTTATTGGCTAATTTCTTATTCAACTCTTCAGTGATAGCATCATTAAGCTTCCTTTCAAACTGCCATGGAGGAATCCGCACAGTATCTGTCATCTCCACTAACACAAACATGGTGGCCAACAAGAGTAAAGCTCCTGAAAGAGGAAAAAAGAAGAGTCAGCAAGACAAATGTTCTTTTCTGCAATGATGGTTGTGACAGCAGGTGGTAAGATGCTGAAGTTTCTGTGACTCTGGTGGATCTTGTTCCATTGACCTAATCTGGTGTACATTTCAATTCCTTGTAAAAATCAATGGTTATTAAAGAATTTTGTAACCATTCTGAGCAAGCTAATTTGATTATGAATTACGGTATATCGTCAGATTTTACATTAGTTATTTTTAACATATTTTTATTTGTCTATTTTCCAACCTTATTTGATGGAAAATGTCTACTATCTGCAGTGTGCTGTGAAATATCCTATTTATCATAAAATAAACCATGTTTTGTTACTTTAAGATACTTAATACCATTTTCTTAACACATGACCTCAAAAGTGGTATACCAAACAATACTGCCATAATTTAATAGGCTAAAATACATTCAATTATGCTGAGAATTAAAATGGCAAGCACAGAACTTATATTTAAAGTACTAGGGCACATAAAAAGCTTTTTTAAAAGTAAGGTTTTTAAAATATGCTCTAAGCTTATGAAGCATTCAAAAGCTCCTCGGGGAAGAGTTTCACAGGACAGAACCCGAACAGATCATGTGAATGATAACGTTGATCGTGATTTCATATCAGGATGTCTTTTTAAGACCAAAATTACAGTAACCGCAATAAAAGCCCTGAAGCTAGTGCAGGGGAGGAAAAGAGGGAGTGTGCTGGTGCAAGCCTTGATCTTGGCTTAATAACCTATTTTATTAAGCAGAATTCTTATGTCTAAACTGGCCCTTGGAATCTCTTCAGATGTAATGACCAGCAATTTGATAAGAAAAAAAATTAGGTAAAAAAAGAACCACCATGGATTTCTGAAGTTAAACATTGGCGTGTTCTGGGTATGCACTCATATCTCACAGGCCCATGCATCAAATTCAAGTGCATCTGTTTTATTTGCCCTGCAACATGCTCAGTTCTAAAACCCGCATGTTTCCATGCTTGGAATACTGGACTAGGACTGTGGACCTCTAGGTTCAAATCCTCAGAGACATACAATTCACCAGATAATTATGGGTTACCCATTCATTCTTAGCCTATCACCGTCACAGTATTGCTGTGAGGATAAGGGGTGGTGGGAAAGAGGGAAGGCCCATGTACGTTGACCTAAGTCAGATAACGAATACTACAGACTGAGCATCGTGCACGTTTGGTTTTCCATTTCGTTGCACAGCACTAATTTGCAGAGTAGCAATCGCTAGAGTCTCGGAAAGCTAGAAACATCTACGGCCTGAACCCATTTACTCTAAAATGCACCTTTTGCACTACAGAAATGTAATCTGCCCGAATTTTCTCATAAAATGGGACGTAAACGCTAAGCAGAAGAATGGTGTGCTTGAAGGCTAAGGCTTACACGATCGTGTGCATTAGGAAGGGAGCCCACTGAACCATGTGCGTGGCCGGGAGAAGAGCCGTCCTGGCTCTCCAGATCCTCCTCCTCCTCCCCTTTCTTCCCCGCTGTCAGAGGGATCCCCGGCACCCGCTAGCGGGCCGAGGCCGACGGAGGAGCGGCGGCCGAGGCCTGAAGGCTCCCCTGCAAGCCTCCGCTCACTCGCAGCAGCCGAGCAGCCCCAGCCCTCGCGGCTCCACTCACTCGCCTCGCGATCGCGGCTCCACGGCGACCAGCTGTCCGACGGCAGCGGCAAGATCAGCGCCCCTTCTACCAGAAGACGGAGGGTCGCTGGCAACCGCGACCTTACACGGAAGACCGGACACCGTCTCTCGAGCACGCGACGCAGACTTTTGCTAGAGGAAAATGCTGTTTTGCTTTTGCCCGACGGCGCTTTATTCCGAGCGCGCATGCGCAAGAGCCCATAGGGCGACGGGGAGGAAACAGGAAGCCGCTAGAAGGCGCGTGATGGCGGGTGCAGGCGGCAGGATTGTATAGGAAGCGTCCCATGCGGGAGTATTTTTGTAGCAGGTGCAGTCCCGCTTGTGAAGACCCGCAGCCAGGATTTTTGTTGGGGGGGGGGGCAGAACCTCCGTTAGCTATGTATTTTTATTGATTTGGAGGGTGGGCAGCTGTCCCTCCCCGCCCTCCTTCTCTACGCCCATGGCTGTACTTATCCTATATATTTTGGCCGCTTTGAATTTTGTCGTTTGCCAGTAGTTGTTTTTTGTACAGCATTGCTATTTAACTAAACGCGAAGCGCGCCGGTGTATACACAAATATTTATAACGGACAAAAAATACTTATTCTTTAGTCGTACTTTTATCTATTGCAGCATACAGCCGCTCTTTGTCTCTACCCTCTGCTGTCAGGTTTTGGGTTCCAGCAAGACTTTTGGTTGGTTTTGCTGCTTTCCCAGCTGCTCTTCAGAAAAGCTTCCGATGATTCAGCCGTCATCCTTCATACGAAAACACCCACTTATGGGTTTGTAAGTGTTGGCTGCTTTTCAACACGCCCCCCCCCGCCCAATGCAAAACAGGCGCCTCGTGTTCTCTAACGCTTTAACATCACCCACAACTGACGTATTGGAGGAGTTAAAAACATTACACGCAAACACTTCCCAAGCTGATATGGGGATCAGGGACTTTGCCTTGCATAGAGCTGCAAATCAACCATCGAGGCTTCTGTTGCTACTTTCAGGTTGGGGGAAAAAAGTATAGAAATTACCTATATAAAAAGTTTAGGAAATTACCCCTAAAGAAAGATAAAGGATTCAGCATTGGTTTTTGTATGCAACTTCGCTGGTCCTTCCGTACCCCCAGCTACGTTGAACGAAACCACCACCCTGAAACCAGTTGATAACAGCCCTTTGTAATGCAATCCTATGCAGGTTTATTGAGAAGTAAATTCCACTGTGCATAATGGGCTGTACTACACTCTGGAACGAATTAAGTGCTTAGCCAGAGGTACCACTGTATTCCCTAGGAGGAGCGTTTAGTCTTAAAGGCTACTTTTCCCTTTCCCGCCTTTCTACCAAGAAGAGAGCAAGAACCGCAATTCCCAGCATCCTTTGCTTCTGGGTCCTGAACTTACCGATTAGGTGGCTATGTTGTGCCTGTGCTCCAAATGTTCAAGCTGAACCGTTTTGTTTTTGTAATGAACTGAGAGCGGGGTGGGGCTTGGCGTAGTAAATGCCAGATAACGGAGGAGACCGGCTGTTCAGCAGCCTAAATGTGTGCATCTTCCCGAGGGCTATTTATTGCTCAGGCATTATTTTAGTCGCGTCTTACTGTTTCGGGGTCTTCTCGGCTGCAAGGGCGCTTTGGCTCGAGTCAGTGAGCGTCCAAGATGTCGGCGCCGTTGGCGGTAATTTCAGGTACGGGGAGGCCCGTGTGGGGCCCGGAGGCCGTGAAGGGAGGTGTCGGTCCCGCAGTGTGACCCCGGCTCCCTCCCGCCCCGCCCCCCCCAGTTCGGGAGCGAGGGGCTCCTGGCGCCCTGGCCGGCGCCCTTCTCTTCACGGCGGGAGGGACCATCGTGCGGCCCGTCGTGGCGCCTCCTCCTATCTTCCACTGCAACGTACTATTGACGGCGTTCCTACATATATGCCTTTCAATCCTCCATGCGGCTACTCGGAAGTAAGTCCCGTTGATTTCAATGGGATTTGCTACCAGGTAAATGGATGAAAGGTTGCATCCCACAGCTGCATCGTGCCGGTCCTTTCAGTTCGTAGCGCCTGTCAATTAGCTTCGCCCATACAATTTTTACAGCTCGGTTCCAGTACATAAATGTAACCGGCAATAAATCGGTTTGGGGGGGGGTGTTAGATAAGTAGGATGCTGCCCCTCTCTCCCCTCGCGCCAAGACTCACTGCTATGACAATGTAACTCATCATAGGGCTCCTCCTGGGTCATTCAGAATTCTCTGTGCTTTCTGCTTGGTAGCCTCTGATCTCGTCCATTTGACTACAGTACACTGATAAACATTCAGTAAAATAATGACGTTATGGAACTTTTAACGAAAAGGTTTTTTGAAGTTTGTTTTGGAGTTCATACATCTGGCAGAATAACTTTCATCATACTTGGAACACTAATCTCCATTGGTTAAGCACACTTTGATGCAGCTAGAATGGCAATTGTAATTGCCTGAGAAGCTGCGGCTTTCCTTGTGTTTGCCTACTTTTCATTTCCAAGTTACTAATACATTTAGCTGTCGAGATGCTTCATTTGTTGCATATTTTCTATATGGGAAACACTTTTGGTTAGGAAATGGAATAAACTCCCACGTCCGTCAGAATAACTTGGTTCGTGCAAATACACAAGTGTGAGTGCTCCCAGAGTGGAGACCATGGCTGCTCTTCATCTGTGGGTAAAGGCATGGTTTGGCATAGCACATTGTCCAAACTTGGGCTTGTGGTTTGTCTCATCCAATCAAATCATGAGCTGTAATCAATGATTTGCCTTGGTTTACAACTTGTGGTTTGCCTAGAGGAGACAAGCCATGAGCACAGGTTCTAATGACATGCTAAGCTAAACCATGGGGTAGCTCTCAGCAACACAGCAAGACCAGGGGAGGAGGAGGAGGAGCAAAGCAGCTGTAAGCTCCGCTTTGGAAGGCTGCATATTTGTGCTAAGTCATAGTTCAACTTAGCGGTTCATGCAAACTGAGGCATTGTGTGCCCAGTGGCTCCTGCCTGGGATCTTCACACGTGCGAGTGTGAGTAGAGGTTTTATGCTTTGTCCTGTGCAAAGCAGCTGTTTGGGATATTTAATATAAAAGGCAACCTAAAGTCTGTGCTGGCTCTTGCATGAGAACTCCTTTTTACTCCCCTTCCCCACTCTTTGTTCCTCTAATCAGCTGAAATGCATCTGAAAATTGGATGAAGGGTACCATTATCATATTGGTGTGTGTACTGTATGCATGTGAACATTCTCCATCCTGAACCTCAATTACTCCAGCATATCTGGCTTGGGGGTTGAATTATTCTGTTTTACATAAAGTGAATGCAAGAAACCCCCATCTAGTGTGTATCTCTTCAAGACTGCAGCAGCCACTACTGCTTATAATACAGTAAAGATGGCATTACTATCTGTATGGCAGCAGGACTGCTGGTTTTGCTACACCTTTTAGATAATTCATTTGATTTAATTGTGTTTTTGTAATGTTTTGTCACAATTTCCTGTTGTGAAAGTATTGTTTATATTATTTTTAGCTGCCAGTTTGTGGGGGCCCTACAAAGACATTTGGCAGGCAGTGGTTAATGCTATCTGGAAAAGGCAACCTGAAGCAACACATCTTCTTGACCAGATCTTAAAGAAATACAAGTCTGACTTCATATCTCTCTTCAGAAATCCGGTAAAAAGTAAACCTTTGCTCTATTGGGAGATGGGTGGTAAAAAGTTTAGTTGGTATTGCACTTGCTTATTTAAGTCATGTTTCATATGGTAACTGTATTAAGACTGCACCTAATGGGGAAATGCTGTTGAGCTCATTCTCATGGTTTGGAGAATTGACAGTATGATGACATACTGTACATATGAAATGTCATCTCATTTTTCTTATGCATTTTTGGTCAGAGTTGGCAATTCTAATTTCTTTGTTTTGTAGCCAAAGAATGCCCAACAGCATGAAAAGGTTCAGAAGGCAAGTACAGAAGGAGTTGCTATCCAGGGCCAACAAGGAACCAGACTCTTACCAGAGCAGCTAATCAGAGAGGCCTTTATTCTGAGTGATCTTTTCGATATTGGGGAGTTGGCAGCTGTTGAACTCCTTCTAGCAGGTAATGTGATATTGGAATGGGAACAAGCTGACCTATTCTATTCTGTTCTATTCTATTCTGAAGAGACATACCTCTGTTTTAGGGGTATGTCTGTGTCTCTTCATAGCTCTTGTCCCTTTACACCATTAGCAGAAGTAGAATAGATGATTCAAAATAAAAGTAGCAGATTTTCATAATTACTAAAGCTGGAATAATTTCTTACAGAATGTTATATGCATGTTTGCATGCATATATATACACACCTTACTTGCTCATGAGGCTGTAAAATTGTCAGGCTAATTGCACAACAGTTATTAAAATATTAATTTAATATTAAAATAGTAAGATGCAATTTGGAATACATGTAGTCTAAGACACTCTGATTACTAGAAAAAATATGGAATATTTTTGCCATCTATGTTACAATGCATAGAGAGGTGGTGCAAGACTTATGTGGAGGTCAGAGGGAATCTATCTGCCTTAGCTACTGTTCTTAGAATAGGTGGGGCATGATTTGGCTGAAATGGTGTGGGTGGGTGGGTGGGTGGGTGGGTGAAAGAGAGAGAGAAGGGATGGGTTTCTGCATTTCATTAAGGGCCCATCTACCTTTCTACCCATAATTTGAGCACCAGTGGCAGGGGAGGGAGAGAGAATGATAATAGAAAAGGTGGCATAAATGGAGACTTCTCTTATGACTGTAACTTTCTTCCAGGGGAGCATCAGCAGCCTCGTTTTCCTGGGCTATCCAGAGGTTTAGTAGCTGTTCTTTTATACTGGGATGGAAAGCGATGCATTGCAAATTCATTGCGGACACTCATCCAGTCTCGGCGAGGCAAGACTTGGACACTGGAACTCAGGTCTGTATTCTTAAGCAACAGCTTCTGAAAATACCTAAACTAAAACAGTAACAGTATTTCTATGTTGAACCTAGCTTTTTTGAAGTACTGCAGAAGAGAGAGATTCGCCCCTGTTTTCCCCTATAAATTATGATTCTGCTTTTGGCATTTTGCTTTGTCTCCATCACAGAAGCTTCTGTTTTTCACATTTGTTTTAATGGTGTTTCTGGAATTTGTTCCTTTTGATTTCAGTCCTGAATTGGTATCCATAACAACACGCTTTACAGATGAACTGATGGAGCAGGGTCTCACACATAAAATTCTGACTTTGGTGTCTCAAATTGATGTAAACACTGAGTTTGAGAAACTGCAGAGAGACCGAGGATTGGGCAGTGAGAAACATCGCAAAGAGGTAAATGCTTAAGATGTTAGAGACAGTAAGTACTTCAAAATTTATTTGCTATAAAAACATCAAGGGTTGCCACCTCCTGCCCTGATGTTCTACTCCCCTTTGCTTCCCAAAATGTTAATGGTGGTAACTGCTTCACATGTGGCATGGGATATAATTTCTATGAAAGAAAATGATGAGCACTTATGTGTTTTTCATCATGTGAATATGAGTGCAGAAATGCATGCAGTCTTAACGTGTGATGATGTACATGTGATTTTCCAACAGGCAAGTGAGTATTGCCATATAAGTAGTAAGAGCACTAAAATTTGTTTTAAGTTCTTCCAAGTATTAAGACTGTGCTGGGGCCGGGGGTAACCTGAGCAATGCGGTCCAGGTCTGGCCCCGAATCCAAGGGTTCCGCGAGGAGTCAGTCCGACAGGGTCAAGGCAGGAAACTAGGCAAGGTCAGGCACAGGATCACAGGCAGGTTCTGGCAAACAGCAACATTGCTCCTGCAACCTGAGGCAGGGTCCGGCAGCCTTTTATCTCTGTCGGGGTAACGGCCGGTGACTCACCTGCCTGTCTTGCCCAAAGGCAAGCACTCCTCCTGCGAGTACTCAAGTCTCTCCTTCTCTCAGACCTCAGTCTCTGCAGCTCGGGAGATGTCGGTGGGTTACTAGACTCAGAGGCCGTCTCAGCCTCTCCTGACCCAACTGGTAGTGGAGCAGCTGTAAGTGATTGCCCAGCTGGAGGCAACGACGTAATCTCCGCATCTGGAGCCAGGGCAGACTCAGGCCCCTGACTCAGCCTAGCTGGTGCTTGTTGCAAGGGAACCTGTGCAGATTGGGGCTCTTCAGAATCAGGCCCCAGACTGGGCTCAGCTGCCGCCTGAGGCAAAGGATCCGGTGCGGACTGAGACTCCTCTGGCTCCCGAGTCCGAGCCCGAGTCCCAGGCCATCACAAAGCCACTGACAAAGTTCACATGTAGCACGAGGCTGTGGTTTGTCATTGCACAGTGAGTCTTGAGCTCACATACACTTACTTCAGTGTTTGGCAGTTCAGATGTAACACCAAAGTATGCATTGCTGCAAACAAGGAAGTCATGGTGGGGACTGGAGCAAGCGAGGGAAGTAGGCTGTGCAGAAACCTAAGGCTCATTTGTACAATGTGAAACTATGGTTTGACATTACATGTGAACTTGATCAGTGTCCAATCTTTTGTTCATTTCATGGTGTATTTGCAAATATTAGGCATGCTAAGAAACATCTTAAAATCCTGCTTTTGGTTACAAAAAATTAGTTTTGGGATTGACTAATTCTATGCATTTTCATAAAGAGCAAGTCCTTTTGAAATCAGTGGGGCTGACCTTTGAATAAACATGGATAGTATTCTTTTGTATATGATAAAAGCATATTTTGAAGCTACATACGTAGTAACTTGGTTTTTATTTTATTTTTTAGGTTTCTGATCTCATCAAGGAGTGTAGGCAGGCACTGGCAGAGAGCTTATTTGTTTGGGCTTGCCAGTCACCGCTGAGCCGGGATGATACTCTAATCCTGATTACTTACTTAGAGAAAGTGACTGTGGAAGCTGATGGTTCATTGGACAGAGTAAACTTGGCACTTCTTATGGCCCTCCTCTATTGCTTTGATGTCAGCTTTCTAGAACAGGCCACTGAAGATCGAGAAGGTAAAACTGGTTTTCTGGCTACGCCAAAAGTTATGTCATTCATATAGAGTAAGATGAGTTAAATTTCTGCTGTTTCCCAGACTTCCCCATTTCTTCTCCAGAGTTCTTAATTGAATCGTTCACAAAATTTGATGGGAGCTATTTAGCTCTGAATTACAAAATAAAAGAGGTGAAAGAGGTTATTGTATTTGCTGAGTCATCCATTTTATTTTCAGTGGACTTGAAACAACATTTCTTTCTGTATTAAACTTCTATTTTGTATTTGCTTTTTAAAAAAATGTAGAACTGATGCACCAGCTGCCACTGTTAACAGAGAGACAATATATAGCTGCAATCCATACACGCCTTCAGGATGCTCGGCCTTGGAAACTGCCAGGACTTCAAGGAACTGTTAGGTTAGCCTGGGCTCTAGCCTTGCGTGGAATTTCACAGTTCACTGATGTGACAGGTAATCTGATTCATAGACAAGAAACTCAATCCCACCTGTGTCCTTTGCTTAGCGGAGGAAGTCAATCCATCATGCATATTCCTTTGTTTAAGCTGCCAACCCTTAAGTATGCTGTTTATGAAATGTATGCACAGTTAATAGCTTTATAATAATAATAATTTGTTGTTACGGTCGGAGACCAGCTTGTGAAACACAAATGGGACTACAATCCCCAAAGCAAAACAAACATTTAAAACAATATACAATAATGGATTTAAAGTTTTAAAATGTGATAGTAGCTTTATGAGTCTGTCTCTTGCATTCATTCTTCTTCATTCTCTTCAGCACTTGCAGAATTTGCTGAGGCAGATGAAGCAATGGCAGAGTTAGCAATTGCAGACAACGTTTTCTTGTTCCTTACTGAATCTGTGGTGAGAGCTGAAAACTTCTACCAAGAGGAATTTTACATACGTAGAATCCACAACCTTACCACCGACTTTCTTGCTCTCATGCCAATGAAGGTAAGTTGTATTTTTGTGGGCTGGATATAAGTAGGACAAATATTCCAATGCAATCTATTTATGCAGACTAATATTGTATTTCAGTGTGGGAATTATGTCTTGCATTTTGTGTTCATATATGTGTGAAATTTTAAAATACACGCAGCGACCATTTTGTGCTTGTCCAATTGACAACTGGGTCCTTGCATGGGGGTTACGTTCCAAGGATGGCATGTGTGTGCAAAAACACATATACTTGAACCACCCCTGCACAAGCAATCTTACCTTCTGGAACTATTGCGCCAAAAGGGTCTTACCCCACCAAGCAAGGCAGAGTGCTTAAAAACTTTCTGTCCCTGGAGATTTCAGCTGGCCAGCCTTCAACCATGTAAAGATGAAATTGCACATGTTAAATGCACATAAGTTGCATGCATACTGCACATTGTTTGGCTAAATACTGTCTTAAGCCCCAGTGACCAGTTTAAGTAATATATTTTTTCTTAGAAAAAGGAACTACTTTCTGTTGTGGTCCTTGCCCTCTTCCAGATTGTGCACATATAAATTATTTTATGTTAGTAATACTATTTTGGCTGGTTGGCTCGTCATCTTTACTATTTGCTGGGGTAGTTCTCTTTTCTAGTAACAATCTCTCAACTTGGTCATGTTAATCTTACATAGATCTTCTTGAAAGTCATTCTCATTCTGTTTAATGGGACTTACTCCAAGGTTAAATATACATAAGCTGCCATTGTATACCCATATACTTTTGGAGGAAGCTCCATAGAATTCAGTGAGTTTTATTTCTGGGTATACATGTATAGGATTGTGCTGTTCAGCTGTTAATTTGAATTAAACTACTTGCATAGGCATCCTGACTAGCTTTATATTATATATGATATAATTATCCAATCTGGAGAATTCTAGTAATAGGCCTGAGCTTCATTTGAAGGAGTCATGCTTTTTTATTCTATTCAGTTGCCTTCTATTGTTATATGAAACAGATACAACAGTTGCACTTTTTCTACATGGTGACTAACTTTTTGGGGAATAGAGGGGATAATTCAGCTAGAATGAGACATGTTTCAGTCCCATAGATTTCAGTGAGAGAGACAAGCATGTGATCAATTTTGTACCTTTGAAATCAGTGGGTCTTAAATAAATGTAATTAGTGATGTCAACAGTTTTCTCTTATCTCATATGCATCTTTGGTACTGGTGTAAAGAACCAGTTCCTTGTGTAATCTTACAGTGTGGTAAATCTTTAAGGAAACATTAAAAAAAGATTATAGTGGCCCTTTCATAAAGGTAAAGGTACCCCTGCCCGTACGGGCCAGTCTTGACAGACTCTAGGGTTGTGCGCCCATCTCACTCAAGAGGCCGGGGGCCAGCGCTGTCCGGAGACACTTCCGGGTCATGTGGCCAGCGTGACAAGCTGCACCTGGCGAGCCAGCGCAGCACACGGAAACGCCGTTTACCTTCCCGCTAGTAAGCGGTCCCTATTTATCTACTTGCACCCAAGGGTGCTTTCGAACTGCTAGGTTGGCAGGCGCTGGGACCAAGCAACGGGAGCGCACCCCGCTGCGGGGATTCGAACCGCCGACCTTTCGATCGGCAAGCCCTAGGCACTGAGGCTTTTACCCACAGCGCCACCCGCATCCCCTTTCATAGATACATGCTAATGAGGTTTAGTCAAGTGCCTGTAAAAGCTGTCTGCTTTTGTTCGCTTCATAGTTAATTATCAATAAATTTATTTCCTTGGCAAACTGTGTAGGTCAAACAGCTAAGAAACCGTGCTGATGAAGATGCTCGCATGATACACATGAGTATACAGTTGGGTAATGAGCCACCTCTTTCTCTTAGACGGGATCTGGAGCATCTGATGTTTTTAGTAAGTACTTTTAAAAATAAAATGTTGAGAAGTCATAATAGTTTCATTTTTTAAAAAAAATGGTACATTGATTAAAAATAATACAGTTGGAATAGCAAGAACATTGGTGCCAAATCTTATATTAAATACACTTCTGGCACCTCTCAGGTGGGCTCCATTGCAATTATAAGAGAAGCATTCATGGTGAGTTCTGGCAACTCTTTTTCTAGAAAAGTGGCACTTTTGTATCCCACTTAAAAAATACCAGATGTGATGTAAGGTATGCTAAAGTTACTATATTTCTTCTTAACACTGGCAAATTAGTCTTTAGTCTGAAAAAGTTGTGTAAGTTTTTACAAGCTGCCCCAGGGAATTTTGTGACTGGAACGGAATACAGTGGTACCTCTGGTTACGTACTTAATTCGTTCCGAAGGTCCATTCTTAACCTGAAACTGTTCTTAACCTGAAGCACCACTTTAGCTAAAGGGGCCTCCCACTGCCACGTTTCTGTTCTCATCCTGAAGCAACGTTCTTAACCCGAGGTAATATTTCTGGGATAGCGGAGTCTGTAACCTGAAGTGTATGTAACCCAAGGTACCACTGTAGTGTTAATATAGCTGGGGCTGCTGCTAATGGAATCTGTTTTGTATTTGAATTTGGTGCACGGATGATAATCAGGTGCAATGCAATGTTACTAAAGATCATGATAGGCTATAGTATATACATATATACATGTTTGTAGGTATATAGTACTCACATTATTTCTGTTCTACAGATTGCTGAGTTGTACAAGAAGGATCCATTTAATTTGGAGCTTGCTCTTGAGTACTGGTGTCCTTCGGAGCCCCTGCAGAGTTCCACCATCATAGGATCGTATATTGGGATAGCCCACCAAAGACCACCTCAGCGTCAGGTGAGAAAATGCCAGTTCCCTCCGCTGTTGTTTGGGCTTGGGTTTTCTTGAAAGCATTTAAAAACAATTAGTAGCACATTGTATTTCCCCAAGGGCTATGGATGCTTGCATTTCATAGGAAGAGGGGTCAAGCTGGGACACACCCAGTTGTCCTTCTGTGGCACCAAACGTCTTGTCTGAAACAACACAACTGCTTAAAATGATAGTGACAGCAAAGGTGGATAAAGGAGATTCAGTTGATTTTCAACCCCATCCCACCCCCTGCTCCCCTCTGCATTTGGGCATAACAATACTGACTTGCTGTATTGGGCATTTGAAAGGATTACATTGAGCATTCTAAATGCCAAGCAGTTTTCCATGTTTCCTTCAAGTTTTTTAAAGCTACTGTATGCCATTGGGCATAATCCAGCAAAAGTTCAGCATTTTCAAGTCCCATTGATTTCAGTGCAAGAGATAAAAATACTCTTAAATCTTCCCCGCTGCAATTGATGGGATTTAAATGTACTTAACATTTAACTGAATCATTCACCTAGTGCATGTTTGGGACACCTTTGGCCCTTAAGACATTGATGAACTACAGCTCCTATCTGTCCCAGCAAGCATAGCCAATAGCCAGGGATGATGGGAGTTGTAGTTCAGCAATGTCTGGAGGGCCAAAAGTTCTCCATGCCTGCCCTAGTACCTTGGAAGGGGTGGGGAATTCTTGTACAACCAAAACCAGTTTTAAGACAATCAAGGCTAGAAAAGTGATTTGATTTTGGTTGCTAGCGTCTGAACAGATTGTGTACATTACAAGTTAATTTCAAACTTTAACTTTGGGGGCCTTTGGCTTTTTGGCATTTATTTCTTCCTAGGCAAATGTTTCTATACTTTTTTTGTAGGTTGTTTTGTCTAAATTTGTTAGACAAATGGGAGACCTCCTTCCATCAACAATTTACATTCCTTACCTGAAAATGCTCCGGGGATTAGCCAATGGGCCCCAATGCGCTCATTACTGCTTTACTTTGCTGAAGGGCAATGGCAGCAGCCATGGTAAGAAATAAGGCCTCAAATAGGCCAACATACTTTCCCATTCACTTGAATCTGTTGCAGCAGAACCTCAGTACTAATGCATTATTTGCAAGACAGCCTATCCTGAAGCAGACAAGGAAGTGAATGCTTTAGTCTTAAGGTTTTCATATTTGAATACACTATGTTCTTAAGCACATTTCTAGTTGATGTTTATCTGTGTTCACTATAGCTTGTTTCTATGTGTAAACTTTGCGGCTTCCTTTTAGGAAAAGAACAAAAGTAACAGAGCACATGTAAAAGGTTCCAAGTTCAATACCTGCCATTAGGGGGTTGGACTCGATGGCCCTTGTGGTCTCTTCCAACTCTATGATTCTATGATCTCCAGGTTGGGCTGGAAAAGACTTTTGCCACAGACCCTTGAGAGCCACTGCCGGTTCGTGTGTGGACAATACTGAGTTAGATGAACCAGTGGTCTGATTCAGTATTAGGCAGCTTTCTTCATGTCTGAGGGATAGAGTATCATGGTATAAATCAGGGGTCAGCAAACTTTTTCTGCAGGGGGCCAGTCCACTGTCCCTCAGACCTTGTGAAGGGCTGGACTATATTTGGGGGGGCGGAATCCCCCCAACTCTCCTCTCCCTTCTCCACAGCACCGGACGAGCCCTGGTGGCTGCTTACCTGTGCCTTGTGAGCGGCAGGGGCTGGCGGCGGCAGGGGGACGATGAGCAGTGTGAAAGGGCTGGCTCTGGAGAGAGGCAGCTTAAAATGGCGCTCAGCCAACCGCATCTCAACAAAGCCCACCCCCTTCCTCCTCTAGGCAGGGCGGGGAGAAGCCAGGAGCAGGGAGGGAGGAGGCACCACCGCTGTGGTGTGTGTGTCAGGGGGGCGGGGAATGGCACAGCCCAAATGATCAGAATCCCCATGCCGATCCACGCAGCGATTCCCAGACCGTCTGTGGGCCGGATCCAGAAGGCAATTGGGCCGGATCCGGCCCTCAGGCCTTAGTTTGTTGACCCATGGTATAAACAAATGGGACCCGCAACCAAATGTTGCACTGTGGAGTGCTCCTGTTAAGGATTCTAGGAAGCCATTCCCTTTCTAGGCTACTGCATTCCATCCTCCTCTACCCCACCCCCCCAAACTATCAGTTGGCTTTCCCTGCCCACTAAGCATACTCAGTTGTTTTGGTTTCCCTTTGCAGGTTTTTCCACTGAAGATTTTTTGTGTATTGGATTGCTAGTGTTTTTCAGATGATATGCAATAAAAATGTTTAATCTTAAATTTAGGGCAGGTTTTGTTTTTTCAGGTGTAGGCTTAGTTAACATAATCTGTACTCACACAGATATTTTTCTCCCCCTTCTAGCTGAAAACATCCAAGGAGCAGGTGGCAGTCCTGTCTCCTGGGAGCATTTCTTCCACTCTCTGATGTTGTACCACGAGCACCTGCGGAAAGATTTGCCGAGTGCAGATAGCATTCAGTATCGTCACCTTCCTCTCAGAGGCATCACCCAGAAAGAACAGGATGGATTGATTTCATTTCTGCAACTTACAGAAACTATAGTGAAATGGGTAAACAGGCCTTTCCTTTAATGGTTGATGCATTCAGGATTCCGTTTGTCCATTATTTTATTAATTAAGTTGGCTTTACAAACCCAGCACATTTTATATTAAAAGTCAGATGTACTAGAGGAAAATTGATATAGCCATTGATAGACTTGAATTGAAGTTCATTTTGACTGGGAGAAAAATAGAAAGTGAGGGAAATAGTGTTGGATACTTATTCATAATATAATTGGCCCCATAATGACATTGCTTAGCTTTTGTTTGAATCATCAGAGGTCACTGGTGCTCTTTCTTTCCTCTCTAGAGTGAGAATGCCCGCTTGGCTCTCTGTGAACACCCTCAGTGGACACCAGTGGTTATAATTTTGGGACTTCTGCAATGTAGCATCCATCCCATTTTGAAAGCAGAGTTATTAGAGACTCTTTCAGCCTTTGGGAAATCTCCGGAAATTGCTGCTTCACTGTGGCAGTCATTGGAATACACCCAGGTATCTTAACTCTTCCATGGCAGTTTAACCCTTAGTACAATCCTGTACGTATTCTGACACTATTTAGCAATGTATGCTCTGAATACTAGGAGGTTTATGCTTTCCCCCAAATTCTATTTTATTCAACTGTTGCTAGTTCTTACTTAAAAATTGGTGGCGTTAATTATATGCATGGCATTGTTTTCTGTGTTCGGAATGGCAGCAGCAACTGAAACAGAATGAAAAAGTGCAAGTCGAATTGATTCTCCTTCTGTGATGTATTATTTGCTTATGTATTATAAATCTGTACTGGCAGATTCTGAATAAGGTTAAGAAGAAAGGCAGATTTCCCTTTTTGTGGAGAGAAGGTGGGAATGTGTCTTGAGGTAAAGACAGCTGATCACGCTAGCACTCTAGTCCTTTTAGGTCCAATCAAGAAAATTGTGCTGCCTACAAAGGAGAGCCAGCGCAGATGCAATGCAGCCTTATATTTAATAATTTTCCTGGTAATCCTAGGTGACCAGGTATTCAATAAAGCAAATGAGCAAGTTGGTGGTGGAGAAGTGGATTGCTATGTCACTCCTCGACTGCTTTTTAGTAGAAGCAATTTTGTTAATAGCCTGTGTTTCTATGCTAGCTGCTTCTGTTCTGTGGCCAACATGGAAATTTAGGCTAGTAGCCTCTTAGTAGGTTTGTAAACATTGGCGGACTTGTAACTTTCGTGTGCTCATTCCCTTGGTGACGGGAAAAGCCGATAGGACTTTGCACTCCTTCCCCATAGTTCCTCCTTTCTTGCGCAGGTTCTCCATTCTCCTTTTGTCACCAGTGTTAGCTGTGGTTAGTTGTTACATTTGCACTATCTGTGAATTTGCAAACTAAATGGAAGAGGATGGGAAGAGGGAGCATGCGACTCAACCCCATAATCATGGTTAAGGAACAGGAAGTGTTACATTTGCGTTAGTCTGGTGTTCTCTACTGGGACGGGTATTTTCAGGAGCTGCATTAAAAGCTTGATGGATAGAGTTTAATCTGTCTTTCTGGACAGGTGACAATATATTTTCATATGGGTAGAAGCTCTTGAAAAAGAGTGTGCAAGATAAACAGCATAGCTCATTTTTTAGCTCTCATGTTCTTTTGATGATTATGAAAAATCATTTCCTTTCTCTCTTGTTTGTTTTGAAAGATACTACAAACTGTCAGAACTCCAGGCCAAAGACAAGCCATTGGCATTGAGGTAAAATCTGTTTCTAGTTAGCTACATGGTTGTACAAAGTGAAAAGCTGTGGGACTGCTTCAGCAAAGAGGAGCTTCAGAGTCTTTTACTTGCATATTTAAAAATAGTAATAATAGTGCACATACTCATTTTTTTTAAAAAAGTCAAATTCTTCAGAAAAGTCAAAAGGGGGGGAAATCCTTACAAGATGAGTAGACGCCTGAAATTGGTTGTGATGAGCGTTCTGATCCTGTGCAGATTTAAGCATGCCTAAACCTATTGAAGTCAATTGACTTAGATGCACCTGACTCTCAAACTGCAAGCACTCTTGGAAGCAATGAGGGTTGTTGTGACTTAACTTGTTTCACTGATTACTAATTAACTTGGCTGTGACTAGTTTCAGCTTAATTGAGGCCATAGACATTGAAAAGCAATAGGGAAATTAAAAACCTACTAAAACTTAATGCCCTACCCCCTTTTAGTCATTTTTTGAAGGCAAACATGCCTTGTGCTATCCAACTGGTTGTGGGGAATCATGGGAATCTATTGTACCGTATTTTTCGCTCCATAGGACGCACTTTTTCCCCTCCAAAAATGAAGGGGAAATGTGTGTGCGTCCTATGGAGCGAATGCAGGCTTTCGCTGAAGCCTGGAGAGCGAGAGGCATCGGTGCGCACCGACCCTCTCGCTCTCCAGGCTTCAGGAAGCTATCCGCAAGCCTTGCAAGCCCGGTGGGAGTTCCCGCGGGCTCACAAGGCTTGCAGGCAGCAGCCTGCAGCCCCGGCGAGTGTCCACAAGCCTTGCGCGCCCAGCAGGAGGTCCCGCCGAGCACGCGAGGCTTCGGGCGGCAGCTTGTCGCCCAAGCACGGGAGCCCTCCGGAGGGCTCCCGTGCTTCGGGCGAGTGTCTGCAAGCCTTGCGCGCCCGGCAGGGGGTCCCGCCCAGCGCGCGGGGCGTGGGGCGGCAGCCCGTCGCCCGAAGCACGGGGAGCCCTCCGGAGGGCTCCCCGTGCTTCGGGCGAGTGTCTGCAAGCCTTGCGCGCCCGGCAGGAGGTCCCGCCGAGCGCGCGAGGCTTCGGGCGGTAGCCAGTCGCCGAAGCACGGGAGCCCTCCGGAGGGCTCCCGTGCTCGGGCGAGTGTCTGCAAGCCTTGCGCGCCCGGCAGGAGGTCCCGCCCGAGCGTGCGAGGCTTCGGGCGGCAGCCTGTCGCCCGAAGCACGGGGAGCCCTCCGGAGGGCTCCCCGTGCTTTAGGCGAGTGTCTGCAAGCCTAGCGCGCCCGGTGGGAGGTCCCGCCGAGCGCGCGAGGCTTGGGGCGGTAGCCTGCAGCCCGAAGCAAGCGAGGCTTGGGGCGGCAGCCGTGGCCCGGGGGGGGGGGGAATAATTTTTTTTATTCATTTCCCCCCCCAAAAAACGAGGTGCGTCCTATGGGCCGGTGCGCCCTATAGAACGAAAAATACGGTAATTGTATAAAAAAACCCCCCAAAAAACCTTCTATAGATACATTCTGACATTATGATGCACTAAATTACATTTTTAATAATGTTTGTTTCTCTGTTTTCTTGCAAAGGTTGAATTGAATGAAATTGAATCCCGGTGTGAGGAGTATCCTTTAACTCGTGCTTTCTGCCGGCTCATTAGCACGCTGGTGGAGAGTTCATTTCCTTCCAACCTGGGTGCTGGCTTGCGCCCACCAGGCTTTGATCCATATCTGCAATTTCTGAGAGATTCTGTGTTTCTTCGATTTCGTACAAGGGCCTATCGGCGAGCTGCTGAGAAGGTAGCTTCTGCTTCTAAATATGTATTGTTTTAACTTCTATAGATGTTTCTAAACTTGATGGTGTTGACTTTTTAAAATGATGTGATGTTTTGCTAATTTCTGCCCCTAAGATTTACAGCTAATCACATTAAATCTGAGTTGAGCTAGTGACTGGGTTCCATGTATTCCACTGCCATAACATGATGCTCGGAATTAGAAGATTAGCAATACTTCGGAAGGGGTGTAGCTCAGTAGTAGAGTCAGGTACAATTCCTGGCCATCTCCAAGAGCGGCTGGGAAAGGCTTCTGTCTGACTGCATGGAGAGCCACTGCCAGACAACATAGATTGTACTGAGCTACTTGGACTAATAGCCTGATTCTGCATAAGGCATCTTTTTATCTTACTAAAATGGGAAGCTGAGGTTTGAGGTGCCCACTTTTAAAATAATATTTTGTGTGTGCTTTTCTTGACAGTGGGAAGTAGCGGAAGCAGTTCTAGAGGTTTTTTACAAACTGCTGAGAGATTACGAACCTCAGCTTGAAGATTTTGTGGACCAATATGTTGAGTTACAAGGTATGCTCTTTCCTGGTTTGTCTTTAGCTCCGTTTTCGTATCTTGTTTGGGGAAGAAAGCAAAATGGTGACCAGTTCTCCTGCTGGCTTTTAGACTGGTCCTTCAGACTCAGAAAAATAGTTCTGGGGGAAGCTAGCAAAGAGGAATTGACTATAGTCTAACAGGCAAACAGAATGAGCAAATGCAAAGTTATAAATTCAGGGAAGAAAGTACTACAATGTCAAAAGCAGCTGGATTTTGTCATTGTTTTGAAGCTGGTATAGGAGAAGAAGGGGTGGTGACTGTGTTTAGATTTGCTTCAAAAAAAAGCAATGACTATAATGCTGATTTTACTGAATTGTACTTTTAATTTTTTAGGAGAAGAAATTATAGCTTATAAACCACCTGGATTTAACCTGATGTATCATCTGTTGAATGAGTCACCAATGTTGGAACTGTGTCTTAGCTTGCTGGAAGAAGGGGTTAAACAACTAGATACCTATGCTCCTTTCCCTGGTATGTAGCAAAAATAAATTAAAAATTCAACTTAAAAAAAATATTTTGATGCTACTTACTGTATAGCCAGTGAACTGAATTCTTCATTATGTAGATCCACTGCAAGGAAAGCTGTTGAATAAAAGTTGGCTATTCTTGAGTTGAGTCTTTTAATACAAATGGTGATTTATTATGGCTCTATTAATGCACATATGTAGATTGACTGCAGCATTATATCTTTCCCTCCTAAGCGTTCTAGGCATGGAAGTGGGATTGTCTTTATTTCCTTTCCTTCCACAGGAAAGAAGCACTTGGAGAAAGCTGTACAGTATTGCCTTGGGCTGCTTAATCTGACCCTACAGAAAGAGAACCTTTTCATGGACTTGTTAAGGGAAAGCCACCTCTCCCTGATTGTTACATCCCTGGAACAGCTGCTGCAAGGAATCAACCCTCGGACTAAAAAGGCAGACCATGTGGTGAATATTGCCAGGTAGAACCAATGCATTTAGAAAGACAGATGTGGTTCTAGAGAGACTGGCATAATGTGAGACCATTGTGTGCCTGTTGAGAGGTTCCTACAGCTTGCTCTGCCCCTTACACAGATTATCACTATTCAGCCCACTGCAAAGAAATCAAATAATGTCTCTGTACTGTTCTGTACTGACCTGATTTTAAGGATCGGGTCCAAATTACGAGTCTGTTCTGAGCAGTTGCATATGTCTGAAAGCCTTTAGGGTTTCCCCTAGGTCTGCTGATGCCCTCCTTCTGTGTGTGTGTTGTTTTGGTTATAAACGGCTGGCACTCGGAACAAATGAGAGATTTTTGTGTATAATATGATTTAGTATCATATATACATGTCTGATGTAGCTGCATGCAGCAGCAGCATATGGGGGTGGAGTGGGGAGAGCAGTAGCATCCCCTTGCTGGTGGCAGTGGTGCTGTGTTTGTGACGATGGGACAGGGTGAAGCAGTGGCAAGGCTGACAACAGCAGCCCACAGGTGTGCACAGCAGCGATGGCAACCCAGAGCTTGACCTTGCTGCTGCCTCATGCCATCTCTGTCACAGTGAACAATGCTGCTGCTGCTACTCTCGCCTCCCTTCACCTGCTTCTGCACACATATTTTTAGCCTTGATACTAATTTTTATGAATAATAATAATTTTATTATATGTACCCCACCCAGCCACTCTGGGTGGCTTTCAGCATGGAAGTATTATTAAGGCTCCCTTTCCCCCCTTTTCTCTGGCATTTCTGGTTGGAATTGACAATTCCTATGTTCTTGTAATTTTCAAGGTATCTATATCATGGCAATACCAATCCTGAACTGGCTTTTGAAAGTTCCAAGATCCTGTGTTGCATTTCCTGTAATTCTAATATTCAGGTCAAATTGATTGGAGACTTCACACAAGACCAGGTAACTGTTGTTACATTTGTTTTTTATGCAAGGGTTAGGGAAGAATGATGTAGCCAGCATATGGTTTTACTGTTAGAATGGTTTCTAACCAGGTCGGAGTTGTTTACATTTGTATGGTTCTCAGGACCTTCCCATCTAGTCAGCAATCAAATCTCACTTAACTTTAGCAATAGGACTGCTTCATGTAACTTCAGATCATTTTCCAAGACTCCCTACAACTGATTTCTTGGGAGAAGGAGTCTGCAGATCCTTTGAGCTATATGGTCTGCACAGGACCATATAACTCAAAAGATCTGCATTGGCTACCTGTTCAACACAAGGTCCATTAAGATGTTTTGATGTATTAAATCCTAAAGTCTCAGGACCCAGTTTCCTGAAAGAGACTTTCTCCCTATATTGTTCTACCTGGGCTTCAAGATAGGCAGGGGAGGTCCTAAATCAATCTGTCATCGTATAATACCTCACTATCTTCTCATTTCCATTCTTTGGTTGCAAATCCAGAATATCAGCCAGAAACTAATGGCTGGGTTTGTGGAATGTTTGGACAATGAAGCTGCTGAAGAAATCATTAATGCTGATGAAGGTATGAAAGTAGTCCATTTTTTGTACATAAAAATAAGCTGCTGGATAACTGAGAATGAATTATCAAGGATCCTCAGAATGTGACTATTTGCAGAACTGAAAACCATTTTATTAATATATTTTTGGCCTATAATTGAGTTCAGAATCATGTGCCCTTTTTTCTTATTTTTATAACATTTTGGGCAAAAGGCAGAGCACTAATTTGCAAGCTAGTTTTAAAAGCAATTCTATAGAAGTCGCTGCTCCACAAAATACTTTTATGTGGATGGACTGGCAATTTATACAGCTGATAATTCTTTGAGGCATGTTGACACTTGGAAATACTTTCGTGTACACTTCTCTGCCTGGATAGGTCAACACAAGTGATTAGGCAAGTGACTATTTTCCCTGTTGTAACAAAAATACTGTACATTATTGCAAATTATGCATGTTTCCATTAAAAACGATTGGATATTAGAATTGAGCACTTCATTAATTTGTATCACTGATGTGTATTTTTGGTTCCCAGAACTTGAAGCTGAAAGGAAGCAGGCCCCAATTTACCATGAAACAAGGATTAACATCCTGAACCTTCTCATTGCCTCTTTGGAGTGCAGCCCACCAAATCTTGCCTTGTATCTTCTGGGTTATGAATTCAAGAAGCCTGTGAGCAACACAAACTTGCAAGACCCAGGTACATGGCTGAAGAGGGCAGGGTGCAGGAGCTGCTGTTCATATGTTGGAAGGAATCAGCTCAGTAGTAGAAGGAATTTATTTTTGCCCAGAATGGGCAGACGTTTCATGCTCAGTAGACATAACAAAATGATCTACATTAGGCTTCCTCAAACTCGGCCCTCCAGGTGTTTTGAGACTACAATTCCCATCATCCCTGACCACTGGTTCTGCTAGCTAGGGATCATGGGAATTGTAGGCCAAAAACATCTGGAGGACTGAGTCTGAGGAAGCCTGATCTACGTCAAGGGTACTTTACTGTGAGTGATTACAGCTATGACCACATGTTTCATGCCAGCCGGCTGCAAGTGAAAAGTCTTGCAAAAATCAGACACCTTGCAAAACCCGGCAAGAAGCAAGAGGAGGCAGACTGAGCAGGATTTAACCCTGCTTATCAGTTGATGTGTGGGGCATTAAATCCTGCAGCTTTGGAGGTGGGAACAGGCATGCAGCAAACCCCACTCTCCTGACCATCAGCTGACATGAATGGGCGTGGCTTGGGGAAAATGGACCATTTGGAGGGCCAAACTAGACCCCCTGAAGGACCAGGATTGGCCCACAGGCCGAAGGCTGGTCACCCCTGATCTATTTGCTGTTCTGTTTGTTAATTACCTTTTCAAATTTGTAAGCAGTATTAACATTAGTGTGAAAGTATATATAAATTTGACAAAATGAATGAATAATTGGATCCTTGCCCATAGTCCAGTTTTGATAAAATGCAATATTAAATTAGAGTAAAATATTTGCTATTTTTGTGAAGTAAGTCTTTAAAATAGGGTGATGTTTCGTTTCTATACATCATGCACAGTTTCCCCCCTAAATATGAATATTGCATCTTCAAGGTGTATTGGGCTGCCCTAGAACTTGCCTACATGCTATTTTGACCATACTGGAGAATGGTACCGAAACAAGGTCTGGTCCCACAGCGGTTCAACAATCTCCTCATCTAGCAGAATTGTGTTACCAGGTATACATGATATTTCCTGTTTTGTTGTTGTCGTTTAGTTGTGTCCGACTCTTCGTGACCCCATGGACCAGAGCACGCCAGGCACTCCTGTCTTCCACTGTTTTTCTTTTCCACTGTTTTTCTGTTTTGTCCCCCCCCCCCCATTTTAGGAAAGTTAAAATGGGGTGCTCTGTATAAATCCAGTGAGCTTTCAATTACAAGGGAATTGATTTTTGCAGTTTACTAATATAATTTCGGTTTTTTTAAAAAATTAACTTTGCAGTTCTACTGAGAAGTATGTCTCATTGAATTGAATGGGATTTACTTCCAGGTAAATGTGTATATGTGTATAGGATTGCATGAGTAGATCTGAGTTCAAATACAATACTTAATTAGAAATATATTGGCTAATATTAAAGGAAACTAATATCTGGATTTCCGTCTTGTTCAAACAGGTGATCTATCAGTTGTGTGCCTGCTCAGACACTTCAGGCCCGACAATGAGATATTTGAGAACCAGCCAAGATTTTTTGTTCTCTCAGTTGCAGCATTTACCATTTTCTGTCAAAGGTAAGCCTTTTCAAGTACAGTCTCATAATTTTATTTTTAGCAAGTTATTTATAACCTGCATTTAAGAAAGCACCTTAGAGACCAATTGAGTTTGTTCTGGGTATAAGCTTTCGTGTGCATGCACACTTCTTCAGATACTGGACAATTATTTTAATTTTTTATTTCGACTGCGTCAGACCAACACGGCTACCTACTTGAATCTGCATTTAAGAAACATTATTTACAAGTGGCTTGCAAAATATACCGTATTTTTCGCTCTATAGGACGCATTTCAAAAGCAGCTCCTCTTTTTCAGGGCTTTGCCATTAACTACATTGTGTGGAAAGCTGCTTTACATAAACAACTTCCCACACAGAGAGCAATGCCCCATTTGCTTACATTTCCAAGCAGCAGATGTGTAACAAATATAACATGAGTCCAACCAGCAATGGTAGGCTCTTCTGAAGTGTCTGTATTGCTCCCATTCTTGCCCTATCTTGACTTTCAGAGCATGAGATTCCAGCTTTGAACCAGATGTCCTGGCTAATGAAGACGGCCTCTATAGAGTTGCGTGTTACTTCACTGAACCGCCAGCGTTCTCACACACAGAGACTCCTGCACCTCCTTCTGGATGACATGCCTGTCAAATCCTACTTAGGTAAATGGAGCATGGAAGGCTGCTCTAAGAATCAAAGACTGCTCATATCTGAAGGGCTCCTTTCCATTTTTTTATTACTTTCCACTTTCATATCTGAATGATATAATGCTTTCCTTATACTTTATAGTGGCTAACTTTGGAAGTAAATATAAGCCAAGGTTTCAGACCACATGAATTAGCAGTCATGCTGTGGGCTGTACTGAGCATTTATAGTACTATATATTTTATAGCACTTGAGACATAATACCACACACACAATGAAATCATTATAACCTTACAATATTTTAATGCATTTATTAGGCTGGAATTTCCCTAGGTAAAGGTAAAGGGACCCCCGACTCTGGGGTTGCGGCGCTCATCTCGCTTTATTGGCCGAGGGAGCCGGCATACAGCTTCCGGGTCATGTGGCCAGCATGACTAAGTCGCTTCTGGCGAACCAGAGCAGTGCACGGAAACGCCGTTTACCTTCCCGCTGGAGCGGTACCCATTTATCTACTTGCACTTTGATGTGCTTTCAAACTGCTAGGTTGGCAGGAGAAGGGACTGAGCAATGAGAGCTCACCCCGTTCCGGGGATTCGAATCGCCGACCTTCTGATTGGCAAGTCCTATGCTCTGTGGTTTAACCCACAGCGCCACCCGCGTCCCGGAATTTCCCTAGATAGCAGCATTTTTAATTTTTAAAAGTCCTTTGCTAAGTTTGAATTTGTGCAACTTTGCTTTCATTCATTTGGGAAAAGCTCTCCAAGGAGTATACAAATAAAATTTTCAGTTAAACACAGCTAAAATCCATAAACCAGTTTAAAACAAATATGCATTAAACTATCATAATTGAAAGCAAAGAAAGAATCGAGAACTTTAACAACAAATATTGGTAACTAAATAATGTCTGAATATGCTTGCTGAAGCAGAAAGTTTTCAGCAGCAATCTAACGCAATATAGTAAGGGTGACTGCTTAATGTCATTAAGCAGGGAGGTCCAAGCCACAGGTGCTGCCACACTAATGAAATGCCTCCTCATATGGAGATCATGTGACACTTGTAAAAGTGCAATATCCGCAGATCAAAGTGATCAAATAGGTCCGCATGGGGCAAGGCAATTTCTTAAGTAAACTTTTTCAAAATTTCAATCCTCTTAGCTGAAGGTGAAGGAGGCATAGAAGATGAAAGCCGGTCTGTTAGTGGGTTTCTTCATTTTGATACTGCTGCCAAAGGTAAGTCTCGTTGTGGCTGGTTTACTCAGTACTTCTACTCTGGATTAGAACCTGAGCAGTCTGTGTCCTGTCTTTGCTTTTGCTTATATTGAAAAATTGGTGGCTATGAGCCAGGTGAATTAATTTAACTGTAAACTATTGTTTAAACGTTGTGTCAGCAATCTAAAACACAACTGTTTCATGTACTGGAGGCATGAGCTATATATACTGTATACTAATTTGCAGTTTGTTGGGCTGTTTACTGCACCTCCCGGGGTCTTTTTATACTCCTGAAATAGCCCTTTATATGGTCAGTGTGACAGAGCTCCTGGTGGGGGCGGGGAGAGGAAGAGCCTCAACAAACACTAGTGGACTCAAATTGCTGTTCACGACGATATCTTGGTCGGATAGGGTTGTACATGTCCAGGATCTGACTATATGTCAAAAGTAGGGAACCTCTGTCTCATAGGCTAGATTTGGCCCATCAAGTCTCCCCATTTGGCCCACCAGGCTGTTTTCTCCAAACTGTGCCTACCTGCCATATGTAAAGTGTGGCAAGTAGAGATGTGACAGAAGAAAGCAAGGTTGAACTTCCTCTATATCAACTGGTGCATGGGGAATTCAATTCTGCTTGGTTCAGGTGCACAAAAGACATCTATGGGTAACTTGCGCGCTCCAATCTTGCAGAAATCAGGATTGAATTCACCATGCATCAGCTTTTGTGTGGGAAGTTCAGTCCTGCTTGTTCACTAGCTCTCCCCATCACCGTTAGGCCAATACTGAGAGGTGGGCAGGACCACCCACCTGTCCATCACTTGATGTCATTTGGCCCAGAGGTTAGGGTGGAATGAAATATCTGCCCCTCCAGGCCAAAAGGTTTTCCCACCCTGCTGTAAGTAGATATTTGTGTCTACATCTAACATTTCAGGTTTAAATGTTTCCCCTTTTTATATATTGAATTTAAGGAAACCATTAGGAACAAAATTAATTATAATCAGAAAGCTCTTTCCATTAAAGCTGCTTTAACTTCTGTCTTCAGAATTCAGTTAAATTCTGATTCTTCCATTTCTGAATAGATTTTTTCCTTCCTTAGTACGCAGGAAGATCTTGAGCATCCTAGACTCAATTGACTTCAGTCAAGAGATCCCAGAACCTTTGCAGCTGGATTTTTTTGACCGTGCTCAAATTGAGCAGGTCATTGCCAACTGCGAGAACAGAAGTGCACGTGGACCAGTTATCTGCAATGTCAAGGTGAGCAATTTCTAGAAACCTCTGTACCTGGCTTCAGTTAGTTTAAGGGTGCAGTGCAGCAAACATTATGTATATTCCAACATTTTTTATTTCCGTGGAAGATTTTTAGATAAAACCTTAACGCTCCCACTGACTTCAGTATGTCACCATTTACATTAGTAGCCTCTCAAACATGTTCTTCCATGTGAGAATTAACATTGGAATAATTTATATAGGTTTTTACTTACATACCTAATAGTGATATGGTTATCTTCAGGCTCATACCACTGTTGTGCCATCTTCTTTACAAAACACAGTGCCTTGTATTCAATGTCTTAAAAGGAAAGCTGACATTTCAAGTTGAACATTGTTGTACTTTCCTTGGCCTGTTTCATTTAAGTTGAACTGGGGTGGAAATGAAATTGTGGACCTAAATGTGAAATGAGTGAAGTGAATCGGAAAGGGAATTAGTAGTGTTTTCATGTTCACAATTGTCTCCAAATTTTACACATAATAGATTAACAAAAGACACCGCTTTCCTTTCTTCAATTCTAGCATCTCCACAAAGTTCTGATTGCTGAAGTTAATGCTCTACAAGGAATGGCAGCCCTTGGGCAGAGACCTTTGCTCATGGAGGTAAGACCACTTAAAATGTGTAAGCTTGATTGAAACCTGGGAAGTTGCCGTATACAGAATCCATTAATTGGTCCATTTATCTCAGCGTTGTTGACACTGACTGACTTCAAGCAGGGGCCCTACATGGAGATGCTAGGGATTAAACTCAGGACTTTTTTTGACATGCATAGCATGTGCTCAACCACAGTTGTGGCCATTTCTTGAAAAACAGCTTCATGGATTATTTTACTACTAATTGTTTTTTGGAAGAGCCCAATGCCTGTCATTCATTTCATTTTATAAATGCTTTCAGATAAATTACTTTGCGATACTTCATTTATTGTCTCAGCAGGGCTTGGATGTAGGTAGCGCCGGCAATTCTCGTCTTACCTAAGGCCACCCAGTGACTGTGATGCTGGTTTCACGGTGAAGCAGAGCATCGCTTCTAAGGAAAACACAGACTGAGAATTCTGCTGCCCAGAAGGGGTGCATAGACACCCAGCATCTTCTCCATTTTTTCCCTTATCAATTGTCCTCATTAAACTCTCAAAAGCAATTTGAGTTGCTATTTAAAGGGAATCTCAATGGGGAGACAACCAACATTCCTCTGATGGCATTTTCCCCCCTTTTAAGCAGCTCCCCGGCAAAATCCTCAAGCTGCTTTTGAAACTTGGCTGAGTTTGAAAGGCAGTCTTAGGGTTCCTTGGGCAACTGAGGAGAACGCAAACATGTGTGCACGTGCCCTGCTTGATTATAGGCCAAGGGTATAATATAACTTTCATTGAAGCTGCTTTTTAGATATGTCCTTTGCAACTTTGTTTAAAAATAGAGCCCTTTTTTTGGTCTACTTTGAGATAACCTTTTCCTTGACCGTCCAGGAAATCAACACAATTCTCCAGTATGTTGTGGAACGGAACAAGCTCCTTCAGTGTCTCTATGCTAAGCGGCATGCTCTGGAGTCCTGGAGGCAGTTGGTGGAAATCATATTAACTGCCTGCCCACAGGACCTTATACAACCTGAAGATAGGCAGCTTATTATCCGTGATCTCTTACAAGATTTGCATGACAAGGTAAGCCCCTTGAAATGACATGGTATGGTGACGCTGATGGCCAATTTGGGTGTCCATTTTGAGTTTTTTAAAATGCACAGTTGAATACCTAATGGTTTCCAATCCATTCATATTTACCAGCAATTTCCCCTAACAAAATCTATGTGTTCTGAGTCAGCTATGCCACTTACTTAGCTTTTGTTACTGTTGCTTCCCAACATCACTTTACAGACTTTTTAACACTTATTCAAGGGGGGAGGCTGGATATGGGCTTTTGAATGTTCCTGGATTGCCATAGCTGTACCTTTCGGATCCAATCAAAGTAGAGGGTTTGGGGGGGGGGGTCTAGCAAGGAGATCAGTGTTTCTGTACCACACACCGCTTCATGATTGAGACACATTTGTCTCATTGCTATTTAAAATTGAACATTCTGCTTATAGTCATTTGTATTAGAGATGGCTATAGAAGTTATGCAGACGTGTATCGCAAGCATGTACCAAAACAGCAACTCTTTCTTTTGTTCCCGTAAGATCCTGAATGACGATGCTGCTCAGGAGTTAATGCCTGTTGTGGCGGCAGCCGTGTTCACCCTGACCGCCCACTTAAGTCAGTGTGTGCGAACGGAGCAAAAGGAGCCATTTGCCGTCCCTCTGCCTGGGCACTCGCAGTTTGTCTTGATGCTGGATGGTTCTTTCACAATACCACCTGGTTCTGAAGGCATGGTGGTGGGATTCGCCTCTATTGGAGACTCTTCTCTACATATCATATTGAAAAAGATTCTGGATTTCATTCTGAAAACAGGTAATTTTTAATGACCACTTTAAAATAGATTCCATAATCTTTGAAGCAGTTGATTGATGTGCTCCCCAGGTTCTAGGGAAACAGATTGGCGTGTGCATTACAAAAGCCAGCATTCTGTAAATAAGTTGAGTCTTGAGGTGGATAGCAACAGAAGAATGGTTTATGTGTGCTGTCTTTTTCCACAGTATAAATACCCTTTTTTCTGTCTGAGCAGGTGGTGGCTTCCAGCGAGTGAGAACACATCTGTATGGATCACTGCTTTACTACTTGCAGATTGCTCAGAGACCAGATGAACCGGACACCCTAGAAGCAGGTAGAATACAAAATGGTGATGAAAAGAGAACATGCGCTGCATTTGCAACTATATTGGATCTCTTTATATGACCAGAGTTCACAGTCCCATACTTCCCCCCGCATTCTCCATCAGCAATAATAACTTTATTTCTCTGGTTTTTTCAGGCTCCCCAAAGCCATTATTTCCCAGTCCCATATATGTATGAAGCTGACTGGTCAGTTTTATTTCATGCCCCATATCCAGCCTTGGATTTCATCTATGTTCATAGACTGCAGTGACCCAAAAGCGTGAATGCAGTGGTTACTTTTCTTCTGTCATGAGCACATTTCCATTGAAGGCATCTTGTGTCCTTTCACTGAAGAAAATATGTGTGTGTTTCCTATCAGAGTTCATCCGAAGAAGCTTTTTTGTTTGTATTTTGTTACAAGTAACATTCTTTGCTGAGGGATCTGTTTTCTCATTTGAACATTCCAACTAAAATACTCTCCTCTTCCCCTCCCTATAAAGGCAAATGTAGTTGTTCGCCTTTAATTTTGTCCTTTTCTTCCTCTTTATAGCCAAGAAGACCACGTGGGAGCGTTTAACAGCGCCTGAAGATGCTTACAGTAAACTGCAGAGAGAAAACATGGCAATTATTGAAAGCTATGGTTCTGCCCTAATGGAGGTGGTCTGCCGAGATGCCTGTGATGGTCATGAAATTGGACGGGTAAATAAAATAAGATATTCTGTATTTTAATTTTAAACAGGTTCAGGTCACAATTTGGGGAGAAACACACACTGATGTCTGAATTTTGGAACATTCAAATATTTATTAAATAATTACTTGACAGTTTAGGATTTTTTAAAAAGAAGTTCAGTAAGTCTTTCATATCTTACATACTTGCTTTTGATAATTATTTTCCGGTGATAATACATATATACCAGGTGAAGTGTGGTAAACGTTTGCTACCTGTGCCTGAGTAATGCAGCTGTTAGCCTGCTTTCCTTGTTAAATCATTCCGTTTTTACATTTGGAAAAAATGACTGCATTTGTACTTAAAGTTGGTTCTATAGCAGAAAAGGTAGTAGATAATGAAGAGCGAACATAATGTAAGCTATGACGGTTGGGAAAGAATGCCCGGTGTTTACTCTTGTTCTGTTCTGCATTTTTTAAGCAGTCCATATAGTTTCAATGTAATTCGCCAGTTTGTGAAGAAACACGGTTAATGATGAATAGCGTGTACATAATCATGACCAACCAAACTGGACATTATAAAAAAGTTTTTTGCCACTAAAAATAGCATCTACATTTGCCATCCCCCTTGATAATGTCTACCCAGCACTTGATATCACAGCAGTCAGTGATCTAGAGTGGGGGTATGTTAAATGCATGTTTTCTTAGACATTTCTTAAATCTGCAGATTAGTAGTCCATTCACGGATTTTATTTACTATCAGAACTTTTAAAATAATGTCACTGAAAATAAGAAAATTTCACTAGTTTTTGCTTGTGTGGAGATTTCTTGGAACTAGCACAGCAGCAACCCCCATAGAGCACCTCTGAAACTGGGACATCGTTTTTCTCTCATTTTGCATTCTGGCAAGATATGCAGCTGCAACTGTAGACTAATAACTTCGTATCGTACAATATTTGTTGCCATGCTTGCAAATGTAAAACATTAAAGTATTAGGAGCCAGTATCATCTTAGCTAGTCTGCAGATATTGTACATTCCCATTATTTCAACATAGTTAGAAATACCCTGTTTTTAAATAAGCTGCAGCAGATATTAGATAATTTTTGTATCCTTTCTTGAGGAATTTAATCTTTCATTTTTGTTTTTCAGATGCTAGCACTAGCCTTACTTGATCGCATCATCTCTGTAGATAAACAGCAGCAATGGTTGTTGTATCTCTCCAACAGTGGCTACCTAAAAGTGCTTGTAGATAGCCTAGCAGATGATGACCTCAAGCTGCAAAGCTTACTTACACCCCAGCCTCCTCTTCTTAAAGCACTGTACACCTATGAGTCAAAAATGGTAAGATCTTAATAACTGTTCAGTGACCTGGGGTCCACACAGCCAAATCCTGGATTAATAATCCAAGATATGCATGAGCATCATGAACCTGCATACAGCCCCTTTGTGCAAGTAAAGAAACAAGCAGGGAAACCACAGTTAACTGAAGCTTCCTGTTACATGCAAACTGGGAATTGTGGTGTATGACAGCCAAACATGCCAAGGTTTGTAAGGCAACTTTAAAACGTGGTTTCATATCATGGCATGTTTGGGAGCCACTGTTCCCAGTTTGTGTGTAATGGCAAGCTATGGTCAGTTATAGCTTCCTGGCTTGTTTCTCTATTTGTATGGCAGGAGGAACCAGGGCAAGAGCAAAAGAAACTCTGTGTGGGTACATGGACCTCATGCATAACCTGGCTTAATAAGTGTTGTGTCACATCAGGGTTCCTATTACAAATATTAACTAGAGATGTCTTATTCTCATACTTATAGCTTACTGGTATAAAACACAGGTGTTCTCTCCGCTTGGAGGAAAGTTCTTTGAAGAAAGAAAGGTGTGGCAGGTTGCTGGACTAGGATTCCTACTTCTATCCTAGTCTTTTCTCCACTTCTGTACATAGCAAGTTCTGGATCTGCTCTGCTGTACTGGTTCAAGGGAGGTTTCCCTTTCTGCTCCTTAGCAGTTGCTTGTCTTTTAAGGGGCAGTAGCCTGTATAGCCAATAGCCAATATCCAAAATCTGAAAACCTAATTCCACAAGTGGTGGATGCTTTAGAATTACATTTTTTGATCTGCAGCTCTTCCACCCCCACCCAGTTCTGCATGGCAAGTTGCCTCTGAGGCTGAGAAGCATTTCAAATGCAGTTTATGACATGTTTTGGGGGATCAGTTCATAGAAAAAAGCCTCTCAGCAATTTCTTAGATTAGTGCAATGCCATGTGTTAGTCCAAGTTGCTTTTAGATCCTAGAATTCTAAATAAGTGTATTTTAAATCATGTCCATTGGCTGGGTTAAATAAATGAATACAATTCAGTTTTTGTGTTTTAACTTGAAGGTATGTGTTAAGGTTGCTGACAGAAAAACATTTAGAGTTGCCACATTAAAAAATATATATATCCTATGTTCTTTTTAAAATTCATTTTCTTTATTTTTTACAATATGTTTCAGGCATTCCTGACCAAAGTGGCGAAAATACAGCAGGGAGCACTAGAGTTACGTAGATCTGGAGTGATTGTGAAGCTTGCCCAGTGTCAGGTATATGACATGCGACCAGAAACAGATCAGCAGGGGTAAGTGTCATACAATTTGTCCTCAGAGTTATGTCCGAAGTTGCAAACACATCCCGAGAACAAAATCTCTCAGTGCTGAGGCCCCACTCTGTGTTTTACAATGATTAACATTTATATGCCTTCATTGAATTCATGCTGCTGTGTCAGGAAGGATCCTATCCAAACAGGTATAAGTATATTAGTAATAGTGCGTGTTTGCTGGAGATGTGGTACAAAATTATTTCACTATAGGTAGCTCTGCAGCCTTTGACTCCTGTGCTGCACTGTTGATAGGAACAAGCCTCTCTTGAGATGACCGTGCCATAAGATTTGGACTCCCTCCTTGCAGACTGAGGGTGTAAATATGTGAATCAATTATATTTCTTAAAGCTATGTTAGTCTCCTCCACATCTTTGATTCTTCAAAGGAGCACAAATGATGGGGAGCTTCTGGAACCCACTGGACTTTTGCTACCAATCAACAAAGAGTGGGGGTGGCGCCCATCTTTCATAATATTATGTTCTGAGTGATGTTTTTTAAAATCTACCAGTTAGTTAGTTTCTCTCTTTTTTTCTCTCCTTTCTTCAGAATATTTGGAATGCGAGAAACCCCCGTCTTTATTCCTGCTCCTGTAGAACGCTATCGCCAGATTCTTCTGCCAGCTCTTCAGCTGTGCCAGGTCATCCTCACATCTAGTATGGCAGAGCACGCACAGGCTGCAGGACAGGTAAGGGAAAATGCAAGAAATTCCTAGTGGTGTCGGCTATTCATTACTGTTGCTCCTTTCCACAGCAGACTTCGTGTTTTATGTTTGTTATTTCCAAGCCTCCTCTACTGATACGTTGTCCTAAAGTTCTTAATTGTATTTTAATTTTATTTCTGTATATACTTTCTTGTTTTGTCATAGGTTTTGCAGTTCCTAATATCACATTCAGATACTATCCAAGCAATCTTGCGGTGTCAAGAAGTCAGTGTGGGGTCGTTGCAAGAACTGGCCTTGCTGACTGGGATAATCAGCAAAGCTGCTCTGCCTGGTGGGTACCTTTGGCAGCCAGTTTATAGTCATTCTAATCATTAACTTTGTTACATACAAATATCTCTTTCACCGAACTCACTTACCTTCGTAAAAGTATGTGCAAACTTTTGACTTGCATAGAACTGAATAGGTGTGTCAAGTTCACAAAAGTTCTTGGGCTAATGTTTATGTGTCGCTTATTTGATTATGCATTCTAACCAGAAGATGAATAAAAATGAGCCCCCATTGTATTATATTTCATTAGGTGCACTAGGTGATTTTGACCTTGATGTTACGGAAGGGATGCAGATTGAACTGCAAGGACATATTGGGCGATTTCAGGTATGCAATTTTATGATCACAGCAACTGTTTCGTGTTAATGGTTTGAATTCAACTCCCTCCTCCCTGGCATGACAGACATGCAATAGATAACAAGCAGCTATACGTGGCAGGTGGAAACAGTCATCAGTTTCTCTACATTCCTTTGATTTTCAGCGCCAGTGCTTGGGCCTCCTAACAAGGTTTGGTGGTAGTGATAGATTGCGTCAGTTTAAGCTGCAAGATGATCAAGCAGAGGGAGACAAAGTGAACAAGAGAGATGAAATTGAACTGGCTATGCAACAGGTGAGCCTCTGCTGAGTAATACAACTAAAAGTCCCTTTTTCACAATGGTAAAATGTCTGTTTCTTCTTTTTTCTGCCATATTATCCTAAGGATGTTGCTGTTCTTGCTTTTTATCTTCCTCTGCAGATCTGTGCCAATGTGATGGAATACTGCCAGTTGCTGATGATGCAGTGTGCCCCCACCTTTGAGCACACAGTTTGCCTCTTCACTCCTAGCCTGTCTGAGACCACTAATCGAGATGGACCTCGACAAGGTTGGTTTGTGGTTTTACTGGTGTAGAACAGGTACTGTATTCCAGAAGCTGAGTTAACACTGGCAAGAAGTTAACGAACCTCGGCATGTTCTTTCTCATATACTGAAAATTCCCTTTACATTGTGTTATGAGATGCTGCAGGAAGGTTTGAGAAATTTTCTATGGTGGATCAGGCTTTTAAACAGCTTATTTATTATTATGTCTTATATATCAGTCTTATATCTTGCCAGCAGTTTTATATGACAGAAATAGTGATTAGGCTTTGAAAATACTGCCCAGATAGCCGTATGTGGTTGTGTGAAACATCTTTCACAAAATAAGTAATGCGGTTACATTAATTTATCTTTGTATTTATCTATATATTAAATTAATTTCAATGTTTATAAATTTAGGCTTTAACTACCGCCCCTCGGGGAATGTAAGCTAATTTTTAAAACTTGGATTGTCATCTGTTTTAGATCCACAAGCAGCGGTGATTCCTTATTGGCGTTTGCCTGGCTTGGGTATAATTGTCTATCTGTTAAAGCAGAGTGCCAATGACTTCTTCAGTTACTACGACAGCCATCGTCAGAGTGTTAGCAAGTTGCAGAATGTGGAGCAGCTGCCACCAGATGAGATAAAAGAGGTAACCAACTTCTGTTCCTTTGAGTCTCCTTCAGATTTATTATGCAAAAGAATGTATCATTATTGTAAATAACCAGTTGGTGAAGGGAAAGCTTAGTAAATGTATCAGTGGCCATAACATTATTCTAACATTCCAGAAAAGCATCCTGTTGGGTTTTTCTTTCAACATCTATATTTATACTTATTAACTCTCAGAAGGGCTAGTGTGAGGTAAACATTCTGGGTTTAGACACATCTAAACATTTTTACTTTCCCTGATAGAATAAAATGACATAATTAAACTATTTTTCCCCATCAAACTTCGCAGAGACTATCAGGTTAGGGATTAGTTTGTCTGAAAATATGTAAGTTGATTTCTTTTAAGAACAAAAGTAGTCATAAATCCAAAGCTTCCCATTAACATGTTTTAAGTTTTCTGTAAAATAGGATAAAGTTAGATTTTCTGTGTAGTGGAGTCCGTAGGGCTCCTACACACTTTAGTGAACAGCTACATGGTAGTATGTCTAGTATGTCTTTATATGTGTGTTTGTTCTTTTCACAGTTGTGCCAGTCAGTTATGCTCGCTGGAGTAGACAAAATTTCTACTACCCAAAAATACATCTTGGCAAAGCGACGGTTGGTGAAGTTGATCAACAATCGAGCCAAGTTGCTTTCTCTGTGTTGCTGTATCTTTTGATAATTATGCTGAGACACTGAAAATTTTACTGGTGAAATTTCTAAGTCAGCTTTAAAAAAAAAATGGAAATTCAGAACTTGTTCATGAAATCTGAGGGAGAGAGGGGCTTATTCGTCAATCTTCACACTTTAAATATTGACTTTTCTAGATCATGAAACCTTGCAGGGTATGGTACCCAACTAAGGACTCACTCCTTGCAAACCTGAACTTGTGATGTTTACTTACAGATAGATGGAAGTGTCTCCTTCATTCAGATATGTGGTTAACAATGAATAATTTATATTACAAAACTGCATTATCACTGGTCTAGAAACTAGCTCCAATGCCCTTCAAATTTATCAGAATGAATTTTACAGTGTAACTTAAGAAAATGTCAAAACCCTGTTTTTGGTTACTGATATGAATCTCATTCGTAAACAGTGGAATATAGTAAGAGAGAAGGTTCTGTCCCTTTTTAAGAGGCAGAAGTAGTTTCTGGTCTTAAGGGTTTCTTAATTTCTTTTTTGTTTGTTGGACATGTAATGCAAAACTGTTAAATTGTTTAATGCTTTAGTAGTGTGTGTTGGTGGTAAGGTGGCCTGCAGTTTCTTCTTACACGTGTTTGTTTGGGAAATTACCAGTGTAGGGCCTTCTCTGTGACTTTGGAACCCCCCCTCCCTAGGGAAACTAGACAGGCTTCCTCCCTTCTTGTTCCAACAGCCTTTTGGGAATTGACTGCTTTAAATAAAGGACTAGTGCTGTGCTGTTGCTTTTTTGTAATTATGTATGTTTGATAGAATTCAAGCTAATTACATATAAAAAAATCTGTTTCAATGTTTAATTTTTCTATGTTTTTAGTGGTTTTGGTTTTATCTGTAAGTTGCCTTGAGTCCTGTCAGGGAAAAAGGCAGAGTATAAATATGATGTTGTTTATGGTGATGATAACAATAGGACAGTATCAACAACGGTTTTGTCTCCTACCTGTGTTTTGGAAATATGCATGAATGTTGTGGGGAAAGACCTGCCCTGGAGAAATGTGGTCTTCTTTGTGTTAGTACTTTAAGATGGTTAAGTTTTCTAGAACAATGTTGAGACAACATAGGGGCTCTTAGGAGCCCTCATTTCCAAATTCTCTCTCTCTCTCTATATATATGCATTTTCCTTTACTAGAAATGCTTGCAGATATTATAGAAACGTGCCTTTTCATTCTTTGGCGGCACCTGGAACACTATCTGCTACACTGTACCCCGACGGATTCTCAAGATTCTCTTTTGGCCTCCAGGAATCGGATAAAGAGCAGAAGATTACAAGGTAGTTTTCCTCAGACTTTTAGGGGTTCTTGTATTATGCTGTGTGATTAAAGTTACACACTAGGTTATGACAGTGTAATTAAGAATTCTGAATGGTTTTTAGCCTGCTTAAGTAAGTTTAGTGGTAACAATTTTTTATTCAGTCATAAACATTACTTTTGTTTGGTGCAAGCAGTATGTGTTTGAATGCAGTTTTGGCAATTGCTGCACCACAGTAGTGCGGGGAGGGATTTCTTGCATTGATTGGACTGGTTTTAATTGGATTATCAAACACAGCTGCATTAAAAATAGATGTCTCTTGTTCAACAAAATGTACACTGAAGTACTTTATTATTTTAAGTTCAGCAAACTTGTTGAATGTTGTAAAGTTTTGAGCTACCTCCTCAAGAGGTGAACTCAATAGGTCCTTTCAGGAGGAATCCTTTGGGGGCTAGCCAAGTAGTTTTATGGGGGTGGTAGATGGGGGACAGATAATATTGATAAGGGAGTTTGATGGGGACAGATTCCACCAGCAAGTTTCAGATTTCCCAAGTCATGTTTCCTCTCAGTTCAAAAGAAAGAATGAGTTGACTACCTTTTCCTATATAGTGTGGAATCTTTGTCTGTGCCCCCATGTGTTCAGATACTTTATGGCACTGGTTTGTGGGTTGCGGAAGATTAATGATCCCACCAGCTGAAGCCAGGTGTATTACTGTTGCACCTGCATACAAGTCACAGAAATTCAGATCGTGGCTTCGCCAAGTTGAAAGCTAGAGGTTGACTTAAAGGAAAACCAGTTTGGTTGCCTGGGACAAGTAAGTCACTTCTACCTGTATGTTTTGGTGAAAAATTAGGATAGGAAGATGATACGGTATAGAGAGGCGATTACTGTATAGACAAAACAAGCTAGAAATCTTAAAGCACAATCCTATCATATCTACTAAGCTGAAAGTGCTCTCTATGGCACATAGGCTACAGTCCTATAAATTGTTTTATGTTATACATTTTGAAAGCTTGTTTTGTACCTACAAATAACTATTGTTATTTTTTTAAATTCCAAGATACCTTCAATTCAGATCCTAACTTCGATTTTAAAAGTGGATTGAGCAGAGTGAGCCAACTTGATATAGATCAGGTAAGATCTTTCAAATAGTCTTTTCATGGAAACAGTGGCTCAGTTCACACATAATGCTAAGCTAAACCTTGGTTTAGTGTGATGTGTGGACTCCTGAAGAAGAGGCTGCACCTACTCCTCTTCTGGTTCTGCTGCTGCTTTGACTTTATCTGCTCCAGACAAACAAGCTGTAACCTAGTTCATTTTTCTATTTGGGAAGAAACATAGAATAAACTCTGATGAACTTATAGAACATCATTCATGCTTCCCATTATATCTTGCATAATTACTGAAGATGACAAGTTACATTTCCACTTCTGGACGAGAGATCCTTCTGAAATAAAATTTAAAAGGAGTACATTGTTAAGATTGCAGTTATCCCTGATCCTTTGATTTTTTTCCCTAACAGCTTGAGAAATAACTCATTGAGACCAATGTTTTATCATTCAGGGGTTTGTGATATGCCTTCCCCTCACAAAGCCACATAACTTTAATTAGACTTTATATGAGAGCTGGTATTTCTAAATAAGAAATGTATGTATGTATGTATGTATGTATGTATGTTTAAAAAGCAGGGTGTAATGAACAGAAGTTACATTATTTTTTTCTCACTCCTCCAGCTTCAGATTGAAGCCATCAACAGTTTTGGGGAATCGCTGCAGAAGAAGCTCCTTGACATTGAAAGCCTCTATTCTAAGGTCCGATCACGCTACACTTTCATTCAAGCACTCGTTAGACGTATCCGTGGACTACTGAGGCTATCAAGGACCTGAAGACTTATGCTTTTGCCTCACTGAAGTTATTTTTTGTATAAGTGTCATTTTCTAAATTATGGTCAAAACTATTTTGCTATATTTTTTCATTCAAATAATGAATCAGTTTTGTGTAATTCTATTTCCACCTATTGAAGGGGGGGGGGAATAAACATTTTTAAAATAACATACATACATACATACAAAACAAAACTATTATGGAAAGGAGATGTAATTTAAAAGAACAGATTAATCAGAAATGGGATCTTGGCTGATTTTTCACAGCTGTAACAAGTAGAAACCATGCCGATGGGAATAAAGATTGTTTTTTGAGATTCAATTCTTTGATGATTGCCAAAATAGAAGTAGAAAACCAATCAGCCCACTTCATAAGTAACCACTCTCCACGTCAGCTGTACTCTTGCCTTACTGCTTCCAAAAGAGAAGTAGTAATAGTTTTGTAGTTTTGTATAATATGCAGTTAGGGATAAAGGGAAAGCAATGTATCCTGGGGAATCTAGATTACCAGATTTTACTTATTTTATTGTGTACGTATTCATTGTGAAAACTTCTCCATTCAAAAGTGGATGATGTGCTTAAACCATTAAAACCCTCACTGATTTTAAAACTTAACCCTAATGTCACTCTATCCCTGTTCATCAAAAATGTAAGAGAAATATGAGGTGTTACTTCCAGAACAGTCTTTTAAATAAGGCCACAAAAACCTACCAAAAATAAAAAATTCTTCAACCTGCTGTGGGCTGGCCGTTGAAGAACTCAAACCACTTGTTCTCTCTGCTGGGCACAAAGAAATGATTGAGTACTCATTCACCTGCATGCAATTCCATGTTAATTACCAGCTGAATGTTTTAATTACAAGGCTGTTCCAGACTATACTTCCAGGGGACTTGACAGCTGCAGGTTATCCCTGTGTGCACCCTTGAGGATCTTAACCTGATGCATACATAGTAGAGTGCCATTGTGGTGTTGTTTTTCTAAAAGCTTATCATGAAACACTTTGGCTGAGGGCAGTCTTGTGCCCAAGCAGTATCCTGATTCCTGAATCGCCTTTGGAAGCCAGTACTGAAGCACACTTCTTTGCGGTTTAATTTCTGCTTGCCACGCATGATTACAGAGATCATGCATTAGTGTGTATATTTAACAGCAACCTCTGCTCTACCTTCCTATAACAAGTTGCTCGCCTGTCAAGCACCATCCTTTGCGCACCGGGGACTAATCCTACCAAATGTTTATTTATAAGGGAAGATCCTAGACGCTGCTCCCGTAACATGAAAGCGCTAGCCAGTCCACTGGGGTTTTTCCTTCAGCCAAACCGAGAGGCGCGCGTCCTCACCACGTGAATCCCCTCGTGGCGCCACGCGGGCCAAGAACGCCCCGCCCCCGTAGCCCATGTGACCCCTCCAGCGGTTCACGCCTCCTGCCGCTACTTTCCAGCAAGGAAGCGGCATCTCGTTTCGAAACGGCAGATTCGTCACGTAACTGTTTAAATCGTGAAAATATTTATTATTTTTTTTAAAGGGGTCACTGCCACACGATCCCCACTAGCCTTAGCACCTGACAGGAGTGGCGGCGGAAGCCCTTTTCAGCTCCGTCGGCGCCGCGCTCCGTCCCCTCGTGTCGAAAGCCCTAATCGGAGCGCTGCCCCTGCTTTGCTTTCCGTGTGCCCAGCGGCTGTGAGAGAGGCGGTCGACGTGGAAGCAGCAGCTTCGCGGCCAACTTCCGGGTTAACGGCGGCGGCCGCGGCGGCGCAGGGGGTCGGCGCGGTTTCTCTGAGAGGGAAGCGACGCGGGAAAGCGCCTCAGCCATGGGTGAGGAAAGGGCCCTGAGGCGGCCGGGCTGCTGAGGGAGAAGCGGGGCGGGTGAAGCGGTGGCGCAGCTGCAGGCCGGGCGGGAAGCAGGTCGCCTGGAAACGGCGGGGGCGAGAGAGAGAGGAGCGTGTCTCTCCCCCCCCGAGGGAGGCCACTCGGTGCGCTACGTTTCCCCAGGATGGTTCTCGTTCCCGTGTCGCAGCAGGCGAGGAGTTTCCCTCAGGCTGGGGCCGTAGGGAAAATCCCCTCTCGCGGCAGCTCGTTGGGCCAGACGCAGCCCGGGAGGGAGGTGCACCTTCGAGTGCCTTGCCCGGAGCGGAATCCTCCCCGCTTCCCTTCGTGTAACGTTACGCGGCGCCCTTTCTCCCGGCCGCTGCTGAGGAGGCCGGCTTTCCTTCGCCCGGCTGCTCTGCCGAGGGCGGGGAGGTTCCTTCGGGGTCCTCGCCCACCTGGTCCTTGGCCTGGGCTCCCGCGCCAGCTCCGCCTTCCTCCGGTGCGTGCGCTGCCTCGCCTATCCCAGCGCCACCCGAAGCCACTTCGCTTTTGGGGAAGGACCTGGGAGCAGCACACCCACCACGTTCCTCGGGAAATCCCGGAACCCTCCAGATGTTGTTGGACTCCAGCTGCTCTCAGCCCTTGCCTGCCTGACCAGTGCTCAGGGATGATTACTTACCCTACAGGAGGCTTGTTTTCTTGGGCTGTCTGGTTTCACCAAAGTAACTTCCTATTTCTGATGACTAGAAGAAAAAAGAAATGTCCTGGAAGATTTTGTAGATTGCTGTTGTTCAATAAATAATTGTTAAGGCTCCGCCTGTTGAGTCTTCATGGGTTTATCAGCCTTCTGAGGTACCTGTGTGGCCTGCTCCATAATGAAAGACCGTTTTTCTTCTTAATTTGGGGAAAGCAGATTTTGGTGGAAAGAGACAGGCCCCAGTAAGGGATTCTGCACTCCTGCCAACTAATGCTAGGAGAAAACAAACCGTGATCCTTGGCATGGCGTTATGTCCAAATGGTTTGTTTTGATCCAGCAGGCTACGATTACTAAATTAAGGAGAAATCTTGGTTACAGATTAGGGTTTGGTCGGAATGAAGCAAACCATGATGTAACACTGGGGATCATGATTTGATTTCTCCCAGCTCAGGAGGAGTGATATGTGATTTTGTTCATACACAATAAATCATGGTTTATGGTTTACCATGATTTAAGAGCGTGGCCAGTATGAGTGCTCTTTAGAGGTAATTTTGTGAAATCTGAATGATACTCTGTGGGTGTGGGTGTGGTTGGAGTGGTGGTTGAATTAGCAAGGGTGTGATTGTAGGCTTCTTGGGTAGGGTCCTTTTATTCATATGACACTGAGATAGCTCAGTTGGTAGAGCATGATCCGTGTTGTCCCTTTTACCTATACAATTCTGTGAGGTTTCTGTGACTCTGGTATTGAGGAAGTTTATTTGTTTTGGAAACTCTCCAGACCTAGATAGGGGAGGGAGGAATTGAAGTTACAGCAGAAGTCTAATAGAGAGTCTACCTTGCCATGTAGACAGGATAGCTCAGTTGGTTAGAGCGTGCAGCTGATAACGCCAAGGTTGCAGCTGCATATTCCTGCATTGCAGGGGGTTGGACTAGATGATCCTCAGGGTGCCTTCCAGCTCTGATTCTTTGTCCAGATTATAGTATATATACAGGAATCATAGGGCACATTTGCAGGAGCCTTATACAAAACAAGTGTTGAACAATCTTACATTCTGTTCTTCTTGGAGAAGAATTTGTATGCTCTTATACTGAAGCGTCTGTAACCCGAGGTATGACTGTAAGACCTTTCCCCAAGAAATCTGTCTTACCTCTTTTCACAAGAGCTTTGTAAACAAGCTGTTAATATTTGATAGTCTATGATAATGCAGTTCAGTTTTGACAATTATTCTTGTTCTCTATAGGTGGGTTTTTTTCAACCATCTTTTCCAGTTTATTTGGTACGCGGGAGATGAGAATTCTAATTTTGGGATTAGATGGAGCAGGAAAGACAACAATTCTCTACAGGTTGCAAGTTGGAGAAGTTGTGACTACCATTCCTAGTAAGTGTTCTTCTAAATGTAACACAATGCATCACATGTAATGCAATGCTCTATGTTCTGTTCACTCATACATTGTTAAATAAGGTTTAAATGTGGCAAGCTCAAATTACTGAAATGCACCTAAAACAGATGTAATTTGATTGACATCAGTCTGTCTCAGGACATAATGGAGGAGTGCACCTTTGGAGGTGAAGTCAAACTGTTGGAAGGTTGCAGCGCCTGCTGTGGCTGTAGAGCAGAGGTCGGCAAGGTTTACCTCACCTGGGCTGGTTCACTCCAGCGGAGATCCCTCTGTGGGCTAGATTGCACGCGCCCACAATTTTCTGTGTCTGCGCAGATGCAATTTCCTGCATCTGCATCTGCACAGACGCGATTTCCGGCGCTGCTGAAGCGAGTCCCCGCGCTGTGCCAGTTTAGGGCAGCTCGGTTCAGGGGTGGCTCATGGGCCGGTTAAATGACCCCCTTGGGCCGCTTGTGGCCCATGGGCCGCAGGTTGCCTACCCCTTCTGTGGAGACTGATATGGGAAAGATGAAGGAGTCCAGTTGCGCTGCTGCAGATGCACCATGGTGTTTCTTCTCTCTCTGCTCCTCCCAGTGTCACTGCCTTAAATCACTAAAAATTAGAAATTCTAATTTCTAACTCTTTGATAGCACAATCCTATTGATGTCTGTTCAGAAGTAAGCCCCACTGAATTCAATGGGATTTATTCTTGAGTAAATGTTTATAGAATTGCAACCTTGAGTATCTAACATTAATTCTAAAGAAATGTGTATTCAAATATGGGCAGAACAAATACCCGCTAAATGAGCCTATGGTTTGTTTCTAGGTCATCCTAATTAGAAAATCAGGATTGTAGGAGGGATTCACCTAAGAATCCTTGCCAGTGGAAGCCCTGTGCAAGGACTTTCCCCTGAATAGTGGGGCTTCCCCCACTCTGCCCCAAAAGTAGTTCTGAAGGGAGTTGGGAGAATCCCAGAGCAGCACATGAGGAAGAGAGGGTGGGTCATTCCAACTGGCAAGCCACTATTTTATTGACTCATAAAATAGTGTCTTGGAACAGAAACTAACATATGTACCATTAAAGATGTTGTATATTCAGATTTCCACAAAAGGATTTGGTTTGCAACATTAAAAACAACGAACTTTTTTCTTTTCCAGCAATTGGTTTCAATGTTGAGACAGTAACCTACAAGAATCTGAAGTTCCAAGTCTGGGACTTAGGAGGACAGACAAGCATCAGGTATAGCACATCTGGGGGGGAAAGCACAGGAGTGCAAACCCAGGACATGGCTTCTGAAATACTGTATTTAACTCAGTGCTTGAGGTCCTTAAGAAATTCCGCAATGGTTAGAAAAGAACATGATCTGGTGTTACAAAATTGGCCTGATTTTAGTTAGGTAGAACATATTTTCTTACTGCTAATTGTCAATACAGTTAAAAATCTGATTTCTAAAATGTTTATTATGACATTCCAGTTTGAAAAAATAACTTCCCATGAAGTAACTTACTTACTTCAGCAGAACTGAGCATACTTGGTGAATTTCTTTGTGGGTTTGAAGCTGCTTAACCTGAACTTGACTTCATGTGCCCTTCCTAAGATTTATTTCCCCTTTTTTGCCACTAAAATTCCTTGATAATGGAAAGTAGACTGGATTTTTGAAGGCACACAAGTGTTACTGGATCAGTTTATGACCGCTTGTGACATAAATAGGAAATAGTGTGAGGGTTTAGCTACTAGATATTAGTAGATAAGACATAAAATTACAGATTGTATGTCAGAGTTTAGTTTTTTCCTTTATCAGACATAATCTTCCTAAATTTAATCTATGGTTATGCCTGAAAAGGGTAGCCAGGAAATAATGATGATTGAGCTGTGATTGTTTCACCTGATACATTTTAAATAATAACATGTTTATTTTCCAGGCCGTATTGGAGGTGTTACTATTCCAATACAGATGCAGTCATTTATGTAGTTGACAGCTGTGACAGGGACAGAATTGGAATTTCAAAGTCTGAGCTTGTTGCCATGCTGGAGGTAGGAAACCTGAGGTTTTTGTTCTTTTGTTTTTGTTGTTTTTTAAAAGATAGTTTTAGACACTCTCAGTGAACTTAGTAAAACAATTATGAAATGGACCAACCTTACTATCAACCTGAGAGTGTTTTAGATTTGTACTGCTGTTTCTGTAAGTTTTCATGTATTTATTGGTGGGGGGAAATTTTCCACGCCCAACCTGTTGCAGCATCTGTGTATCCCTTGGAGTTTTGGAACTTCAAATGTGTTTCATAAGTCATATGCAAATACAAAGTGTTTGATTTCTGTACTTGTACCACATGAGCAAAGAGTAAGGATTGGGATGATTCTTGTAATTTTGCTCAAGTTTCTGGCTGCCTTCAGTTAAGAACAGTGCAAAGGGATTAGGGGCACTGCAGGAGATTATATACCACTAGCCTTTACTAATTTTTTCACTCCTAAGCATGTTTTAAGACCATGAGGATCCATTAAATGCCTTTTTCTACCCCCTGATCTTATACTAGCGGCCATGGAAGATTTAGCTGTTCAGGCAACTGCACATAGAATACATCTGGATCAGGTGTGGAGAACCTTTGGTCCTCCAGATGTTGTTCCCATCATCCTTGGCCATTGTCTATGCTTGGTGGGGCTGATGCGAGTTGTAGTGCAGCAACATCTGGAGGGCCCAAGGTCCCCACCCGATTTAGATGCATGGCTATAAGGATGATACATTTGAACCTTCAGCATCTGAACATAAGTGCTCACACCTAATAATGTAACATCAAATACAGCCTCATCAATGGAACTTCTCTCATATAGTGATTTCTAATGCAAAACTAGCAGGAAAGAATTCTTAAATACTTTAAGTTTTTTAAAATTGTAAATAAAAAAACCAAACCCATAACTGAAAATCAGTTTTTCAGTCAGCCTGTCTACTGTGCTTTAGGTATTTTGCATGACTCAAGGCAAGACTTAATAATACACTTTTGTGACATAATCTGCCATCTCTTTTAGGAGGAAGAACTAAAGAAAGCCATTTTAGTGGTATTTGCAAACAAACAAGATATGGAACAGGCTATGACTCCAACAGAAATGGCAAATGCACTTGGACTTCCAGCTCTGAAGGATAGAAAATGGCAGATATTCAAGACATCTGCAACCAAAGGCACTGGACTTGATGAGGCAATGGAGTGGTAAGTACCACAGGTGTTAAATTCTTAAGGTTGTGTCTATGTAGCATAGAGCCTGCTGAGCTACAAGGCATCTTGCTGTAACTAAGTCTTCATAATTGCTTTATCATTCTATATACATGTAATCACAAAGCCGAATCTTTCTAGGTTGGTGGAGACTTTGAAGAGCAGACAGTGAAATGGACTTGGAAGTTTCCTTCAGCTGTCATATGAATGAAATGCAATTCTGTAAATAGGACTGGCCGAATAACTTTTGAAAGGAATGGGGCTTCTTTGCATTGTAAATCACACTGAATCAACTGAATGTTTGTCTGTATACTATGTTTAAAATACTACATTCTTTTTTGTGTAAGTTATGTAACATCAATTTTTATGACAGTCATAACTGATAGTCCATGAGAATAAATTGGAATAAACATTTGCTACTTAGAATTCTAAGTGTTTGAAACTATTTAACACTAATAAATATATTTAACTATCATTTATCTAGATTTTTCTATTTCATGCCTGTTCCTTTCATGTGTTCCTTTTTGTAGTTAGTAAAAAGCTAAAGGGACCCCTGACCGTTAGGTCCAACGCCGTTTACCTTTCCGCTGGAGCGGTATCTACTTGCACTTTGACATGCTTTCGAACTGCTAGGTTGGCAGGAGCAGGGACTGAGCAACGGGAGCTCACCCCATCGCGGGGATTTGATCCGCCAACCTTGTGATCAGCAAGCCCTAGGCTCTGTGGTTTAGACCACAGCACCACCCACATCCCTTTTTTGAAGTTAAGAGTAGCTTAAATAAGTAGTCTTGGTGGCATTATCCAACTGATCAGAACTGTTGCAAGATGAAGCCTTGATACTTGATTGTAATGTGGGGACCCTTATTAGTGCTGCTTATAGAGTTCTTTGTTTTCTTACAACCAATAGTGGAACCCTACGTTAAGTATTTTGCTTGCAGTGTAACCTGTGAAGGAAAGCCTTGATGTGCTCAAGATATATATGCTCGGAAATGGAGCTGTTGTGGAGAGAAGTTAACCAGGAAGTTCTGCAGGTATTTGAATATGCTTATTTAATGTATGGAGGGCTGCATGGACTCAGTTGTGATTGTAGGGAAGCTATGTATCCTGAAATATTTTAAGTGAGGCCAGTGGAAAGCCCCTAAGCCAGTGGTTCACTTTAGATCTGGAGACTTTCCTATAAATTGCTAGCAGAAAGCTACAGAAGGAATCACTGTACTTGACAACCAGGTGGCTTTTTAAAAACCTAATTTGAGTTTTTTAAATGAAGACTGTAGAAAACAAGGAGAAAGATGGATGTTACCACATGCCATGGTATGAGTCACCTTGTTGGGTACTGTACAGTGGTACATCGGGTTAAGAGCTTAATTCGTTCTGGAGGCCTGTTCTTAACCTGAAATTGTTCTTAACTTGAGGTACCACTTTAGCTAATGGGACCTCCTGCTGCTGCCACACCGCTGTCACACAATTTCTGTTCTCATCCTAAAGCAAAGTTCTTAGCCGAAGGTACTATTTCTGGGTTAGCAGAGTCTGTAACCTGAAGCGTCTGTAACCTGAGGTACCACTGTATCTCCTTCAGCAATTGTTCAGTTGGTTTTTTTTAAAGCTACATTTCTCCATAGCAAGCAACGCAAGGGTTGAAAAGCATAGGCCTCCCACTACAGGGCCAATGGAAAGAGTAGCAGCACTTTGTCATGATACCAACACGTAAAAATGCATCTCCACGAGGAGGATTGAACAAGGGTTCAAATCACCCAGCTCAAGTTAATCACACACAGGAGAAAATATTTCAAAGGCTCATTGAACACATTTCATTAGAAAAAAACACTGTATTACCACAAACTGTACATCACTCTACAGTGAACTATAGAGCCCTGAAAGGCTCAGCCTTAATAATGTATCCTCTTAAAGAAACATTTGGAGAGAAATTTTAAGGCATCAGTTGAATAGGTTATGTATAGATTAAAATTACAAATAAATAATTAGTAATCCATAAGAGAGCTGGTTTTTTTGTCTCTGCAAGAGGTTGTTCTTCCCTGCTGTGGTTCTTAGTATATACTATTTTATGTTGAAACATCCTCTAAATGAGTCTGGCAGGGAAGAGCACCTGCTGCTGCAGTTGTTGTCTCATGTTCTGTACAGCATGGAAAATTTATAATGGGAGTAATGTGATAGTGTTTCACTCCACCATCGCCAAGTCTTTTAATGCATGGCTTCTTGGTCTTTTTGCTTTGTAACCAGGCCGCAGAAATTCTATTTTTCTCTTCTTTGCTTCAATTTTATTCTTGTGTCTCTTCAACTTCTTCTTGGCAGCAATGTCAGGATTAGCAACAGCCTAATCAGAAAACAAATAAAAGTCATCATGTTCACGTTTCCCCTATACATTCTGAAGTTGCCTGGTTTCAATAAAAGTTTCCCTGCCATTGGATAAGCTGGACATTTTAAAGCAAATGCAAGTAAAACTAAAGTCAGACACTAACCTCCAAGGCTCTCTGTTTCTTCCGGATAGCTCTCTTCTGACTGGCTTGCTTTTGCACAGAAGCAAACGCGAGTGAAAAGGTTTCCAACCCAACCAATTTCTTCAAAAGCTCTATGATTTCCTGGGAAAGATTCTTCAGAGTTGGATCTAGGAAAGATAACATGATTTTGAATACTCAGAAGTGTCTTCAAGTGCTACAGAAGGTCTATATATAATGCCCCATTCTCTCTTGTGTGCACATGTTGATTCCAACAATACATAGGCATGTGCAAGTCACCCCTCCTGTTGGGACACTGGAAGCATCTGCTTTTAGATTAACATGTCATCCAAACCCACAGTTAAATGGTTAGTTGAAACAAGCTGGTTTGAATGGAGAAACCTTAGTTAAAGTTAGCAGCTGTTTGTCAGGGTTCAGTCGGCACAGCAAATTGCAACTAATTTAAATGGAAGCTAAAGCTTCCAACTGTGCCAAAGAAAAATAAGGACCACATGCCCACTCCACCATTCAGAAACGGCCATTCAAGTAAGCGTAGGACAAAAACACTGCACAGTTGAAACGCCATCTTAAGTCCCTAAAGCAGGGGTGGGGAACTGGCAAGCCATGCTATAAAAGAAAAGCCAAACCAAGCAAGACTTGACTCCAAGCCTGCTTTCTGCAGGGATCAGCTGTGTGACCCCCACTCCCAATCTGTTGGGCTTGGAATCCCCCATGTCGCGCTTTAGGCAAGGGGTTGGCTGTACTACTGTGACTCCCATGGGAAACTCAGTAGCACAGCCAACCCCAGCAGGCTTGCTCTCACCAGCACATGATGGTGGGCAGGTGCAGTTTGGGACAATCTGTCTCATGGGACCAAGTGGTTTCCCACCCCTGATCTAAAGCATCCGTCATGGATGCCAACACTTTCTGTTCCTTTTTCTTGTGCTGTGTAATTATGATGATGCAAGACAACTGACCTTTTGGTACAGGAAGACCACCTACTTAAAGGGGGTGTGGACAGTCTCACTGAACAGCTGACTCTGACAACTCTCTTACCTTGATCTGCATAGGTACTGCTGAGTTCTCGATATAGAGGGGCTATGATTGTAGGAAGGTATGGTTTCACCCTGTCTTTCCCAAGATCTACTGCAATGGCACCAAGGAATTTAAAGATACAGGTTCTCTGAAAATACAAATACATTTGGTCACATGACCAGTTTGCAAAGGAAAACAAATACTTTAAGGACCTAATTACTAGTGACTTGCTTTTTCCAGCAACTCGGAAAATAGGTTTCAGAGCCTATTATGTGTTACACAACTCTAAAGACCATTGGCATTTGGTTTTTTAAAAAGAAAATAATCTCTGCTCCTGGTTTTCATGTTTAGGTCTAACAAAGGATCTGCTTGCAGTTTCATAGCCCTACTTCATTTAAGCTGTGATGGATCTACAGGTTGCATTTTTGTACCATTTGCACTGACACCTTTGCACTTGTCTATCTGAAATCCTGAAACTATTGTCAAACTGAAAGGCATTATCTGTGAAAGTAAAATTGTTCTCGCTGAAAAACATACAAACCTTTAAAGGGTCCTTGGGTGAATATGCAGCTTCACGTGAGGCCAACGCCAAGAGTCTTTTCATTACCCATAGCAGTGTGGCTGGGCTGCTTTTCTCTTTGTCGTCTTTTGCCTCCATGGTTGAAGTCTCGTTTTCAACATCTTCTCCAGAGTCTTCTTGATCCTCAGCTTCCTGGCCCACCTCGTCGCTGATTTCTTTGCCATCTTCTGGAGGAGCCATAAGGTACAGTACTTTGGCTACAAACAGTAGATTCTTCACAACCTTAAATATAAAGCACAGATATAAAATACAAAGTTATCCAAAGACTATTTTTAAAAAAAAGGTTTTTAAAATCAGGCCTATCAAACTTTTTCCACTTGGGTCATACAACAGCTATGTAACTGTGGACTACTTAACAGGTGTTTGAAAATCCCTTCATGTGTGGCCCCCCAAAAGCCTAGGGTTCAACACCCTGGTGGCCCTAACTAATATAGAGCCACCATGGCACTTGATCTTTAAAAAAATATTGTAATTACTACAGCCAAGAATGCACACACAAAATAGGAAAAGAGCACCAAGAAGAGCCGTTCCAATGAAAGAGAGGCACATTCATTTATATGGTAGGCATCAGTCATCACCCTCCCCCCCCAAATTAAGCATCTGTCAGTTTCAAATGGAAGAGTATCCCAATTCTACATGGTGGAAATAAATCACTGGAATAACAGTAGCCCCCACTTGGTCTTCAGATGCACAGTATGTCTGCATAATTATAGCTTCAGCTGCTCTGCACTGATGTACCTTAAAAGCTTTGCACAAATTATAATCTTAAAACCATTCACAAAAAGTAAATATGTAGTATCAGAATGCAATAAAAATCCAAGCAAAACACAAGAAATACCGAGCGGTGTGTTCAGTAATGTTAGGGAAAGCCTGATTAAACAAGTTAGTTTTCAGTACAGGTTTAAGAAGGGAAGGCCCACTTTCATGACATCACAAGGTGACATTCCGCCAGTCATGGCATGCTGCCACTGCTGACTCCCAAGGTAAGGTGCTGGCTGCAAGTTCACTTTTGGCCAATCTCCTTTGGCCCACTAAGACTGGGGGCATCCTCTTCCCAGGCCCCTGTGGGGCAGTGTGAGCAGGCACCTCTCTTTGGGGCAGGGGCAGGGGCTGCCTGGAGGACTCCCAAGAAGAGGGGAGAGGAGGCTGAGGGAACAGTCCACAAGGGAGGCTGTTCAAAAAAGGGTGAGAGGCTGCCAGCCCTGCAGGCAAGGGGTGACATAACTGGGCTCCTGAGCCCCACAGGGGTGCCACAGAAAGAATGGAGTTGGTCAAGGAAGCTGTGGACTCAAAAAGGTTGAAAACCTCTGTCTTCTGCTGTCAGTGTAACTCCACTGAAATTCAGTAAGAATTTCTAAGTGTGTTCGCTGACACCTACACCCCATTCTCTAGATTAGAATCTGGTTGTATTTGCCCACTGAGGGACAAGCAGGGCAAATTAGAAGACAGGATGTTCAGATATCATTTGTGTTGTTAGTTACAAATCTTGAAGTGCATTATGATAAGCAAAACCATTTCTCTCAATTTGTTCCAAAACAATTCGATTTTATGCTCCAGGCACCAGAATGTCTTTAGCTGCCTCTTTCAATTGTGTGCTATTTCAACACACGTATCCCAAAATGGGGGGGGGGGGGGGATCTACCAAAAACCTTACATAGTTACCTGTTCTCCAAGACATGGATCTAAAAATCTGGACTTCAACTGATGGCAGAATGCTAAAGCAAGTGTTTTCATCTGTAAAAGTAAAGAAAAGTTAATCATTCTGAAACACAGTGAAGCATGAAAGGGCTGCTCTCCCTAAGAAGTATATTAAGAGACAAAAAGAGACACAATCATGTGAAGCTCTATCATGACATTGAAACTAATGTTCATTTTTGTTTCTGCCATCTAACGGCAAACTGAAATGTGTATCAATGCAATAAAGGCAATTTAGGAGGGCAATGTTAACCTTTTTGTCTAGTTCTTCTGTTAAGAAGGTAGTTGCCGGTGGATCTGTAGTACTTTCTTGACTCTTTTCCAGCTTTCTTTTACTCCATTTGTTAACAAGTTCCTCTGGCTTGTGACCAGCAAACAGCAAGCCAAAAATCTGAGAAGACGTCGACCACACCCAACTGTGAGGGTACCATAAATGAGACTGCACATGACCTTCAGAAATAGAGAGAAATAGGCTTAAACTGTACCTATTCATACACAGAGGAATATTATTTATTCAATCAATCAATCAATCAATCAATCAATCAGTATATTGCCTTTCATCCCAAGATTGCAGGGCAGTTCAAAATACAAAAAACCCACAAACTAATAACCCTCCCCTCCCACAAACACATTTCAAAGGCCTGGTTGAAGAGGAATGTTTTTGCCTGGCACCTAGAGATGAACCTAGAAGGTGCCAGGTGAGCCTCCCGGGGGAGAGCGTTCCACAAATGAGGAGCCACTGCAGAAAAGGCCCATTCCTGTGTTGCTACTCTCCAGACCTCTCGGGGAGGAGGCACATGAATAAGGGCCTCGGTCTGTTCATATGGGGGCTGATGGCCCTTGAAGTACTGCTGTTCTCAGCTGTTTAAGGATTTATACGTCAAAATCCACACTCTGAATTGAGCCTGGAAACTAACTGGCAGCCAGAGCAGTCGAGCCAGAATCAGTGTGATATACTCAAACTGTCTTGCCCCAGTGAGCAACCTGGCTATCAAATTCTGCACCAGCTGATGTTTCTGAACTGTCTTCAGAGGCAGCCCTACATATAACACACTGCAGAAATGTAACCTAGAGGTTAGACAACAGACGTTAGGAATACAAACTAAAAAGCCATTGTACACAACTCATTTTCTTCATGTGAGTAGCGCCCTAGGCATTACAGATCCATCAAGTGCCAAAGGTTTCAAGAGCAATATAATATGACAGAACTACTAACCCCAAATGTTGCTCAGAATCTCATTGTGTTTATTTAGTTCAATTATATTGCATTCCTTGATTAGTTTGCTGATCAAAGTTAGGAAGCTGAACAGCAGTCTGTCGGCAGCCTTTTCTTCAGTCTCTTCTGCAACCTTCAAAAATGGACAGTGAAAGAATGACACTCTGAAAAGCCATCAGTGTACAAACAGTGAAGAGGCTTCAATTTAAATAATTGTGGCTAAATCTAAAACGCAACCAAACAACACTTGCTCTTTTTGACTTTGCAAACAGTCAACTGCCTAATTTTACAACATTGAAATAGACTGTGATATTCAACTGTGTTTTACTAAGAGCAGACCCAGTGAAATTAATAAGCAGTACTAAGTTAGGTCCATTAATTCCAATGGGCCTGCTCTGAGTTGGAACTATTTTTGTTTTTTATTTGTGTAACCAAAGCTACTACAAAGCAAATCTTGAATACCACCTAGTGGTGGAATAGTCAAAATAAAATGAATTTGTAAAATACTGCAAAGACACCTTGTTATTCAAGTGTTAATGTTTTTTCTCCTTGTTTTGAAGTTGAAACATTTATTGGTATATCAATCTTGTTATGAAAATCAGGATATGAAAATGTATAGGTTTTTCACATATAATGGTTTTAGTTATAAAAATGATTTGAAAGAATCTTAAAAATTTATTTCACTGCACCACTGGGTAGGTGGGGAAAGGATAGAGAGACCATCAATATACTTATGGGGCCGAAGATTTACTTTCACTCTACAAACTGGCAGCCTACCAGGAACAGCCTCAATTAATGACTTACATCTTTAAAATCTGAAGGATGTATTTCTTTCTCGATAATTGGGAGAATGGTCCCAAGCCTTTTTTCAAATTCGATTCCTTCAGCTTCAACAAATGTTCCACAGGCATGAGCAGCTAGCCTCTTGTGCACACGCTGTCAGAAAGGAGCAACATCATATTAGTGGAGATTTTTGTGGATGGAAGGAAGGAAGGGAGTTAGGATCTCTGCAGAAGAGATTTCCCAAGATAGTGGGCACAACTGCCTTCTCAACCACACAGCCAGCCATAATTCTTGAACCCCACAAGAAATTGGCCTAGTTATGAAGGCTCTATAAATTACAGTGCTATTCTTCCACCAGCAAAGGAAGGTTAACGGAACACAATCTCTCCTCCAAAAGATTCACCTCTTGACATTGTCTCGTCTTCATTCATCTAGCAAAAACTTCTCTACAAGACAGTAGTCAAACTACTGCTATAAGCAGTACCTTGTCACTCTTGAACCACGAGGTGAGCAGGGAAAACATCAAGTCTCGGTTTCCAGGGCTAATCTTACTGAGGAGACCTTTGACTGCCAGAGCTGACATCTTTTTGCACTTTGCCGAATCGTCGTTTACAATCATCATACATAGTGGGACAAAGAAAAGCCCACAAAATTGGTGCAGTAAACCCTGAAAAGAAGAAAGGGGAAGTCAGTAAGCTTGTTTGTTGGCAATCTCTAGACTACATGAAAAATGCTGGTATCCAACCACCACACCACCCTGTCAAAGCAATCAGACCTGCTTCTGGTTCTGTGCTAGGGGTGTTTCAGCTGCTTGTCTAGACAAGTGTTGAGGGTAGTGTACAGTTATTGGTTATATGAATACTGAGCTGAAATGCAGGTTGGGAAAGTGGGGAGAGGGGGAAGGGGGACTGCAAATAATATTCCCATTCAGCCATGAAGCTCATTGGGTGACTCTGGCCTAGTCCGTGGACAGTCCAGGTGTCCCTCAGCTTCTGAAGTCAAGGTATGTACAAGCCTTGGGGCTCATGAGCTCCACCCCCTTGCTGCCCTGTGACTGAAGGTCTTCCTGGGTTGATTAATCGCAGTTTCCTGCTAATTCCAAACTGTGAAACGGCAGTTCCTTGACTCAGAAACACAGTGCAGCAAAGAGGAGAGGGGCAATATGAGGGTGGACCACATGGGCACAAAGCTCAGGCATCTCCCAAGTACATCCATCCAGGCCTGAATCCTCAGCCTAATCTACATCATCACAGGGTTGTTGTGATAGTTAAAGTGGAGGAGCAGCATCTATGCTTCCTCAAACCCTTCATAAGAAGGGCAGTTACAAATGTGACAGAGAAAGAAAAATGAACATGAAATTCAAGCCATGCAGGCCGTATTTGTCCTCAGCAATGCTAGCATACTCTGAAAAGGCAACACAGCAACACGCTCAGGAAAATGTATGTGAGCAGCGCCCCATGTCCTATACATGTTTTCTCAAAAGTAAATCCTGCCAAATTCAATGGGAATACTTCCCATCCAGCCTTAATGCCTTATATGAAATGCCATATTCTAGGGTTCAAGCTGAAATACGGTAAAGGTGGGAAGTTTGTGATGCAGTTATACATTACCTGGGGGAACATTTCAAAGAGGTAAGCAATCATTTCCAAAGCAGATTCTCTCCCTGTCTCATATTCATAACTAGGGCAACAACAGAACAGTATGGTCAGTGTCCTCAAGACTTGCAATGATTTTTGGCACACTAATAGCACAATCCTACACATGTTTAATCAGAAGTTAAGTTCCTTTGCATCTCTTGGGACTTAGGAGTGGTATTTAAGAAAAGCACACAGCATAGCATATATTTTCATATTACACCTTGCTTTTGCAAACACCTGGCCTTGAAGAATGTTGATGTGTCTTTTCTTTAATAGCTGAATGCGAACAGGAAGTTAAATACATATGATGGTCATCACTGGAATCTGAGATGTTATATGTGACAAACCACTTTCTTCCCCCATCACAACTTTTCTTGTGAAAGATCTCCACCTGAGACCCTGGGGAGTCACTGTCAGTCAGAATACACAGCACATAGCTAGGTAAAGGGTAAAACACAGCTTCCTGTGCTCATATACAAAGAAAAAAAAATGTCAACAGGAACATAGAACAAAACTTCATAACCAATGAGTGAACATGTGCAGTGTACAGAAGATATAATTTGCTTCCAATACTCTACTGAGGTTTTATCCTAATGTCTTGGCCCTGCATGGCTCTATTACTGCAAACACTGTGTTGAGGGTCCCCATTCTGACCAGAGGGGAAAGCCCAGCCTTGTAGTTTCTATTTTTTTCCTTTATTGAGAAAATAAACAATAATTTCTGTGCACTTACTTGAGTTGGGCAAAGATGTACTCAAGGTTGGTTTTCAGCTTCTTACCAAGTGGATAATCGAGAATATATTTCAGGTAAATCTGAGGGAGTGGGTGGAAGAAAACAATAAACAACTGGTTAAAACACAAAAATACCAAATTTGTGCTGTTGCCAGCTATAAAATAATTGATAAAATGGGAGCTGACGAAAAACAGTTGCTAGGATAAAAGGGCATGAGCACGCCTCCCCCCCCCCTTTAACTTCTACAAACCTGTCTGCACTGGATTCGAACTTGCTCATTTTGCCCTGTGATAGCGAAGTTTGCAACCTTCTGCATAACACCATCAATTTCGGGAACTACCAGTTTTCTGGATACAATCGCCTGTTTGAAAAGAGAAAAACGTATGACTGAGTCATGATTGTGTTCTGCATTGTGTTAAATACAATTTGAAACTCATGTTTTTTCATTGTTTTTGATCCGCTTTCTACACATCTGCCCAAAACAATTTTGCCCAAAACAAAACTACCAGCTTTATACACTCGGAAAAAGATTTGAGACTTCCATCTCCATTTCAACAAATGATTCTTAAAAGACAACTTGTTACAGTGCAAGTGATACCTTTAAGAGGCCAAAGGCAGTGGCCTGTCGTAATGAATCGTAGATATCTTCTTCAGCATATCCAAGCAACACTTGTAGTTGTTTCTCTGTTATGTGACTCTTTGCATTCCTCACAAGCAGAGTTACACACTGTAATTAAAATTTAGCCTTATGAACATGACCATTACAGAATGTTCTACAAGATTCAGAGTCCCCTGAGAGCTTGTAGGGCGCTCTCTACAGGTGTTGTGTGATCATCACCTCCCTACCCATTCGGGTTGCAATCCAAAACATTTACTAGGGAATAAGCCCCATTAAAAAACAATGGAACCTCATAGGGCTGTGCCGTAAAATCTGTAGACAAGGCTCTGGGCTCACTGTTCCCCTACTTAGAGGTCAGATTGGTGAGAACCACTTTATGGGGGAGGGAATATTAAGACTTTTTAACCATTTCACCACAAACTTTTATTTATTGCGGCAATGTACTTGTTTTACCGACATGGTTTTACCTGATTGTTTTACAATGGCATGATGCTATTAAACTACTTTGGGACCTTAGAATTAAGTGATCTGCAAGTTTTGTAAACCTTTGTTTTTACTGAAAATATGGGTGGTGACAAAATGCTACATGGCCGTCTCATTTTGTTACCAAGGATAAGTGTCTGTGCAGTGTGATTTTGAAATCTCAGAATGTGCATAGCAATGGAACTTCTACACAATGTGTGGGTCAGACCATTACAGAGCATGGATCATCTCCACCTACGGTCCCCTTGGATATTCTAATTAGGGAGCTGCGCAGTTCCCAGCTTCTGAGGATCACTGCATAGATAAAAGCTTTTTTTTCTAAAAAAAAAAAGTTCTGTGAACACAATTTTTTCAAAACGATTTGCAGATCTAAAGGTGTCTGAAGTCCGTTTTCTATCACACCAATCATCCATGTCACAAAGGCACATGAGTCTGGAAGAAAAGCACTCTGCAAGATCAACACTGAGCTGTTCTACCAGTTATAACTTACTTTGAAACAATTTACAACCAAATGAAAATTCTGGCCTTTAGCAGCTCCTGGCTTGGCAAAGTCTTTCAGCAGAACGAAAAGCCGCTCGATTAGCTGCTCTATATTCTTGTCTACTGCCGGCAATGGGAACTTTAAGACCCACAGAAGGGACTGGAGAGAGCCAGTGATCACCTGCGAAGAGAACAAATGAATTAATAAAAAAAGCTAGATGGGTCTATAGAAATGTTTTGTACCGGCCACAAATCCCTTGAAACTGGAATTCTTGAGCTTTTTGATCACGTGAGAGATGCCACTTTTCCCAAAGCCCTCAGCACAATCCACGCTTGAGTGGCAATTCACATTGATGTGGACAGTCTTTCAAGAGTCAGAAGCAAGTGTCAATGTCAAGTGCTACTCCTTCACTCACCTCCTATTATGCGTCTGCTTTGGTGCAAAGACTCTGGTTTGTATTAAACGATATTTCTGCAGTCCAGGTGTAATAGGGAACTCTGGTTTGTATTAAACCAGAGTTCCCTATTACACCTGCACTGCAGAAACATGGTTTGATGTCAGTTAAGAAACCGGGAAAATAAGTCTCGATGATCTTGACTGGATTCTAAGCAATCAGTATGTGAAAGTTAGAATTTCCTCCAGTTCCTTTATCGATCTTAGTGACAGAATGAATTAAGAATTTTGGTCCAGGCTGAACTTTGCCATCTGCCAGCATTGCAGAGGTTAGAGCTATTGCACTGAGTTCAGAATCCTACCTTAACATCTGTGGACTGAAGGCAGTCGACAAGCAGCTGAACGAAAGGATCCAACATTTCTAAAGTGTGATCATCTGAGGAATTTATTTTGGACCTCTTCAGACTCATGTGCAGTAGCTGTAATAGGAAATAAGTGCTTGGAATTAAATGCATAAATTAAAAGGGGTAATAGATCTGAAAAACCAAATTGTTTAAAAGAAGACTAATAATAATAATATTTATACCCCACCCATCCAACTGGGTTTTCCCAGCCCCTCTGGGCAGCTTACAGCATATATCAAGGGCAACCTCGGGTTGTTAGCAGCTAACGGCTTCAGAAGATAACTGACACGCTATGCAATTTCAGTGATATCTTGGAAATACAGCTTTTAAATGAAGACCTGAGAAACACATGAAGGATCAGAGGCACTGGGCAAATGGATGGAGAAAAAGATTCTCACCACCCCTCAATGTCAATTCTATGCTGCTCATTCATGGCTCCATGCCTACCTAAGAAAATCTCCCTACAGTCCCAATGGGGAAGGTGCGCTATAAAGCAGTAAATCTCCATAACCACATTTTTCTACAACATGAAATAAGCCAGTGCATTCATCCTCACTCCTCTCCCCAACCTTCCTCTGTGCCCTGTGTTCCTGTTTAACAGCAAACACCTGCACTGGCAAACTAAAGTTTTTGCAAGTTATAGTTTACCCAGTTTCGATGTAATGGTGAAGCGTGGTTTGTCACTAAACCGATAATAAAGAATGAAGTTAGAACATGCAAGGGTTGGAAGAAACATGTGAGCACAGCAAAAATGGTCCTAATCCTCCCAACCACAGCTTGGACAAAAGGGAACATTATGTCTGAATTGACCCACTGCCTCAAACTTTTCACAAGCTGGAGATGAGGGGAAGATGAGCATTACTGCCATCCCTTATGAAATGATGTTGGGCATGGCTAGAGTGGTCAGAGGAGTATATTCTATACTCCCCACCCCAATCAGATGAAGGAAACAAGAAGTATTAAATTGACTAGAGCACAGCCATGTTCCCCACCCCAAATATTCCTGCACTGAAGCATAAAGAAGTATGTTTTGATTTCATTTTTAAGCACACAGGGTCCCTCTTACATACCCGTAGCCCTGATTCAACCAGAATGTGCATGTTTGTCTTGCTGCTCACAGGTGCCTTCTGCCCTCCTCGAACTGGAGCTGGTGGAAGCAAGAGGCAGCTCTTTGGTTGCAAACGAGGATCTGGAGGAGCAGGAGCTTTGGTTCTGAAAACAAAACAAACTTTTCAGCTAGAATTAAGGCCTTAATTCATCTGGGCCGAGGACAGACATCACAATGAGCAAAGAGGAGAATCTTAGAATTATAGAGTTGCAAGAGACTCTATAGTCCAACCTCCTGCAAAGAATCTCCTTTCTTGTAACTTGGATCCATTGGTTCAAAACTACATTGAATCGAAACTTCATGAGTGACTGAAAATCAAGGCAAGCCTGGGACTTTAATGACATTACTTCACAACATATGGCTTGCAAGTAGCAGTCTTTGCGACAGAGGAGCAATCCTGAAAAATGAGTCCAACTTACTTCTGTGAGTAAACACACTTTCAGAAGTGGCCAATTTGATCATCCTAGCAAGCAGAAGAAAAGACAACTATATTTGAATTAACTTTCTACAAACTCACTTTGCTTTCTCTGTTAACAGTGGTAGATTTTCACTAATCAGTCCATGGCTGAGTAGAAGGATGGTTTCTGCACTCATTGCTGTGTTCATTATCAATCCAGACACAATGCGGCGTAAAGTTTCATGTACCTTCCGAGACATCTTAAGGCTTGTAGTATTCTCTAAAATCTGCAAGTAGACATTAGAAAAGCCACCTTAAAACGGAAACCCTGGTGTTACAGATCCTTCTTAGACCATATGCTGTTGATTTCCGAAAGACACATGATGTTTGCAAAGTCTGCATACCATGATAAACTAACACATCTGTTTCTATATCGGTAGCATGATCCCATAAAGATGCTTCATGGTGTCACAGTCTGTCCTCCCGTTATTCTTCCATATTTTAGTAGTTTATCATGCCACTGCCAAATTTCTCTTTTGGAGAGAGAAAATCTACCTTACCTCTTTCAATGGAAGAATGAGCTTAGTCACTTGGTCTTTTCCTATGTACTTGCCAAGGATTTCATAAGAATCATAGCTCTTGCTTCTGCGAGCCTCCATGACTTTGGAAACTATGCCTTTCACCTCCTTCTCCTCTGCAACTTCCCCAAACAGTTCGTGGTTGAAAATCTTTTCAGAAGACACGGAGGAAAGTGTTAGCAGTAAGTAGCAGTAGAGCAGCAGTTATAATTTTGCATCCACCTTTTCAGACATGAACAACGAAAGGTCCAACACGTTCATCTTTAGGGGTGAGGGATGAGCTCAGTTTCTACAGCATCTGCTTTGCACCCAGAGGGTCTCAGGTCCAACCCCCAGCATTGACAGATAGGGCTAGGAGAGTTCCCTGGTTGAAACCTTGGGGAGCTGCTGCCAGTCAGCGCAGACAATATTGAGCTGATGGACCCATGATCTGACTGGGCATAAGAGTGTTCCCTTTAAGAAACAAAAGATCTGATAAAATGTGCAACTAGTCAAGAAGGAAGAGGACCTAGTATTACTTGGGCTCCTTCATGAAGGCAACGGTTTGGTATCACCCAACCAACCACCACCCTCTCTCCATCCAGGTATTACAGGAACTGGAGGTGTAAGCTCCCGACTGCAGTGACATCTCTGAAATGAGCTCCTTTTACGCTTGGCATTTTCCGCACGCAGCAAACGTCGCTTTCAAAGAACTTACTTCGGTCATAAGTTCTACGCAGGGATCCAAGTCTCCCACTTTAAGTCGATTGCTGGCGAGGCTCTTCAGCAAGAGGTGGATTGTGAAAGTCAACACGTGGACCTACATGAGCAAAAGAAATCAAGTGACTCTGTGTTTGTTAATTAAAAGGATAACTAATAAAAGAATGGCACACGTACACAACTGGAATGGTATTTAGAAGATTGCTATAGTGCTTTCAGCAGTCCCCACCCGCAACTGTTACCTACTAAATTAATCTTCGATACAATCCAGCATTTCTTCCAACTGCCTGAGCTTGGACCCAACTTCTCAACTGATTCTGCTTTCTGCTTGCTTGGTGTTGCTATCAATTAGGCAAGAGAGCCCACTGCAGATTGTGAGTTCAAGGAGCAGGGCTAAGGAGCTATAATGTCCTCTGCCCATAAGCACCTCCTCCTCCTATCTAATAGGAAGGCGGAAGAAAAAAAGCCAGCACTATACCTGGTAACCATGGACGAGGGTTGACTGCATCTCTTTTAAGACATATTGCAGATACTGTGCCCCCAAAGCCTCCATTATTTTCATCAGGGTGTTGCGTGCAATATCCCGTATTTCCTGTGCTCTGTTCCTCAGAAGGGAGCAGACTTTCAGGAGGATGCTGGAGCCAACAAAGCAGCAAAACAGAAGAGAACCAAACACAAGCGTCAATTATCACTCCAACAGGTTTGTACAATATTTATCCTATATATGCAAGTATGCACACCCCCCCATATGCGCTATCTATGTGTCTATATATATCCCTAGGTGATTTTCACCATATGGAACTTAATATGCACTTGAAAAGACTGTACATACCTTGGCAAATTCTCTTCCATGACATCTTGGGGAAGAGTCTGCATCAGCTTGACCATCGCAAAAGCAAGTGGAACCCGAACAACTTCTTCATCATTCACAACCTTAGATTTCACAAGCTTGTGCTCTTCATCTCTTTTGACCTGCAGGGCACAGAAACACATCATCTCCAAAGTTAAAGGTAACGGTAAAGGGACCCCTGACCCTTAGGTTCAGTCGTGGACGACTCTGGGGTTGCGGCGCTCATCTCGCTTTATTGGCCGAGGGAGCTGGCGTACAGCTTCCGGGTCATGTGGCCAGCATGACTAAGCCGCTTCTGGCGAACCAGAGCAGCGCACGGAAACACCGTTTACCTTCCCACCGGAGCGGTACCTATTTATCTACTTGCACTTTGACGTGCTTTCGAACTGCTAGGTTGGCAGGAGCAGGGACCAAGCAATGGGAGCTCACCCCGCTGCGGGGATTTGAACCGCCGAGCTTCCGATCGGCAAGTCCTAGGCTATGTGGTTTAACCCACAGCACCACCCGCGTCCCGGCATCTCCAAAGTTACTCAATAGCATTTCCAACTGCCAGGTGTTAAAGACAGTGATCTTACATCTACACCCGGAGAGAATACAACACTGGAGCCGAAACTCTGTCTAGCCTACCTCACAAGGTTGTTATGAGGAGAAAGTGAGGTTCATTTGGTATACTTAAAGGGGTATTCAGAGCATCTCTTTGGTACCAAGGGCCACAACTGGCATAAATGGGAGCTTTTCTTTTAATGCTAATAGGAGGTGGAGGGGACAAAATGTTAATGCCGCCCACCTCAGTCCTAACCCGGACTGGTCACCCACGTGAGGACCATTCACACAATTTAAAAGCCACTTGCTATTTTGCTGAATGACAATTCATCTAGTTTAGCTCCCAGAATCAAGATGTACTAAAGACTATTTAAAAATAAAACCCGAAACTCAGAAATGTACCTTTGCAATGAGACATTTGTGCAATTTGGGCAAGATGTTTCCCTGTACTGTTTCTTGTATATGATTTATCAAGCATTTCAACTCTTCCTTATCCTTAGGCAGGAAGGAAATTGGTTTCAGAGCGATCTGGGTTTTTTTGTCTTCTTCATTAGTGGATGGAGCAGACAAAGATGAAACAGGCTCTGTTTGTTCACTGGCATCTTTAGAAAGGTCCTTGGTGGTTTCTTGGTCTTCTTCTCCATCACTAAGTTCCACTTCCATTGTTTCATTCTCCACTTCCATTTCAGTGTCCATGGCTTCTGCAACTGCTAGCATAATCAAGAGGGAAAAAGGCTTTGATGCTTGTCGATCAAGTCCTTTGTTGGAACAAGACGGACAAAATCTAGAGCGCTCCTGTTTAAGATTTTAGCAGGCCACACCCCTCTTCCAGGATTCCCCATTCCATTCCCACTCTCCCCAACTGTTAGCCAGAATTCTGTGCCTCGTGAATATGATTCACACTCAGAGAAGGATTCCTTATTAGTACAGAGCAGAGATGGGAAATAAGCAGGCCTGGCCCTGCTTTATTTATAACTCCACATAGGTTTAAGACTGGGGCATTACGTAGATATTCTGAACTAGAAACCCAATAATTAACTTTTTAAAATAGAAAGCAGAGATTTTAAAATGCATAATGAAACAACAGGCCCTGTGTTTTGCATTCAAAGAGTAATAATGGTCATGCAAGTTTATTTATTATTATATCAGAACAGAAGAACAGCCTGCTGAATCAGGCCAGTGGCCCCTCTGGTCCAGCAGCCTGTTCTCACAGTGGCCGACCAGATGCCTATAAAAAGGGCACAAGCAGGACGTTGGGCACAGCAGCACTCTTTCTTCCCACAGTCTCCAGCAACTGGCCTTCACAAGTATTACGGCCTCCAGGGCTGGCGGTAGAACATAGCCGTCTAGGTCAGCAGCGATCAGAGTTACAATGCATTAGATGCTAAAGAGGGTGCAGCATTAACAGGTTGTAGCAAAAAGTCACAGCACTTTAAAGCCTACCAACATTTATCGTGAGAAGCATAACCTTACAGGAGCTGGAGCCCACTCCACCAGATGCAGGAATCAGAACCTTACCTTCCTTTTGAATCATCTCAAGCTGCTTTTCAAGAGTTTCGTAGTCAAAGTGAAAAGCCTCCAGCACCATAACTAGCACACTGTCAAACAGATTAAGGGGCGGGGGAGAGAAATAAAAGGTGCTAAAATCCCCAAAACGTACAACTTTTCTATTTGTAAAAGGACTGGACTAAAAGAACTGCTCAAGTGAATACTTATGGGGGCACTGGGCTTGAGTTTCTTGAACAGGTGCTCCCTAGGCTGCATGGTAAGTCTTTAAAACAGAGGGTACACTCAAAAAGCAAAGTGCAGTATAGCACTGGGAGAGGAGTGGAATCTAGCGTTCAAAGAACGCAAGCAAAAATCACTTTGGACAAAAGCATTCCTAAAGTAGTTCTTTGATATCTGGCCAAAGTGAATTAAAAGTGCTTGGAACATAAAGCTCTCTTTTCACGCAGACTGAAGTTCAATGCTCCCATTAACACAGTCATCAGCTTGGTTAAAACGACAGCTCTAAAACAGTCCACAGAGATACTATCCTTGTGTGTCAATTTTCTTATTAATGCTATCAGTATGGAGTGACTGGCATTGCAAACCCCTGCAAGGTTGCTCAGAAACAAGTCCCACTATGCTGCTTGGTAAGTGCACACAGGATTACAGGATAAACCTTAAAACCGACATTTACAGTACCTGACGCCCAGTTTTTGATTGATCTGTCCAGTCTGCAAGACGTGTATGAAATGTTTCAAGTGATAGAGGTACGCTGACCAAGAAAGATGTCTGCAAACAGCTCCTACCATTTCAACCGAAGCAGTTATCATATTTTCATACTGAGGAACAGAAAACAACCCTTAGGGTCTTCCCAGTTTCAAGCAGCACAAAAGCCTTGCCTAGACTAATGAAGCCCATGCAGGCTAGAAGAAGCTTCCTTCCACATCCCCAACACTCCCTTAAAATCATGGCGAAAGAAAACCTATCCCAACACTTTCACATTAAAATACCCAAAGGAAGCAACATGCTTTGCAATATTCAGAGACCTATCTGAAGCTTTCCCCCTCATTATTAAATTCAGAAGTTGTGAGGTGTGTCGTGTAGTGGTTAGAGCAGTGATAGCCGTTGTGGTGTCCTTCAAATGTTGAGACTACAACTCCCATCAGCCCTAGCTAGAATGACCAATGGTCAGGTTGATGGAAGTTGTAGTACAGCAACATCTTGAAGGCACCAATTATCTGTCCCTGGTACCGTTTGACCAAAAGTAGGGAGCTTTTGGTTCAGGTCCTCACTCAGCCATAAAGCTCACCAGGTGCCCTTGAGGAAGTCACATTCTTTTCAGCCTAAGGTACTTCACAGGGTTGCTGTATAAATAATTCTTCCAAATGAGGAGAAGGGGTACAGAGAACTATGTAGGCCTCTCTCACTGAACTATTTGGAGGAACTGCAGGATATGTATGTATGTATGTATGTATGTATGTATGTATAAATACATGTACATGTATAAATAACTAAATTATGAAGATATCAGACAAAGAAGAACTCTGCAAAGTTTAGTTCCCACAAATTGTTATGCACTGTTCCTTCTTTAAAAGGGCAGCTCGAAATAAGAGCCTTAACAAACATTTCAAATAAGTGCCATGCAGGGGAGGTACTTCATTTTAAAAAATCTCAACTCAAATCCCAACACTCTTTATTTTCTCCTCATGAAAAGGGAAATCATCCTGTTGCACTTACAGAAATATGCCACTAAGGGCTATGAAATAAAAGTAGTTCCCATCATTGTATGCTAAAAGTTCACCTTAAGCATTTTCTCATCAAAGATAGTAGTAGTTGCGTAAGGCATAATGTAATTCTGAAGAGATTTGGAACAGAGTGTGATTTTGCCTTCAGCTAGTTGCTTAGCCAATTTCTTCAAGGCGCGTGCCCTTCTGTGGATCTAAGAGAGATACAAAAGTTTTCACTGAGTGAGGGCCCATATTTAATTCAGTAGACCTAGGAGGTTCGGGTGTCATAATCTATCAAAAGTTTCACCAGCTCTTAACAGCCGAGAGGGGGAGAAATGACACCTTTTTGGATGAGCATCTTACTACAACACACTTCTGTCTATTTCTCAAACAGACACTGAATAAGAGAAAATACATTCTGATTAAATGCATACAATTCTAGCTGCTGCCTTTTAAATGTGACATTAACAGCAAAGCTTAGCATGAGCTAAAATAGTGTAAATGACATTATAGCCATTAAATCAAAACACACACGCAGAGACTTCTTATTCTCACAACGATCAACGATTTGCGACTGAAAAACGAGGCAGCACTTGCAAAGATTTACATTCACAGAAGCAGATGAAGTATCTACCATCTTTCCACTACCATACAACTATTGTCCACTGGCAAGAACAAGATTGCATTATACCTGAATATGCTTCATATTTTCAAAGAAGTCCATCTCTGGATCATGAATGTCCGTCAGCTGGACCAAGTCCTGAAACTCTGGGTGGTTTGAAAATGCTCGAATCAAGCTGGAGAGCAATGATGTGTAATCCTGCTGAATGCTCTGAAAGCAGCAAGTAACAAAATACCAAGGGAAATGTGCAAATGTGTGGCTTGGTGTGTTTTTTTTTAATGCAGCCATTTGATTATTTCTTTTTTAGAAATACACTGAGCAGTAACAACCATGCAAGAACACACACAAAAACCAGAATTATACTTTTGAAACTTTCTCCCTTTGGGACCAGACTGACATCCATACATATTAAACATTCCTAAACAGATTTTTGTTTACATCAGGGGCTCTACATATTTACATTGGTACCTGAACTACTCCTGCTGTTATTTGAATGAAAATGTCAGGGAAGTGTGGTGGTAGCACATGGCAAGACATCTCACGTGGCCCCACATCCTCACCACACCATTGTATCAACCCCTCCCCTAGAATTTAGCTTATTTGCCATATTTTGGACTCGTCAACATGTTGGGCTGGAGTAAACACACTGAGCAAGGAAGGAATGAAGGTAGAATTATAGAAACAATACAGAAGCATTTTGTTTATGCTTTTTAAAATATTTGCATCTTATCATTAGCCACATTGGGTGCTTTGTTGAATGAGAAGCCTGCCCACGGCCCTGTCTCATTTCAAAATACTAGAATAGGGCATCACTTGTACAATTCTCTTTCACAGTAATGTTTCCTCCTGAAATGTAACAGCAGTCAGACAACAGTCGGCTTGATGATTATCGGCTTGTGGTGATGTGGAGGTGGGCTTTTCCACCAATGGAACACACTCTCTGCTGAAATATGAGAGGCATCCCAACAGGTGCTGAAGATGCACCTGTCCACACAGGCATTCCCTTGATCTCTTGACCAGAGTTTCATGTTTTAATTGTTGCGTTTTAATGGAGTTGTTTCATGGGAAATGGAATTATGGAATACTTCAATCGTGTTATATAACTGGGTTTTATATTCTATAAATCACCAAGAAGCCTATTTTGGCATTAAACAGCATATAATTAAAAATAACAACCAGCTTTTTACCTCAGTCTTGTTCTTCAGCCCTTTTCTCAAAGCTTCTAGAAGAGTGTGCTGAATGATTTCCTTGTATTCCTCTTCTGCATGACTGATTTCAGCAAATAGGTTGATAATAGCATTCAGACAGAGGATGGCACTGTCACTTAGAGACATCTCTCCTAACTAAAGAAAGAAAAAGATTATGGCAGCTGAGATTACAAGAGATGACCCTGAAACCGTAGATTAAAAAAGACTCAGAAATACGCGTGAATATAATAACTGATAAAACATAAACCAGCTCCCCCGACAACAACTCAGAGCAGTTGTAATGGGAGCAATAGACCTGGAAGCTTTAAATATTTGCAAGCCATATGTAAAAAGTACCATAAAATTGTTACGAAGCTCACTATGAATCAATCACATAGTCATATTTTTCTGTGAAGTAAAAGACTTTTTTTGTCATTTTAGAGCTGGCAATGATAACCCACGTGCTTACTATCTTTTAAAACACAGCCAAAGTCCACACAAACAGGGATTTCCTATGCTGTCCCCTAATACTGTCAAAATGTATTTTCTTAAGCCCCTGGGGACCCTCAGAAAAAGCCAATTTGTGGCCCTTGGGGGGGAGATACTAGGAGGGTGGGGAGAATCGATGAGCATCAGGCTGAGGCAATGGAACAAGCAGAGATTCTGAAAGCTGCCGCCATCTTAGATGTAAGATTATTTTTGGTTCTTCCTTAACTCTCTTACCTCTCTTGAGATATATGCTGCTGCAGGTATTTCCTCATATAGCATCCAAAAGGTAATTATAATGCTCACCTAAAATAGCTTATGGCTGTTTTGCAAACATGCATAACTTTCGCGGAGGTGCCTTCTGGGTTCAAAAGGAATATTCTAATTTTTTTTTTACTAAATAATAAAGCAGGAATTTTTAATCTCATTGATGGTATAAGGGGAAAGATATGAAGATAAATGTATTTTTCAGTTCCCCAAATGATCAAAATATTTTTTTTTAAAAAAAGAGAATACATTTCCAGGAGCTCTACCATAAAGGACAGATCTTTTCCACGTGGGCATGGGCTCACCTGTATTGTATAGAAACAGTTATGCATTACTGGAATAAGGTAGTCAACATCCACTGTTTTCATTGCCTTGATATGAGAAGTGATGTCTTGAAATGCTGACAAGCGAATGTCGAAATTTATATCATCAAGATGACGTGGATCAAAAGCATTCAGCTACAAAGGGCAAGAGGTTTAATAAAGATATAAAAATCAAAATGATGACAGAAAATTTCTTAGAAGTAAATCAGGTGAAACATTACATACCTTAACTGTATCTGTAATGTATTTTAGATTGCTGTCCAAATCTGATAAAGTCTATAAAAAATGGAAAAATAATAAAAAGGCAAACTTAACAAACCTAGAATTATTTCACACATGTATCATCTACTGTCACATTAACAGCGCTTTTCTCTGAACATTCTCCAGTTCTACATTTCACTTTAAAAAAAAACAGGACAACCAGAAGTGGCCACAGTATTCAAAATTCAGATGCCCCATTCTTTCTTTCCAGCGTACCACACTTTGTATGTATTTGACTAGAATCTAACCAGCTCTTCCATTATCCACTCATAACATTTTGAGTTTTAGAACTCATCACCATCCACTACATTTCCCACAGTTCCTGGAGGCTCAGGAGGCCATTTTGAAAGTCCATTGCCCAACCACTAAGAAAAAAGGAAGCAGTCAGGGGAAAGGGATTGGATAGCCTCTCAAGGGACTGCAGAGGCATTTGGGACTGGGAAGACCTCAATGATCCCAATGACATCCCCAAGAGCATGGCAGGGTCATAGCTTGAAATGGACACTCAGAGAAATCATTATGGATCAGGTTCACCTCACAACCAAAATACAGTGGTGCCTCGCAAGACGAAATTAATCCGTTCCGCGAGTCTCTTCGTCTTGCGGTTTTTTCGTCTTGCGAAGCACGGCTATTAGTGGCTTAGCGGCTATTAACGGCTTAGCGGCTTTTAACGGCTTAGCGGCTTTAAGAAAAAGGAAACAAACTCGCAAGAACTCGCAAGACGTTTCGTCTTGCGAAGCAAGCTCATACGGAAATTCGTCCTGCGGAACGACTCAAAAAACGGAAAACTCTTTCGTCTAGCGAGTTTTTCGTCTTGCGAGGCATTCGTCTTGCGGGGCACCACTGTAGTGTTGAGCAATCGCTAACAAAAATGCTATAAATGTGCTACTACTGTATTCAGTACCTCAAAAACCATGCAGAGCGTCTGACGAGACAATTTGTTCTGAACAACAGAAAACAATTTTGCCAATGGTTTGAGGAAACTTGCTGGATTCAAGCAATGCTTCAGTAGATTTTGTACCGTTTCCAGGATGTCAATCTCAGTATCCTGGAAAAAAAACAGATCAATCATGACAGAATTCCTCACTTACACTGAAAAATAACATAATACAATCCAGTTCAGCATTGTCAAGAGAGATTTAGTTATAAGTATATTAATCAAGAAGAAACTTACATATTTCCAAATGCAAAATACTTGAAAAAAAGAACCCTGCTCTGTATATAGACTAAACTACAGCATAGCACAATTATCAGTAAGCCTGAACAAGACACAACAAGCCTTGTCCTTGCATGTTTCCCCTCCCCTCTCTTCCTGCCCCATAGGCAGGAGGAGCACTTCAGAAGCTCATTTTGCTGCTTTTGCTTAATCAATGCATATACCATGACTGCAACTTGGCTTGTTTCAATCAAACCACAGCTAATATTAACTACAGTTTATTGGTTTAGATTGGGGGGGGGGATAACGATTACGCAAAAGTGAAGCTTTTAAACTCCTCCTGGCTACAGAGAAGGAAAGGGAACTGTGCAAGCCCAAGGCTCACCCTGGTTTGTTCGTTTTATACTCAACTATGTTTCAGAACGGTGATGCCTAGCCTGTAGCCCTCCAGATGTTGCTATACTACAATTGCCATCATCCCTGACCACTGGTCATGCTTGCTGGGGCTGATGGGAGTTGGAGCCCAATGACATCAGGAGTCCCACAGCTTCCTCATCCCAGGATTAGCCTGGCATCCTAACATGGGAAGTGGTTTGCACCGAGAACATAGGTTAACTGAAATCTGAACCAGGGACATCCCACTTTCAAACTTTTTTTTTTAAACCACTCCATTATACTTGCTCTTTTATATATACATATATATATATATATATATATATATATATATATATATACTGATATATATATATATATATATATATATATATATATATATACACACTGATATATATATATATATATATATATATATATATATATATATATATATATAGTGGGATCCCAAAGGCACAGCAGAGCACATTGAATAACAGTGACCCAAACAAGTTAGCAGCAGATCATGATAACCTGGAAAAATAGTTTAGAAGTTCACCAAAAAACAGCCAAACTTGAAAGGAAATGTGACTTCCCACAGGCATAAATAACAAAGCCTACCTGCACCATGTTACTCTGGTGGAGGAAAGGGAGGAGGAGACCAATCAGGATGGAGCTCTGACTCTTGTCCTTTATAAACTTGCTAATTCTATATTCAACAGAAGCAAGAGGTTAGCCTTGCACCGATATAACCGCAACATCACGATTCAATTGCCTATAATATAATCATCTGTTAATGTAAACTGCTGCTGATGTTCTGCTTACAAAAGGGCACATGAATGCATTAATAAAATTCTGGTCCACACATGACTTCACACAAATGAATATGGACAACTGCAAGTTGAAGAAGAGGTATATACTGCATACCTATCAGTGTATAGGTAAACTACACATATATGAATTAAGAGTTTGTGATTCCCAGCACAGAATGGATCAGAAGATTCCTGTCCAAGGTGCTGCCAATCAGAGTGGACAATACTGGGCTAGACATCCAGTCAGAACAGTCTGATCCCTTATAAGGCATATGCTATGGTGACATGCCCGGAGGAGGCTGCATACGAGTTACATGGAGCCAAGAAACTTAGATTCAGGGCCTCCCATGCCTGAAATACATACAATAGCTTCCAGAGTGAACTCCCAACAAAAAGCGCCACCCTGAAAGCTCAAGCTTCCTGACAGCCTCTTGCAGGTGGTTCTCTTGAAAACATTTTTTGTTCACAAGTCTATTCGGTTGTTTAATTTCCTGTTTTAAAAGGAACCCATCATTTTTAACGATTATTTTTATACTGCTTTATGGTATTTTACTTTGTGCACCTCCTTGAGGTTTTATGTGAGCGGCGAGTACATTCATACCTCCACTTACGTATCCCTCTGGATACATAAACTTCAGGATGCAAATGCGGCAAACCCGGAAGTATTTTTCCAGGTTTCGCCACGCATGCATGGACTAAACCACACTGCGCACATGCACAGAAGCAGTCCTCCGGTTGCGAATTCCTTGGGATGCGGCCAGACGTCCGGAACGGATCCTGTTCGTAACCGGAGGTACCACTGTATGTAAATTTACTCCTCCCCCCCTATATATATATATACATATATAGTAAAAATTTAAGGGACCCTATATAAATCAGTACTCTTAGCAGTACCAAGGAACTATTTACTTTGAAAGGATGTTTAGTTCTTTGCTGACTTGTGCTCTGTACTTCTTCTTCTTCATCTTGTCCACACTGAACATAGTTTTGCTGAGATACTGAAGGATTGCAGGCACATGGGGGAGAATCAGCTTCACACCTGTGGTGGGAACATCTGCAAGGGAGATAGTGAGTTTATTTACCATTCAGAGATGTTAAGTACTCCAAGCAGAAAAACTAAAGAATATCATCCAATTCCTCACAAACAGTATAACAATTGTTCTGGGGTTATTTCCATTTATATCCCACTTTTCTGCATATACTACCCAAAGCAGGTAACAGAAATAATAAAAAAAATGCAGTGAGTTGAATCCAGAGATTCCAGTGCACTAAAGTGGGCAGGTGGAAGTCCTCTTTCCTCCCTGCCCTTTCTCCCAGCAGCCCACCCAGGAGCTTCTCCCAAGGATGGAGGGATCCTGCTGATGGGATGTGGCACCAAGTGGTGTGTTTGTGTGTCCCTGAGTGGAAGCAATTTCCACAAGCCTGCACATGATGATGGAACGACATCAAAGAGACGGGCAAGCTGGCCATATCTTCATATTATATTTTATATGAAAAGACCTCCTGACTTGGCTAACCTGATGAAATAGGAGTTTATATCAGCCAACAATAACCTATATGCCATAATAAAATGTCTGACAACTAAAAATGCAGCTTGTTAACAGATATTACTATACGGCTCCCAGAAATACTATCATTATGGCTAAACGTGGGAAAATATTGGTTTGGAAACTAGCACATTTCCTGGGAAACCGCTGAATGTAGTAGAAGTTGCTACTAAAGGGATTAATTAGGAGACAAGGGAACTTGCTATCCAGTTACTGAACAATGCTTTAATTTAAATTATTTAGCCAACATGAAATGTATATGTTTGCTGCTCAAAAACACACTAGTCAATAATATTTGCTGGTCATTGCTCTTGAAGTGGATCTGTTATCTCAAGCAAGCTGAAAACTGACAGAGATCCTTCAAGCCAGGATATAAACAGGTGTCTGGGGAAAAAAACCAAACAAATACCTGTGCACTGTCCTTTACCACAATGTAACACTTTTAATAAAGGCCCATCTTTTATCTCAAGTGCTAGGAGTTTCTGTTGGTTCTGTTTCTCTGGGACAATATACCCTTTCCATCAGAACTCCTGTTCATTGGAAACCCAGCTCTGTGGCTGCAACACCTCAGCTGTAAAGCTCCCTTCCCTTATGTGGTTGCCTGATGGTTTTTGTATGTGAATACAGTTTTCATGTCCCCATGCTTTTCTATGGTTTTAGTGCTGTTATCAGCTGTCCCTATGCCCTGCTCTTTTACTGCTCTTTTATTATTCTATTTGAGTGCTTTAAGTGATGTTAAGTTACTTTGGTGATTTTATTACTGAAAGGTGGGATAGAAATGCTTTAAGAAAGAAACAGAGGAAAGGAACCTTTTGGGTGTGAGCTACAGAATTGCTCCATTCCTTTTCTGACAGACAGGCCTATGAACGGAATACTGCGCCGGAATTCACAAAAACCAGCATTTAGTCTAGACTGACCTGTACAATGGCCATTGGGTGCCATTGCACCTTCTGCTCTAAGGATGAAGTGAAAGCTAAATCTGGAGATCAAATTACTAGTATAAGAGGGCTCTTCAACTGTTGACTGTTATAGGCCCAAACTACAAACTGAAATCAATTACAAGTGATACCTAGTTTTGAGGGTAGGGCAGAGAACATACCCAGTGAGAATCTGTGTGAAACAATACTGGGAACATTGGGAGGAAAAACACGAGACACACCATGAGAGAAGTTGGTAATGCAGCTCTCAATGAAAGTCACTCTGCCCCGCCAACAACCCATTTATTTATTATGAGTTTTTACAAATGAATTTCCATCTCACCCTTTAATACATGTACTTCTAAGGGAGGCAATAAAAACCAGTAAAAATGAAACTATAAGAAGTCTACAGAACATAACTACAATGCACCGTCTAGTAGGTGCTGAGAATATTTTCTTTCACAAATTTGTTTCTATTTCTAGCACACAAGCAAAATGGAACAAGCAGTTTCGAAAATATTCACTTGCAATAGATTCGGGCGCCTAACCACCCGTACCTTCTGTCGTTTCATCAACTTCTTGGAAGACACAATCTGTCACTGTCAAGCTGCAAATATCGTCATCGGGCTCCAAGTCAGGAGTGTTTAGAAGACTGTCAGCCACATCCATCACAACACCAGCCGTTGCCTCACACAAGCTTTTGGCCGAAAGCAGAGCAAACACATTGGATAACACATCATATTCTGGATGTCCTGGCATTTGCTTGGCCAGCAAAGGGAAATACCTGAGGGAAAGGCAACAAACAGGCAGAAAAATACTGATGTAGCAATATCTAACTCTAGCAAAATGACTAGTGACAACATTAGAATGAAGCTCCCAACAGGTAAGGCCTAAGTCAGTGATCCAGAAAAAGGATCCAGCAGACTCTCCTCAAGTTCAAAAGCTGGGGAGTGGGGAGTAGAGATGCCTCTTTCACAAGTTTGAAGGAATGTTCCATAAGGTCACAGTAGGAACCAAAGCAGGTGAAACTCCAGAATTGTCCTTGTTATGTTTCTCTTACGTTCCTACAACTCCCAGCCTTTTTCTTCTTCTTCACTGTTCAGAGTCTCAAAAATTGTCAAAAGGAGGAGGAGGACAACAGGTGGAGGTGAGTATTTCAGGGCCTGAAACATTTGCAGAGAACATGCCCCTTGCCCCATTCCAAGTCAGCCGTAATGCTAACTTGAAAATGAAAATGTCAAGAGGATACCATCATCAATTTACCAGTATATAAATTGTGTTAAATAAACAAGATGTGTGCTTATCACTGTACCTGTGTATATGGTCCCTATAAACAACCAACATAAACTTTAGATTAAAAGTGCAGCTGACTTATATATATACACATAGATACATATATACACACACACACCTGAGTAGCAGTATAGTAAAGTTATACCACGATCCACTGTTTCATTAAGAAGAAAGTAATTTACCTGGGGCTTCTGCTCCATATGTGAATGATTTTGAGTAAGAGAGTAGGAGAATATTGGCTCTCAGAGGCCAACCTGAGGATCTGAGGGAACAAAACAGGAGAAAATAAAATCGGGGCAAAATATTGAGGCTGTCTTGGTAGAGATGTTTGCAAAAGAAGAAGCATTAGTATACTCACGATTTGCTTCTGAAGGAACAATTTACTGTTTGCATTTATCTTCCTTTCACCACAACACTAAGAGCTAAGCCAGGTATTTCTGCCTCCACTAACATCAAGAACAAAACTGCTAATGATGAGTGGAGCCATGAATGTTGCCGTTATGGCTTCTCTACACCCACCACAGCTAAGGCAGTCTAGCATTAAAGGGACCATCTCCAAGTACCTGAGACAGGTAGACTAGTGAAGAAAGGTTATAGTCTGAAGGAACCATCATTTTTTCCTGTTACATACTTAGAGGTGAGCCAGCACATGCTCACAGGAGACTTCTTCCTAGTTTTATCTAAAAAGAAGTATCCAATATTTGCTTTATGTTTCATTATATTTGTGAGGCTTGACCAAAGAGTTACTGCAGTGTAGATGGGTGACAGCTTCCACGACCTTAAGACTGTTGTGGCATGAGAGGGCTCCTGTCATGCATGGCAGATCTGTTCCCACTCCCTTGGACCTCAGGCAGTAGGTCTAGCTGTTGTGGCACGCACACTGCCACAGTATGGTAACAGAGAGAGAGACGAGTGGCGGGTGCCACTCAGTGACACAGTTTCTCCCAACAAAGATGTGGCATTGACTTAGGAACATGATAATCTCACCCAACAAAATTGAAACTTTACATTTGTCAACTATAAACATGACGTCACATTCAAGTTTTGTGGAGATGATATAGACAAAAGCCTTTAAATTCAATAAAACTCGTGCTGTTTATGAAAGGACAAACCCAGTTTACATTGTACTTGGATTAAATTTACATACTTCTGGACTGTAGCTTGAGTGGATACACTGATTATTATTATTATTATTATTATTATTATTATTATTATTAATAATAATAATTTATACCCTGCCCACCTGGCTGGGTTTTCCCAGCCACTCTAATAAAATTAGATATTTTGTTCCTAGCATGCCCTCTGTCCTTTGACCCAAATACCGCTTTCACTCCAAAGCAAGTCATTTGTGCAGTTTGGAAGATGCCAGAGGACACTTGAGACATGTGCCTAAGTAAAGGAAAGCAAGCAACTCTCCACCTTCACGATGCCCTTACCTGGGGCCAAACCACCGCATGAAAAACTGCATCAATCTCTTCCACACTAAAGTTGTACGTTTTGAAGTCAGAGAAAAAGTCTGCTATAAGTTTAAGTCCAAGCCGCCTCAAATTTTTCAGTGGGTTAATTAATTTGAGTTGAATCTGCAAAACAAATCATAACAATCCTGTGAGGGTCTTTTTTCTTCTTCTTCTTAAGCAAAACATTTAAAGGGCAGTTATTCTTTACCACCTAAGATTTAAAAGACTAGTTACTGAATGTGTCCTCTGAACTGCAAGCAGTACCCATATGTCTGCATTGCCTCTGTCCGAGTTACACTAATGCTGCATGTCTCTGGAGTATTAATGTAAATTTATATAAAGAACTTTAATCCAAAGATCACAGAATGGTTTATAACGTAAGAGCAGAAAAGAAATAATAGCCCAAAAAAAACCCCAATACATTTTTAAAGTCCATAGATATATTGCACAGCAAATAAAGATATTGAGATCTGTTTGCATAGCACGAGAGCGAAAAGCAAGCATGCTGGAGATGACAAGCCCACCTAGGGCCAGCCTGAAAGCTAGGCGGTGTGAGATAGCTGCCTCAAGCAGCAGGTGCTGAAAGTGGAGACCACCATGAGTACGAATGTAAGATTCAACAGCCAGCCTGGCTAGTTTCTCTATGTGAGATCTGCATGGCGAGGAAGCATCTTAACCTCAAGTGGCAATTTGTTAGCTAGCCCTGTGTCCACAAGAAAAAAAAATCTACCCCAAATGAGAACTGTAGGAAATAGTAACCCCACACCTCCATTTATAACTATACAAAGTTAACATTTAACACAGACAGTAGTATTAGTAGGCAATAAATGACTAATGTGTTTTGAAAAAGACCCAGTAGAATATAAATGAGGCTCTTAATTGGCATTTATTTCCTCACTAGATAATGAAGTGTTAAATTGAGTTTAACAAATGGCAACGCTGAAAAAAATATTTGTGAAGCCTGGAGTTACTGAATTACAGCTTTTCGTCTCAAGAGTTAGTGAATAACTTCATGTGCAAAACTAATTACCATGAACTTCAGCAACACTGCTGTCAAAATGATTGCTTTGAGCTCAGTCTGAAAGTCTGCATGTCCATGGAGCGCAATATTGTACATCAGATCTTGCACTGTGACTTTTCTGGGTGTTGCTCTTTTTGAACTTCCTGGCTACAGTAAGAGGCAATGGCGGACTTGCAAGTCACATTAAGCCAAACTATAGTCTGATGTCAAAAAGCAACATGCAGGTGCACATTACTCAAAAATTTCCATGGTAATCCTTTCCCACTCCTGCTGCCATCATGCTGTGGCTGAAATAAACCAGAGCTTGGCTTGTTGCACTGGCCAGACCCAGTCTCATGGTATGTTTCTCTCCAAACAAGCCCCACGTATTAAGCCCAACATAAACCTTGGTTACAAACCACAAGCCCAGCTTCAAATGACACAAGCCAAACTCCGGCTTGTTTTGTACACAACAGGGCAGCAGCAGGAGCAGTGAAGGAGAACTGGAATTTTATACCTCTCTCCTCAATTGCATTTAAGGACAAATGAAATCCTTTCATATTCTTTTAGTTTGGAGGGAGGTAAAATACAGGATTGCCCTCTATCTCATGAATATTTGATTTATATTTGGAACCACCGGTATGGGCAACTGGAACAGAATAGGGCGATTTATGGTTTCGTTTACGAGCAAGTGGAATTTAAATTAGCTTTACATGCAGATTATTTATTACTCTTAACTAGTATTTATGTCAGAATTAATAACAACTGATAGAATTTTAAGGTATACAATTAATTGGTTAAAATCTGCATTAATGCCAGTGGACGTCAAAGCATAAAAGACTAAGCGTGGTCAGAGAAAATTGTTCATGAGGAACTCTCCTTGGTCCTGAAATGAGCAACGTGCCTTGCTCTATCATGCCCCATGGGCTTCTCATCAGAAACAGAACAGAACGCATACACAGGAGCAAATTTCTCACCTTTTCCCGTTCCTGAAGAATGTGGGATACTGTTGCCATCATGCAAAGTAAAATCTGCAAAATCTCGGGCAGGTACTGGCTGATCAGATGCCCCATGTTTTTCAGTACTACTTCCAGGCTGTTGAAAAGGCTATGCTGCCGACCCAGAGGCAAGACTCGAGATAAATCGAGTTCTTCCACTGCCTGGAGCACTGCAGAGAGGCAATCTCCTACCAAAAGCAAAAAGGAGAAGTGGGGTGGGTGGGAGGTGGCAACAATAGTATCATCTTGGTAATAATGCTACAGAGATTGAAGGTACTGTTCAGTTTTGGTAGGTGCATTTCAAGATGGACTATCCCACTCCTAAAGATACAGAAATTAGCAAATCAATAATGCCTAGGCTTCTGTTGCAATGCTATACCCAATTTTAAGAAGCAAATTCTAGGGAAAAGCAGCAGAAGCAACATATGGTTTAGAGGGCAAAAATTAGAATGACCCCTTAATGGATGTGTTTTGCCCTTGGGAGCTAAATCCCACTAAACATAGTGCTGCTTACACTCAAGTAAGCATTTAGAGTATTGCACTTTAAGGGATTTTAGGTTTTCACAAACAAGATGAAGAACTAATGTTCCCCACTATTACTAAATGTAAAAATAGGGTCACAAGGAATGTTCAGTGGCAAAAAAACACACTTAAGACAAAAGAGATCACAGTTCAATGTAATGCAGACTCTATGTGTAAAAGGTAAAGGTAAAGGACCCCTGGACAGTTAAGTCCAGTCAAAGGTGACTATAGGGTTGCAGCGCTCATCTCACTTTCAGGCCGAGGGAGCTGGTGTTTGTCCACAGACAGCTTGACTAAGCTGCTTCTGGTGCAATGGAACACCGTGATGAAAACCAGAGCGCACGGAAACGCTGTTTACCTTCTCACCGCAGCAGTACCTATTTATCTACTTGCACTAGTGTGCTTTTGAACTCCTAGGCTGGCAGAAGCTGAGACGGAGCAAAGCGAACTCATCCCATTGCAAAGATTTGAACCGGATTAAAATATTCTCAAGAACCACCCAAAACAAATATAGCAAATAAATCAGCTGCCCGAGGAATCATCTCCCAATTTCCCCCCTAATTTTCCAATCAAAATCAGCAATCCATTCTCCTTAAAACTCTCAATTCAACTCTCAAAGCAGCTTCATTATCACGCATGATGCCCAGATACATGGTTTTAACACCGAAGCAAGTTAGACATGCAACAAAACACTGTATTTTACAGTTCAGGCTATAAGCTACAAAGAAGCAACAAAATATTGCAGTGTATCGTCACCTAGCGTACTCCTTTACTATTGGGCCCTTCCTAGCTTTGATCCTGTTGGGCTCTTACTAGCCACGTTCGCCATTAGATAAAAAGTTTCTCGTGTACAAGCCATACCATTGCCAAAGTGCTTCACAGGCTCAAATAGTAGATCCAGGAACATCCTAATCTCTTCAGGCAGTGAGCCAGCAAGGAATCTCAATACAATAGCCATGCGTGTCCCAGCGGCTGACTTCCCCTGTGTTTTGCTTCCAGTTTTATTTCTCATCCGTCCATACAGAATCCTTCCAATACCAAAAATAAAGTTATTATTATTTTCACAGGTTACCAGCCTGCATACAGAAGACTTGGTCCATTGGACCTGTTGACCTTTTCTTTTCTTACATAGAAAAGAACTATTACACAGACTTAGAGAATGCTTCCAAGCTGCCAGAATTGCAATCATAATTTTGGCTGCAAAATGAGAGCTATCATAACCCACACGCTCCCGCCATTTAGTTTTGATTTTTGCCTGTCCTACCCTCCCAGCAACCCTGTGAGGTAAGTGAAACCAGCTGGTGATGACTGGCCCAAGGCTACCCAATGAACTTCATGACAGACTTGGTATTTGAATCCAGACCTCCCTAGCCCTAGTTCGGGACACCACTCTGGCTCCCAACCAAGATAATTACTGACGCAATTTCCCAGTGACTTGATTGGAAAGTTTCTTAACCATTTGGAAGAACTCCAATGAATAAGGACTCACTTAACTTACAGAAGACAGTTTTCCACACACACACAAAAAAGTGGCTTAAGTAACCCATAGAGTATTTGGAATTCACAGTGAAACCTGAGAAGCAGGTCAAAAAATCCAACCATCTTCCTGTTGAAGTAGGCCCATACATTGTCATATTTCATTTGTAAAGACCCATAAGGAACCTATACAGACTTGATGTCTAAGTTAATATACAGAAGCGCCTTAACCTCATTAGAACAGGAACAAGCTCTGGCCGGTGCAGTGCCTTTACTGTGGTGTTTTCTTCAGAAATGCTGAAATGAACTATTTCTTCCTTAAAGCTCTTGTCTTCCAGCAGCCGTTCCAAGTTCTCCCTGTAAGTAGATAATGCAAGATTAAGAAAAAGATTCTCTACGCAATATCTTAGAAAACAAAGGCACAGATCCTAGAAACAAATTACGTTTATGCTTGGCGAAGAGAGCGCCTGTCAAGAACATGCATGTGTGAACACTTACGCACCATTTGCTCTGGCCATGATATATTCTTCCTATATGATGGCTGAAGCAAAACAAACAGCCAAATCAAACTGAGGATGCAATCTAGCGAGAGTTCCTCCACCAACTGGAGGCATCCATTAACGCAACAGGGATGGAAAGAATTCCCAGCAACTCCTCCCCTGCCCTTCTTGCATCACTCTGTCTCCCCACCAGCTCCAGAGGATTGAGGAACCCCTGGAGCAGAATTTGGGGAGCTAAGAGGGAGGAGCTAATGTCTTCCATCAGCAGAGCAATATCCACTGAATCCCACCCATAGAACTTCTTACCGGTATGGCAGTAAGTGTGGATGCTTGTAAGTCATGATACAGTCAAGAGCTACTTTTTGCACACTCTGGTCTTGATGAGACAGCAGCTGAAGATAATGTTTTAGAAGAAATAAGTCAGAAGAAAGCACACATAGGCCAGATTCCAACTTATATTGCTTTAGTAAATCCCCTCTCCCCATAGGCTTTTATTTTTCTGAGATTGATCTTGTGCCCAGTCACACTTCATCCCTTTGGCTGGCCTGACAAAGAGGAACAGGACAGGAGAGCGGTAAACAAAGCTGCCTGCAGTCATTTGCCTTAATTTTGCAAGATGCTTAAGAGGTTTATTCTACAATCAAGCAGTATGTAATATTTGTGCAATAAATAAATAATAAAATACATGATTATTGGGGAGCAGCCCCTCCACAAACACAGTAAGAAAATTTGAGAAGCCCTGGCCTTACACAGAGATACTAAACAGAACACAATTTCCACTAATCCTTAACATTGTCCATCATTCCAATTGTAGGAATTTAACTCTGTTAAAAAGCTTAAGAAACTCATTTATTCAGAATTTTTCAAGAACAACAACAGAAAGACAGTTTAGTAGCAAACATTGGTGCAGGTTAATCAGGGATGACGTCCACAATACCACATTGGCAAACTTAACTGCTTCAAAAGATAACATATATTTTGCACAAGCATGCAAAAGGGATAAATAGCAAGTTCTACCAAAACATTTTGAAATTGGCATGGTCCTTGCAGGACAACAACTACACACACATCTAAACAAAATTAAAAAGAAGCTCAGAAGTTTCACCTGAGTGTATATTTCATTCAATTTTGCTTCTAAATACAATGCACGTGGATTTGAAAATTGGGCAAACAGTTGCAAGTGGGTGATGAGCTGTCTGAAAAACAAATTGGAACACAGAAGTTAACAGCAGAAAGCAATTGTTCTGAGTCATCATTAAAAAATTTGATTTTCGGTAATGATTTAAAAGAAAAAGAAGTAAGTCTACTGAAGCATGTTCAAAGGCTGTTGAAAGCTAATAAAAACCAGGGTTTTCAACACAAGTGTATCACTCAGAAGCTCATCTTCCCTTTGCTGAAAGGAGGAAGAGGAGAATTTGGGAGAGAAGTTGTAATAAGTCATCCTAGTGATAAAAAGTAGGCAGAATTGATCCAAATCCCCAGCTTCTAGCCATTCACAAATTGACTCAGCTTCTCATACTATCCTCACCCAATGATCTTTACTTCTTCACACATCACAATAAACCATGGTTTGCGGCTTACCATGGTTTACCATGATCAAGCAATAGGGTTGTGTACACCACCAATCTTTCCTGCTTCACTCATCCCCTGGCACAAGAGGAACAACTAGGAAACCACTGTTAAGCTTGGCCTCCTGTTACATCCAAGTACATGGCAACTTCCAGTTAGCCTTAAACCACGGCTTGTTGCTGACATGGATTGTGGCCAGTCCCAGGTTCAGATGGAATGTAAAGTCAAGCTAAATTGTGGCTTCCTGGTTAATTTCTTCTGCTCCCACCAAAGGAGGAGTGGAACAGGACCTATTAGACAGTGTGCAACAGTGTAAAACCATGAGCCAGAAATCATGCTTATCATGATGAGTGAACACAGCCTGAATCTAAAGAATATGCACGTCATAGAAAAATTGTTATGTTTATATAATGCTATGGCTGCATACATTTGCTCTGCAACTGCAGCACAACCTTTAGAGCTAAATAGCAGCAAGTTAATTATGAAGACTTACTACTTGTGAGGCCGTTACTTTGTGTAACAGGCCATTTTCTCAAGGATAGAACAGCCCCTCAAGAATACAGGAGTTGGTTGTCTCTGTCATAAACCTGCCACAATCTATGTGCACCAGAAAGTAAAGAATTTATGCTCTAAAGTTAAACAATAGTGGAGGGCCACTGACAGAGAAATGACCCTGGGGTCAACCTTCACTAAAGATTCATTAACACTTGGCCCATAAATCTTTTACTTCTTGAGTTACTGATATAGGTATTTTAAAAATTCCATTGAGGAACAAGAATTTTTGAGGCTGGAGTTCTGTCACAATCAAGAACAGCATCACACACACACACACACACACACACACGGACTCTCTCAATCCTGGCCTACAATTCTCAACAGAAAATCATAGAATCAAAGAATTGTAGTGTTGGAAGGAACCCTAGGAATCATCTAGTCTAACCCCCTGCAATGCAGGAATATGCAGCTGTCCCTTACGGGGATCAAACCTGCAACCTTGGTGTTATCAGCACCATGCTCTAACCAACAAATGCAGAATTTTAGCACTACAGCAATGACCAGCCAGAACCAATCATGATTTGCGATCTTTCCATCACTGAAAGAGCTTTTGTTCTTTGTTTCATAGCGTGATTAGTATGTTCTCTTGTTACATAAGAGGTGGGGATCTTTTTATAGTTTGTGGGCCATATTATGGAGCTGTTTGAAAGCCCTCTGGAAGCAGCCTTGGACTGCCCCTTTCAACCTTCAATTTTTGATGGGCCATTCATGGGGGAGCAAGAACCACAAGTCAAATTACATTCAAAAGTGATCTTCTTCACCTTACACGTACACTATGTAGAAGAATATAAGTTTCACCACCCCAGCCCTCCTCTTCCCAACCTGATCTTCTCCAATATTTGTGGGACAGAAAGTTTTCCTTCTCTGTAACTAAGTAAAGCTTACTTTGATGCAGCTCTTCTAGTCTTCTTTTTTGGCATCTCTTCCATCACTGGCTCTTCAGAAGTCTCCTTCTCTTCCTCATTCTCATCCTCATCCTTCTCATCATCTTTCATGGTTGTTGCATCTCCTTCCATGGTGAGGTCTCGTTTTACACTGCTACTGCTTTTCTTTCTAAGGTCTTGTGCTGGAGCTACTAGTGAATCTGCAGGATAGTATTCGTTGCTGTAAAAAGAAAAGCAAGAAAACAAAAAAGGGATGGGCTAGAACAGGGGTCAGCAATCTAAGGCCCATGGGCCAGAAGCGGCCCGTGGAGGTCGTTTGACTGGCCCATGAGCCACCCCTGAACTGAGCTGCCCGCTCGCGCGCTGCGCTAAACCGGCGCAGCATGGCACAGGGATTCGCTTCTTCAGTGCCGGAAATCGCATCTGCCCACATGCAGATGCTGAAAATCGCGGGCACGCTCGCTCACACACACGCACAATCCGGCCCACAGAGAGATCTCCGCGGGACCGATCCAGCCCAGGCAAGATAAACCTTGCCACCCCCTGGGCTAGAACTCCTGCAGCCTGTTTCTAGATAGGCCTTCCTGCCTGTTGCCTCTCTCTTTTCGATTTATTCAAATGCCTTGGTAAAAATATATATTTCATGTTGTGATTACCTCACACGTCCCTCTCCTTAAGTCTCCACACAGGCTCCCTGTTATTTTATGCCCCAACCTCAAGCTCCTACTGCTTATATTTAATACTGACATTTAGCTACCTTTATAGCCTCCTTCCAGAAGTTGTTTGCCTGGTGGCGCAGAGCCACAGTGTTTATTTTCCAGGTGGTGTGTTGCTGCCACTCGCCCACTGACCTCTCACCATCATGTCTTCCATTAAGTGGTAGCAAAACACCTGTTGGGGAGCTAGTGTTGCAGCTCCTCCCAACCAGGTAGGCCCTGTTTGTCTGTCTGTCTCTCATCAACTCATGGAAGTTACTAGAACCTTCTATTTTCTGTTGTTCTATTCTTTCCTCTGCCTGGAATGCCCTCCCAAACCACCTCCCTTTTCTCCAACCATTTTATTACCAGAAATTATGTGCAGATCATGGCTAGGGCTAAGGCAATTTCTCGCTAAGTTTTGAGAATTATTAGTGTACATACACACACACACCCATGCACACTCACACAAACGCACATGTCTGCACACAAATATAAAGCGATCCCTGAAGTTGTCTTAAAAATTACACAGGTACTTTCGATAGCATTTAAAACCAGTACTCAAAAATTATTCCCTCTCTGGCCCACCCTCAGTGAAAATACTCACGTAATAAACCTTAAGAGAAGTGGAGAGAGTTCTCTAGACCTGGGCTCCACTCTGTCCGGAAATTTTGACATTGCCTTCCAAAGCAACAGCCTAAAATTCGCGTGATCTGTCCTCTCACTGCAGCATGTCTGACATTTCAGCTGCTCAATATACAAAGTTCTGGCGTCTCTTCCATGGATTTCTTCTCCTTGAGCATCCATAATGTCCCACTGATCTTCTTCCAGCTCATTATGTAGCTCTCTCTCTAGAGAAAAAGCAAAAATAAAATTATATTTTATTACTCTTTAGAAGCTTCTGATCATGTATTAGTACAAGGCCTTAAGTTCTATTTACTGTTTTGAAGGCACTGCAGCTAATACAGTACCCCGCTGCTCTTGGAGGGTATGTCATTAAAAAGTGAGAGAACAGATTTATTAGAAAATGTTCCAACAAGCTGATGCAGGTATAGTTAAGACAAGTGGAGCCTAGGGCTGGGCGATGTTGGATTTTCAACAACGCAGAGTATCACCAGCCAAACATCACGGTTTGGCGATATACCATGATGTTTTAAAAAGCTGCATTGGCCCCAGCCGGCAAGATGCCAGGTGAAACTGCAGCAGCTCTTATCGTGGGAGCTGAGGCACTTTCACCCCAGCACCTCACAAGCTGTGGCCCCTTGAGAGACCCACAGCTTTTCACCCCATGTATAAAGCTTGCTGAATGTCTTCAAGCACACATAACATTTGCATAGAGCAGAGGTAGCTATCATGGTCTCCTCCAGGTGCTGTGGGACTACCATCAGCATGGCCAGTGGTCAAGGAAGGAGAAGCCTTGCTCCCTCCACTGCATGTAGCCTCTCTATGCCTTGAAGTTGGACCAGTGAAAACCACTAGTTTCTTTTCTTAGGAAGAACAAAAGCAGCAAAAGGAAGAGAGGAAACAACTTTGAGACACTTGAACACCTCCCATTCTGGGGCTGAGAATGGAGTGGGAGACGAGAGAGAAAAAAACTCTCCTGAACTGTATGAAGTAAAAAACCCCTAGACTTAGTTCATGAGCAGCTCTGATCTTGGCTTGACTATTATGAAGCCATTAAAGTTGCTTTCTCTTACCAGCATAAATGACGGCCTTTTCCAAATGTTCGAAGTAAACTTTCCAAAACTGTTTGTTTTCCATTTCATTTGCATGAGAGCTAATTTTAAAAAAATAAAGGGAGGGATGTAAAATTGGGCAACTTCAGCCTATAAACTAAAACTACAAATACTACTAGCATAAAGGAAGAAAAATAATACCAGTCAACTAGGAGTTGGCAAAGAAAGTATATAGCACTGCATTTCTAAGCTGGGCATAGAAGAGAGAGCTGTTGATCCCTCCTCTGTGTCCAGCATAGAAACCAAAGTACTCCATTACTCCTCTGCCGGCCCACTCACTCCCCAGCATGGAATATCATGCACTGCTGCTTGCAGATCTTGGTCAGCTAGGTCTACCAAGATAGCGCATAAAAACAAGGCTGTCCTATTTGGTTCACTGACACTATTAAGGATCTACAGCTTTCTGATATTAGTTGATAGGGCTTCCTTCTGGTCATGTGAGAATCCAAAAGTGCTTTGCAAAATGTTTGCAAAGCAGAAGACTAAATCTTGTAAATCAAGCAGTGGCCCTTCAGATGTTGATAGGCCCCAACTCCCTTCAGTCCTGGCCAGCATAGCCAATGGTCAGGGATGATGCGAGCTGGAGTCAAACAAAATCTGGAAGGCCAGAGGTCTCCTATTCCTGTCATAAATATACACTCCTATATGGGATAGCCATTCTCTTCATTATATGGGAAGCCTGGAATCAAATTTTAACTCAGCCATTGCTTTACTAGTGGGCTTCAACAACCCATTCTGCTTCAGGTTCAGTTAAGAATGTGTAAAATGAGAACATTGAAAACTTATATTTATGAACAAGATACAGAAATGTTTTGCACTATAAGCCTTAGGAAGCAGGGAGGACATTTTCTAAAATAAGGAATGAATTTGACCCAAATGCATGAAGATGCAAACCATTCACTTTTAAAACAGGACATTCAGCAATCCAACCAGAAATATGCCTTGCAATTAATTTAATTTCCCCACCTATCAAAATACACATAGAAATCTCACCCAGATCTATTTTATTTGTTTATACAGTTTTTATTATTCAGGAGTGGGAGGAAATACTTACGCTATAAGCTCAATCACAGGAACCCACAACGGATTGAAGTTGATATAAAGCATTCCCAGTAAATACCGAAGAGGCACCTAGGATAATATTTCAATATGGGGTTTTTTTTTGTATCTTTAAACCATCGTTAATACATTTATTAGTGGTACTTATTCTCACAAAACCAAACATTTCCATTTAACATTTACAAACTGTTAATTTACCTGGTCCCTGTAAAAGTTCTAGTAACTCAATTGTTCTAGTAAATCAAAAAGTTTCCTCTCATTCTACTGTGACTAAGGAGAAAAAGCCTCAGAATATTAAGACTGGAGCAATATCAATGGCCTGCTTCACTGAAATGGTTTCCCAAAACACATTCCCTTGTGTTTTGTAACAATATGTAAATGAATTATCCGTCTCCTCCTACAGCAGTGGGTGACAAAGTTCTTTAGGATGCCACTGCAAAGAAGGAAAAGCATGAACTGGCCTTCAATAGGTGCTCGGTGCATGGAGACGCACTAGGTGTATTTTCGATTCCCCTCCACACATAGAACAAACACACAAAGAGGGATTGGAATCATTCTGTCTTTTCAAAAAGAAAAATAGTACATACGGTGAAAACAGGCTGCAAGTACATAGGTTTGCACTAGCCATTGGGAATTCTATTGCATCAGGTTTCCTGGCTGCACATGTAATTGTGCAAGTTCCTCTGAAAATGTGTGGAGGTCAGAGGGTGGGGTCCAGGAGACCTTGCTTCCCCCCTCCATGAATTACATCTAAGATCTAGTGAAGCACTGCATCAAACCCACCCCTTGTAGTCTGTGCAATATACAGACCCTCCCTCTGCAAGCCTCTGGCCAGTTATGACTCCTGGTATTATGCTAATGGACTAAAGACAACATTTGGGACAGATCAGAAAGACAAGCTAATATTTTACAAATGCAAAAAATAGACTTGGAGAACAGTAAAGGGAAACCAGTTTTTCTTCAAAAGGAAAACAAAACAGAACCCTCTTCAGCTGTAAAAGCACAGCTGCTAACAGAAACAAATCTCCCTTAATAGTTTTCATTTGTTTAGCAACAGCCAATTCAGAAATATAACTCACTGCCCACAGTTTTACATAGACAGGGGCTCCCCCATGTTCTTAAACAAAGGAGAAAAATAGGGCCACCTTTGTTCTGTGCATGACACGCAGGACCTGGATCTCAGCCACTACAGCTAATTTCTTTCTTGAAACCAGTTATCAAAACGCCCACATGTTGTTAAGCCTATTATGATGAAGTACAAAAGGAAACTCAGTCTGTACGTGACCTTGTTTAGCAAGAAGGGAAAAGCTGTAGCATGTCCTTCAAGAATGACATTTTACCTCCTGTAAAGGTCCCGCAGGGGTCAGGGATTGGACTGCATCATGCCTCAGCTTCCTTAGGTGGAGCAGTTTCTCACGATAATCATTGATGCTTGCTGGCACAAGTTCAGCTTGAAGCAATATGGCAAATACAGACTGAAGCTCCCCCACGCCCATATCCTTAACAAAAGCAAAAGAAACAGCTGGTGTTACAAGATTTATGTAAAACAAAGCTTCGTGGAATATTACGAGTTCCCTCACAGCTGTTAGAAGTCAGCTGAGGATCAAATATACTGTATTCACTCGAATTTAATGTGCACCATTTTTGGCCAAATTACGTTGCAAAAAATTAGGCTGTGCATTAGATTTGATGGCGCATTAGATTTGACTGCAAGCTTAAAAAACACTGCTTACATAGCAAATACTTTTTTGGTTTCAAGGTTTTGAACACTGAAGTGCGCATTAGATTTGATGGTGCATTAAGATTCACATAAATATGGTATCAAAAAATGTACAGCAAAAATGGCAAGACAGTAAGAAAACAACAACACACCCAGCGACTGAGCTGTAGTGACACCAAATAATCATTTTCAGCCAGGAAAAATACACCACTCCTCATTTAAATTCAAGACATTCCTATTCACAACCACTCCCCTCCAAAAAGACAAATGTCTAAAACTCTTATGTTTCTCCTACACTTTTGCATAACTAACTAAGCCCTCAGTAAGCAGAAGATCTAAAGCTTAAATTACCTAGAAAAGAAGAGCCTCACAACAACATTCAACGAATTATGTAATAGTAAAACAATACAATGTTTTATCTCCCAGTGAAATCTTAGCTACTTGGGCAGCACCCGGACAGCATTATTTTACATGAAATATTACCTCACTCCCCACAGGAAGCTGGACATCGAAATGATTTAAAATCCTTATTGTCAACAGTCGTACCTATCAAAGGGGAAATCAGATTTCATTACATTTTTCATGCTGCAAAATCAGGTATAATGAAAAGGATGCAACTGAAAGGTATTAATTTATCATTTATTTACATAAAGTATTTTGCTCCTACTCCTTAGCCAAGAATAAGCTCCCAAAACAACTTACAAATATCTTACAAACATCTTTTAGCCTTAAAATCTAAAACATGTGGCACATAAGTAAAAGAGATTGAGGGGGGAGGAGGAAAAAAGCGAACTCGTTTTCTTTGAACGACCAGCTGAAATGGAAGTTCATTGAGAAGAGGAGCCTAAATCGGCTGGTCTCTCAGCTGAGGGGATGGAGAAGCCTGCAGTCCTATGACAGACGTTCCCTGACCAGCTTCTTCATTAAGGAATACTACCTCAATAGTAACTGTTTGGAAACACAATGCATTCAGCAAGAAACTGTTAGAAAATAAATGTTACCTTGGATACACTGCTTGAAATATTGGCTTGTAATTTTAAAAGCAATTCCATCAGACTCTCTTGGGACAGATGTTTATAGTACCCACACAATGCCAATCTTGTACAATAGAGATCAGCCAACAGCAAGGCAGATGGGTCTGAAGGAAATGCCCTGGGGAAAAGAGGCACGTTACTATCAGTCAATATATAATTAAATACAGTGGTACCCCTAGTTGCGTTCACCTCCGGTAACGTATCCTTCAGGATACATACGTGGCAAACCTGGAAGTATTTTTCCGGGTTTTGTAGCGCACGCATGAGCAGAAGCATTCTATGCGCCGTGCGCATGCACAGAAGCGCTAAACCGCGCTGCGCACATGCGCAGAAGCAGCACCTCCGGTTGAGAATTCCTCAGGATGCGGCCGGACCTCCAGAACGGATCCTGTTCGCAACCAGAGGTACCACTGTATAAGCAAAAATGGATGAGAAGTAAAATATTAATACTTAACGTGTGTGTTATTTGTCTTTAACCTGAAGCAAACTGTTGATCTGGCAATATGGTTAGAAATACCTCAACCCAATGATTACTACTGGCCAATGCACGCACTCTAAACTTTGGAAAACACAGCATTAAACAAGCACACACAAGCCCAACATATTGCTCCGTATATAAAAGGCAAACTCCATCTCCCCATTACATACATCAACAAAGTCTTTATGCGTTCCACTGGTAACAGATCTAGAATTTCCAAGGATTCTGCTAAACTAAGCAGTGTGCTCACAGCTTGGCAGACCACAAACAGGCTTCCTGGGAAAACAAAACAGGAATAAGTTATATATTAATCCGTACTTTATGACTACACCCTTGGGGAGCGCTTTAATTTTAGAAAGTCTATACAAAATGCAAAAGACTGGCTGCTTTCCCGTGTAGTGCTAAATAATGGTTTGGTGCACCATGAACAAGCTGCAATGAGGACTTCTGCAGAGATCGGTTTCACTTTCAAAGAATGCTGGTTTTACCGACCATTGCAGAATAATGAGAAATTACTTTAAACAGCTCACCTTTGCAAGGCTGTCCTGTCTCAAGAGCAGTGAAGAGATACTCAGCGTAACCTTTAACTTTTGGTAGGATTTTCTCTTTGACAAGCGGCCTGTTAGATACAGAGATACAAACTTAACACAGCTGCAGTGAAGTGTAGAAGATAAAATCTAGAAAAAGTTGCGCATCCTTAAGCACTAATTAAATAAAAGAAAAATGCTATGTGTGTTTACTCAGAAGCAAGTCTCAAGTCTCACTAACTTCAATGGAATTTACTTCCACATAAGTGGATTTAGCCCCCGCCCCCACAAACACACCCTGTGTCTTGACTAACCAGGGCTAGAATGATTCAAGCATATGTACCGTATTTTTCGCTCTATAGGACGCACTCAACCATAGGACGCACCTTGTTTTAGAGGGGGAGAACAGGGGAAAAAAATTCTCCCCCTCTCTGCTTAGCGCCCCTTCAGCGAAGCGGCAGGAGAAACAGAGCCCCTTCCATTTCTCCTCCCGCTTGGCTGAAGGAGCGCTGCGCAGCTCTCCCTCTCTGCTGAAGCCAGGAGAGTCTTGCTCTTCTGGCTTCAGCAAAAGGAACCCGAAGCCTCCGGAGCGCAGCAGGAACTCCCTCTGCGCTTCGGAGGCTTCACATTGCTATCACTGAAGCCAAGGAGCCTGCATTTGCTCCATAGGACGCACACACATTTCCCCTTAATTTTTGGAGAGGAAAAAGTGCATCCTATAGAGCGAAAAATACGGTAATCAAGCTAGCCATGACACCATTCACACAATTAGCAACTGCATTATTTGCTTCTTTCATGTAACTTTTAGGCATGGGGTTTGCTATCTTGAAGTGAGGTAGTGGACTTTAATCCTTTGTCCCCCTTCCACTGCAGTCCCAATCTAGATCATGGCAAATCTCCACACCCCCCCATCCAAACCACAAGTGTCAGGGGCCTACTCTGGCTTGTGACTACAAGAAGGGGCAAAGGGTTAACACCTCCTATACTCACACAGCAGGATCCCAATCCAGATCAAGCCTCCTGAAATTTACTTTTTAAAAGGCACTTGTCTAATGGCTAATTGTGTGATTGCCATTTGATCTGTTTCGGCCCTAACAATGGTCCCAACACCTACTGTAAGGCCAGTACTTCGAGTCATTGCTATGTAAACTTCAATTTCTATTTCAACTTGAGAAGGAACTTGCACACCTTTATGAATGAGCTTGAAGTCAGGTTTCATTTATTTTAAAATATTTATACCTCGCCTTTGCATATAAAAAAAGTTTTTTAAAAAACCAAAGAGCAAATCACCAAGTCAATCAAAACAGCAGACCAAGGAACATAAACAGTTGAAAAAAACAGCAATAAATATTTTAAAAAAAGTCCTAAGAGGCCTTTTCTAAACAGAGAAGTAGGCTGGCCCTACTGTTAGGTAGAATGAGGCAACTGCCTTGAAGTGGCAGGTGCCGAGGGCTGGAGAACACTGACACAGTGCTGGGAAACAGCACCCCATTTGCCAAGTGCCTTCCACCTCTTGCAGAGCAATACCCACTGCACCTGAGAGAGGCTGTCTTGCTTGCAACATAGAAGGAAGGTATGGCTGCCAGTGCAGTCTGGTTTTTTTGTACATGGAGCCCTTTGTCTCAGGCAGCAAAGCCTCTTGGGCCAACCTTGTAGCAAACGAAGGCAGAAGGCCAAAAAAAGGATGGGAGCAAAACTGATCTCAAGGACAGAGAATTTCAAAGCTTGGGTGTGGCAATAACTATAGCTTGCTGCACTGGCTAACTGGGATTAATTACCTGACAACCTGGTTCTACAGATTCAGTGGATATAGCAGTCTTTCACTGTAAATTCCACCCATCTTCAAGTTATCCTACAATTCGTGAACTAAGATTAACATTTTCAGGACTATTCCAAGTGACATGGGGCACTCTTCCCCCTCCCCTCAAACAAAAGCACAAAAAACTCTAGCCACAATACTTCAAAATCCTGCAACCCCAAAAAAGTGGTTGTCATGGCAACAGAAACAACCACTACATAAATGCCCTTGAATACTAATGGGATATGGAAATACAAAACAAGTTTTCATTGTTGTTGTTTTTAACTGTACATCTTTGGATTTGAAAAGAGTTCATTTTGATTAATCCTTTACCACAGCTTAAAACTGGGCTGACCGGAAATGCCAGAAATATCGCTTGAGTCAGCAATATATCAAGGGACAGCCATGAAACAGCGAGTGGAATCAAGATGTGACCCAAGATGGTTTGCAGTATTGCAAAGGATGCAACTCTTGGGTCTCTTTCTTTCTTTCTTTCTTTCTTGCTTTTGGCACAGTCACTTTGTTCCAGCAATAGGTTTTAGGGTGTGTTACTGCCTCTGTCTTTGTGCTACCAAATTTTTTTTTTTAAAAATCCTATCACAAAAAGGTGTTGAATCTTTAGAGGAAAGATGCAAAAGTTTTCTTTTCCAGGCCATCTGGGCTTTCCATAAAAGCAGGGTTTTATTTCTATATCCTTCCAATGTCACAGTAGACACCCCTAGCTCATTTGCTATGAGCACCTAACATAGAGAAGAATAACTGCACTTGTTTGCTTTGATAGAGACTTACAAATCAGTGACCCTACATGTGGTCTACTTTTATAGAAACAAGTTAGTAAGTAAGCGCCTCACATATTCACCTTATGTGAGGAAGTACCACAAGAGCTGCCCAGGGTTTTGAAAGATCAGCCGTGCTTCTGTTTTCTGGTATCTGAATGCAAGACAGAATGTGATCCAAAACAGTCTTCTGTTCTTTCTCTTCAGTTCTTTTACTTCGCAACTGTCTTCTATTCAATCTAAAATTAAATAGATTGTATGCCGTTACAACAGATACATAAGACTGCCTGCAGGGATAAGTAATATGTGGCCTCCCAGATGTTGTTGGACCACAACTCCTATCATTTCTGACCACTGGGCCATCCATGCTGGTTGAGGGAAATGGGAGATGTCTACACGTTCCCTTGTCCTTGGTATTTAAAAGTAGCATAGTTTTATGAATCCAGTATGGTTCAATACTTAAGTGACCAGAATAGAACATTGCAACCTGCTCCTTTCCACAGATACAGCTCAAAAGCAACTGCTCAAGTCACATACCCTTTAGCAGATTCCATAAAAACCAAGGGATACTTCTCAAAGGCCATCGAACCAACTGTGGGAGGTTCTGCTTTCTCTAGAATGAGTTTAGCCAGAACTGCCAAGGCCTCCTCCTGAACCAGAGCATCTTCTCCACAAATGCAGTGCTCAGCATACTCAAGGAGACTGGGAAGAAATTGCTGGAAAGGGAAGGAGACAAGACAAGACAAGGATCGCGCTAACTTCTCCCTCCTTAAGATGCAGTTCTCAAGCTGCTGAAAAAGGGGTAAACACTTCACCTACCTTTTCAAATTGTTCCATTGGAAACATAACTTTAGAAAAATCCCATAGAGAACGCCTTTCAAATCCACCTTTGAAGATCTATTAAAAAGAACATGAACAGTAAATTGAAGTAAATAAAGACCTGGTTCCAGATTCATTGGGATTACTTTGAAGGACAATGGGAAATTCCGATTCCAAAAGATAATCTGCAAAAATCTGTTTGCTCCCAAAGGGAATTGAGACACAAAACTTACGAATTGGGGAACCACCTTATCTGTGGTGTCTTTTCCAGTATTTACTGCATTAGCATACAGAAAAATAGTCATTGATCATGCAAAACTTGCAGACACGCACATCTCTTTAAATGCAGTTGTCAATGAGGCTGCTTGCGTATATGAACCTATGTGTGACAATATGAAACTGCACTCAGACATCTGCCAGTAACTCAGTAATATCTACTCCAACTAAAGGTCTCAGGCGGACCTCTTATGCAGTCCTGCCACCAGAGGGGGCTGGGGAACCTTGCCACTTTGCTATGGCTCTCCCCTACGAAACTCTCTCAAGATATAGACTCAGATTTTTATGGCAAATAGCTTCCAACTACTACTTTGATCCCAGCAGTTCAGCTGCTCAGCTGGGAGGAGAGAAACTCTGGCATTTACACCCAGCTGGATCTGCCTGTATTGGCTGCCAGAAGAAAATAGATTTGTTCCTATTTCCAGAAGACCTATATGGGGAAAGTGAGCCTGTTTGCATATATTCACTCACAGAAAAGGCTAATGTATGAATCAAGTCTTGCAGACCAGGTGCTCAAAAGTGCAATGTTCATAATACAGTATTCAACCGAGTCCAGCCTAACATTTTGTTACCTTTTCAACAATTTCTTTGACCAATGCATCAGGCAATAAGACACTCTCATCAAGAAACAGAACAGAAATAACTTTAAGCAGAGCATCACGACAGGGCACTGAGAGGTCCGGTGTTTCTATCAGTTTTGTTAACGTCTGTGAAATGAAAATATGAACAATTAAAAACACAGAAATTCTGGCAAGAAGAATTCCTGTTTCTATCTGAAGTCATGAGTGCTAGAAGATTTTTGTTTGCTTAAATGAAATCTCTGATTTATAAAACTAGTCAGAAGTGACCTGTACAGTATCAAATTTTTTTTTATGCATACTGCCTATTTACTGAAGGAGACTCTAAGCTGCTAACAGACAGTAAAAAAAACACACAAAAGAATAAAACAGACATTTATTTATTTTTTAAAAAAAGAACAATAACCATTCAAGCAGCACAAAGAAATATAAGAAATGAGCTGGCAAAATTGTAGAATTAACCAAAGGCCTTTTCAAAAAGCTGTCCAGGTCTTCATTAGTTACCTAAAACAGTATAGTAGTGGGGCCTAAGACCACAGTTCATCTCATTTGGAGTCATGCCTATCCCTAAATCTTTTTGATACCACACTCCTTTGCACTAAGAAGAGTTTGGATTTGATATCCCGCTTTATCACTACCCTAAGGAGTCTCAAAGCAGCTAACAATCTCCTTTCCCTTCCTCCCTCACAACTCCCCCTCTGTGAGGTGAGTGAGGCTGAGAGACTTCAGAGAAGTGTGACTAGCCCAAGGCCACCCAGCAGCTGTATGTTGGAGGAGCAGAGTCGCGAACCCGGTTCACCAGATTACGAGTCCACCGCTCTTAACCACTACACCACACTGGCTCCCTTCCTTCTTGAATAATATCTCTGACATAGCACAACAATACAGCAAAATAGTCAGTGTTGTAAAAAAAAAAAAAGTGAATCTAGATCAACAATGAACCCATCAGGTTATTAGTCATAGACCAACAGTTAATCTAGATCAACAGAATTCTTGCCAAGCTGCTGAAGATGACTAATAAATTTCACTTGTAGCTGCACCCTCTCTACCACTAGATCCAAACCCTTGAAATAACCTCAAAGACAAAGCTAAACAATGCTTCCTGCTTTACTTCCACCTTGCTTCATATCCTCTCTCATGCCAGATGTACATGATCTATTCTAGCACAGAAAAGTTTTACTGACCTTACAAACTTCTTCAGGCTGAACAATTTTGGAGCCTTGTGCATATTCTGCTAAGATCAAATACACTTGCAATACCCTCTCAATCTGTTCAGAAGCTTCACAGCAGTTGTCCTTCGTTATCTTTTCTTGCAGTTCAAGTATTGATTTCTATGTGGTTGATTTAAAAAAAAAAAAAAGTTTTGCACCCAAAAGTCAGATTTTCCATAGTTGTTGTTGCTGCTGCTGCTTAACTAGACAAAAGGTTCCTCAAAAAAAAGTGCAACTCAGTTGTTTATAACCTTATTTCTCACCCCATTACTCAGACCACATGAATGGGACTTCATGAAGAACGGACATCTCAGACAAAATGCAAGTTTTGCTTGTTGTTTACAATTACAAGCAGCTTTTTAAAAGTTTTTTTAAGTTTTATATATTAAGGACAGTGTTTTCCCACCCAATTCTAAAGGCAACATTGTTAAAATCAATCAGAGTGTGTAACATCATTCATTTCACTGTTGACAACGGTAAAATAACATGGTTCTGGATACCTGCCACCTCAACACATGACACTCACCACATGACTTTCCCATCTCCTGCCACATACCACCATAATTCAAAGGACGGGAGAGGGTAGAGCCCCTTTCTATTTTAATTAATTACAACTCACTTGCAAGCATCTGAAAAATACACTGAAATGTTCTTTATAGATGAATCCAGCAGCTGACTTTGCCATATGTTCGAAAGCTTCACCAACCAAGTTCCAGGAGAGGGTCACTTCTGTTTCTGTAAGTGGCCCCAGCTTTTTCAGAATTAATGTTATAACCTGTGGGGGGAAATTACATGCATCTTTAATGTTTTAAAATAAAGGTAAAGGTAAAGGTAAAGGTACCCCAGCCCGTACGGGCCAGTCGTGTCCGACTCTAGGGTTGCGTGCTCATCTCGCTCAAGAGGCCGTGAGCCGCGCCATCCGATGACACTTCCGGGTCACGTGGCCAGCGTGATGAAGCTGCAGCTGGCAAGCCAGCACCAGCGTAGCACACGGAAACGCCGTTTACCTTCCTGCTATAAAGCGGTACCTATTTATCTACTTGCACTTAAGGGTGCTTTCGAACTGCTAGGTAGGCAGGAGCTGGGACCGAACGACGGGAGCTCACCCCACCGCGGGGATTTGAGCCGCCGACCATGCGATCAGCAAGTCCTAGGCACTGAGGTTTTACCCACAGCACCACCCGCGTCCCAATGTTTTAAAATAGTTCACATTAAAAATATTTTTCACTCTAACCCTGGTCATAAACTCATTTACTCCTCAATAAACAACTTTCAGCTTAAAGGAGGCTACTGCTGCTTCATGGCAATCTGATTCTTTGTGCAAGATTAGCATTATACAGGGGGAGTCCTTTAAAAGAGGCCCCGTGGATACAGAGTGCACATGTTCCATGGGGCCTCTTTTAAAAGACTCACCCTGTACAACTAGGAAAGTTTTCTATCCAAAATTTTATTTATTTATACATACATACAGTGGTACCTCGGGTTAAGTACTTAATTCATTCCGGAGGTCCGTTCTTAACCTGAAACTGTTCTTAACCTGAAGGACCACTTTAGCTAATGGGGCCTCCTGCTGCTGCCGCGCCGCCAGAGCACAATTTCTGTTCTCATCCTGAAGCAAAGCTCTTAACCTGAGGTACTATTTCTGGGTTAGCGGAGTCCGTAACTTGAAGCGTATGTAACCTGAAGCATATGTAACCCAAAGTACCACTGTAATTCATTCTGGAGGTCTGTTCTTAACCTAAAACTGTTCTTAACCTGAGATACCACTTTAGCTAATGGGGCCTCCCGCTGCTGCTGGAGCACGATTTCTGTTCTTATCCTGAAGCAAAGTTCTTAACCTGAAGCACTATTTCTGGCTTAGTGGAGTGTGTAACCTGAAGCGTATGTAACCTGAAGCGTATGTAACCCGAGGTACCACTGTACACCACATCCCATATATTACACACACACACACACACACACACACAGTTTCTCCTTATGATAACTGTGCCAAGTATTGACTGATTAAATAATTTTTAAAAAAGAAAAAAGAACTAGAGATATAATATTCTGAAAGTCTTCTTGAAATGTGTGAAATAAACTTGCTATTTGTCTACTGAGGGAGGGGGGAATTTAGGGCAAAACAACCTAGACCAATCATCTATGGAAGCAAGTTAAAAATTCACTCCTGAATCAGGCACTTTATAATTTTCCATTTGCTTCATGCACTTGGATTGATTACCGTTTCAGCACAGGAATGGAACATGTTCCTAACGCCTTTGCACGTCTCAAAAATCAGCTGTCCGACACCTTCTACTTTTTCTGGGTGCATTTCCAAGTCATGGAACATCACGTTTAAGAGAACATTTTGGTCTGAAACCTAGGAAACAAAATTACAGTTTGCACCCCTTTTATTTCAATTCATACATACTACTTAGAAAGGCTAATTAAAATCCCTGCCATTACTCTGACCTCTGACACTCCCAGCTTTATATTGGTGCTACAATGTATATAAACTAAATGGAAAAAAGCAGATTTCAAGCACCATAGCATGCATTAGTTACATACTTTACCTGTCCTTCTCAGGAACTTGGGAGTGTCTTCTGATGTTACACTGATCAAGCTTCTTTTTACATTGAGCTGTCCATGTTTTGCAGACTGATGGCTATCGTGCTGTGGAAACCACCAGTTCCCCAGCAGAGTTGCTATCAGTTCAAACATGCAGGAAAGCCTTTTACCCAGGAGCAGCTAGTAATGCAAGCCAAGAGCAAAAATCTCCCCAGTGGCAACCATATTGCCAGAACAAAATATAAACCAGTGAGGTGCCCAAAGCCATTAACTGACCAGCCTAAAAGGTCCAGCTTAAATAGCATCCTAACAATAAAGTAAAGGAGTGCACTATCTCAAAGAGAAAACAGGAAGGTGATAGGTGAAAGAGGATTTGTTTAGAAACTGGTCATCAGATTTCCCAATACATTTCAAACATTTGTGTTCTTCAGGGGAAGTGGTTCAGCATTTGACCAGTAAACTAATGTCAGAAAAGTTACTCCAAGTTTTGCTTTTTCTTATTATTCTGCTATGTGGTGTAGTTGGAAATTGCACCAGTTACTAAGAACACTACAGTTACCGTCACTGTTCTACAACAAGCAGAAAAATCTAACCTACCTAGTGCCTTCTACCTAGTGTCATGTTTAATACATGGCATCTCCATTTAAAAAAGGGGGGGGGTCAGGGAACATGAGAGAGGAAAAACCTCAGAGAGCTGCTACTAGTTAAAGGTAACAATACTGGCTAGATGGTCTCACTCATTGGCCACATTACCACGACTGCACCTTACTGGTCTGTTTGTTTCCTCTCTTGGTCTAACTAGCATGGAGGAGACAAATGGCTTAGCATTCTGTCAAACCAGGGATCGTGGTTTGTTTCATTCCTAAAAAAAGCACCCCACAATCAATAGCAAAAGTTTGTTATTGACTCACTGGTTTTGCAAACCACAATCCTTGGTTTGGATGCAGTGCTGAGTCATGGTTTGTTGTTTCCACTAAGGGAGAACACAGCCCAGAAAGGCGCACCCATGACAAATCATTGCCTATGGTTTACCGTGACATACAAATTGGGCCACTATAAAGCAGTTTCATAGGTCCACTGAACTAAATGGATGACAGTCATTTCCTTCAAACTAGAGGTGCCTAGTAACACTTTGTATTATGTTAAATATTAAAGCTGCAGTGGTAAACTTGGTTTGAACAGAAGGCACGTCTCTTTTTACACTCTCCTGCCCCCGCCCCAACATCACTTACCTTCCTCATCAGGAAGGTGAAGCTTTCTGCTGCAAAATTTCTGATGTGCTCTTTATGGTGAGCCAACAAGGTGCTGTACAATCTGCAAGTACAACATTCAAATATAAAAATAAAACCATGCAGGATCAATTCATTTCTCCAGCAATGCTTCCTGGAATCCATCATCGGATGCAAAGCAAATATATTAACACATATTTTATACTGATTTAATCATGGCCATAGCTCAGTGGTATAACATGTATACAGAGCCTTGCAGACAAACCAATAGTAAACATGATAGGCCTTTTTGCTTCCCTTACCACACTGCCCAATGAATATATCATTTTATTCTCAGTAAATTTAGAAGAGGGAAAGAAATATGCTGCCGATGTGTGCACACAGAATCAGGGCCACTAGCTATCACACTGGTTATAAGAATCAGAGCTGAAAGGGACCTTAAGCTTTTCTAGTCTAACTCAAATAAAGAAGTTTATTTGCTTATTCTGCAAATGATGCAGAATAAGACTTGTGTACTGGCCATGTTGTTGTTGTTGTTGTTGTTGTTGTTGTTGAAAAGCTTACCCATAAATATTGGACATGTCCTTCACCATCAGCCTCCATAAATATTTGTAAAGGTAAGAAAGACAGGTGAAAGTCCATTCTAGCAGCTCTGTGTCCTGGGTATCCAACAATTTTGTAATGGACAGAAAAAAGTCTTGGAAATGAGGATAGAAATCTGTCTGGAGATCGCGAGCCAGCTGCACCACTAAGCTGTATTGAGATACATAAAGCAGGAAAATGTCAGTGGTGCCACATTATAATTCGAACACACACATCCCGTGATGATTTCAAACAATTCTGGGGGAAATCTCACTGTCCCGTGGTCTGCTCACAAGTGAATGTATTTGTTTATCGTATGACCCAGTGTACTCCTGAAGTTCATCACAGCTAACATAACCTCATTACATGATGGCCATAGTTAGTATCATTCCCACTCTGGAAAAGAGAGCCTAGGACTCAGTAGCAGAGCTCCATGCTCTGGCACCGGGGGGCATGGCGCACATCCTGGGGGCATGGCACCCAGCACGGGCGGGGGGGCAGCTGTGATGGCACCCCACTGGGATCGCACTGCCGGGGGTGGTGTGCTCCCCCTGCACTCCTCTTCCTCCGCTAGTGCTAGGACTGAGAAACAATTAACTGCCCAAAGATACCCAATGGACTAAAAAGAACAAATGCACAGTTGGCCTTTTCCCCGTGAACAGAAACTCAGAAGATATATTTTAGATACTGCAGTAGGTACTTACTCCAAGAGAGGTTGAAAAGCAAGACTGTCTTTCACTTGCAGGTGGGTTTTCAAGCTCTGCACAATGTCATTCTGATAGTACACCAGCTGGTTGAAAGACTGGCATTTGTTGACTACCTGCCTGTAGAATGTCACTGTGTAAAAAAACAAACAAAAAAATCCTTAATGATTTGTTTCATGGAGTTTCAGGAACACTAATCTACTGAGTTCAGCAGGACTTACTCCTAGGTTAGTGTGGACTGCATCAGCATTAGGCCCTAGAACAGCCAGCATGCATTACCCGTGCCTTCCAGCTCTTGCTCATATTACAAGGCTCCCAGCTTTGAAGGCTCAAAGCCAGCAGGTGATTAAAAACCATACACCCATGAGTACAATCCCAGCATGCAAGACCCGTAATGCATAATGGGGACACCCCCTCACAGCTCCTAGCATGGCTCACTTGCGTGACAACAGCCTATTCAAACACAGGCTCAAAGGTTAGACCTTTCTGGGAAAGAAGGAACTGACTGTGCATGAAGCTTTAAAAGTGGCTTGTCAGGTCAAATGATTTCTGCGCCAATTTCTCTCTCCATCTCTCTCATACATACACACATATATACACTCTAATTATCATGAGCAAACAAGGGATTAACTGTGGCAAAGCTTTTGGCTGGAAGGTATGACTGGAAAATACTTGTTCCACAAGGAAGAAAACTAAAATATCTATTTTGGAAACAAGAAACTGTTGCTGAAATTTTATGAAAGCTTTGTAAAAGTGAAGAATAGGAACACCGTTAGCAGCTTTCTGCCCCCTCCTCTCTCATTACTGGAAAATGCAAAGCCACAACTGCAGATAGAGTGGAATGACTATAGATAGCACTGTTCATTGAGATCTAGAACCCAGTGCTGGATTTGGGGTGAATTTGCATGGCCATCCAACAGATAAGTGCCATTGTGACAGAAGAAGGAAGAAGAGGAGAGAGAGAGAGAAAGAGAAATAAACATATGGAAGCCTTTTTATTGTGCATAATGGTTTATGCTTACAATGCTATCGGGGTGATCATCCTATTTGTGTATGCAAACATTCTGGGACTGTCAAACAGCTTAATTTCCATTCTGTGCATATCCTGTGATCTCCCACTGAAATCCTGTAATTTTCCCTAACACAAAAATTTTGCCGAGGGGGGTCTCACTTTTGCTGCACTGTCAGGTACACAGCATTGCAGTAGTGTTGTGGGTACAGCACTGCCAAAAGAACGTTAGCACATCATTGCTAAGCCTGATCCATTCTCTCTTCTCCAGCTAATGCTGTACTATTAAGTGTAGTGTAGTGTAGTGTAGAAGGGCTAGCCTATGCTGGTATAATGCCCCTAATCATCCCACGTGGACCACAGGTCATGATACTGCACTGATGCACCACTGATGGGATTGGGCTACTGAAGAACTTGTGCTGCTTATATCAACGTTAAGTTAAACAGCAGGAAACATCAACAAAACATCCTGCCACCTCTATTCTAGCACTGAAAATTGCACAAAAATCAGCACAGGAAGAGCACAGCATATTCATCTGATGCACTCCATGTTCAAAATATATTCATATCACTAACTGTATATTAACTGATAGATTGTGTGCAAACCCTTAATCCCTACATACATTTCCAACAAAACGGCAACACTTTTATACAACACACAATGAGAAGTATTAATACAAAATATTTTGGAGAAAAGATATACCAAAATGGCGAGTAAGGTTCAGCTCCCTCCATTTCTCGAGTCCTTCGTGAAAATATGTTTCAACCTCCTAGCAAAATCAAGAGTGTATATTAGTTAAAATATATTCGTATGGAGCAGTTCAGGCTTGATTACTGAATGAATGCTTAAGTAAAAAGCCTTCGTAGGGTGGTGCAATATTTATGAGGTATGAAGCGCAACTGAATTATTCCATTTTTCATTTAAACAGTTACACAAGTGTTTGCAAAACTGGAGCTGTTACCTAGAAACAATTATAACATTTGAAAATATGAAATTGTGAAAAGCATGTCTATTCTTATACAGCTGGTAATCACATATTACAATCAGATGGCCATGATCCAACAACAGTGGAGCTGGAGGAGGGGCTGTACAGACAAGATAACTTTCTGTACCTTCTCTGGATTAGAACTGATGTGTGCAAATAACAACTCAATATATAAATTCAGCACCCCAAATGGACAACCAGACCTGTCGTAAGACTACACCACTTGAAGTTGCAAATGGGTGGTCCTATGTTGGAATGCTGCCCACAAAAGAGAAGATATATTTGAATGTTCATCTTACTTGACCTATAATATCTAGTTGCAATCTTCAGAACCACCCTGTAAGGTAAATTGGTATTACTGTCCCATTTCAGGTGATGGGATGGGGCAAGGTGGAGAGACAGCATCTTATCTCAGGCCACCTAGTGATTTGACGATAGAGGCAAGATTCTAATCAGGGCCATCCTGAGTCACAGCTGAGTTTCATAATCTCTATACTAAATGCACAATCTCTCATGCAGAAAGACAGCATGTCAAGGTTCTGTGTATAAACTTGTGCCTAATTTAAGCACACATTCATATTTATCATTACAGACTGCAAACAGTCCAAATAATGTGAACAAAGAAAATGAAGTATGTGTTGAAGTTTTCCCCATATTTTGAATCATTCTTTTCACATCTCCAGAAACAAAACATGTTTGAAAATAAAAGTAACTCTGACTTACATACACAGGTTAACAGCTATTTATTATTTTCCTACTACACAGGACTCTAGGTAAATTCACATACTATTGCTGATCTGTTTCAGCAACTGGGTTGCCTGGCTGCCACCAATACAAAAAAAAATGGCTTATGGACAAGACAAGAGCAACATAAAATGGACTGTATCCAACAAAGTCATCCCATTTGCACAAGGACTGAAATGCACAATTGAACTTTTCCTCCCTCTCCTCTTCCTGTGCTCCTCACCTGAATTTGTACACAGGGAGGAGGAAGGGGAAATTCCACTGTGCAAGCATAAGTCCTTGCATGAACAGAACAACTTCACTGGATACAACCCAACGACCTTGACCTTGCTCCCATGACTCTCAATACACTATGAGTGTGGTTAACAAATACAAAGACAGAACATTTATTGTTGATTTTGAAAGGAAAAATATTTACTATAGCACTGGTAGAGCAACACCCTAATCTCAAAGGGCTGGTCTTGCAGGAAATGTTGACAAAAACCAAAGGTCATTATTAATTTTATTATATATTTCATAATTCCTAACTCCCAGTAGACTGGCCACAAAGCTGATCAAAAACCACAAGCATAACAGAACAGCAAGAGAAAGGAAGCTGATCCCCATATGTGTTGCATTAACTGCAGCCAAACCACCAGAAGCGGGAGGGAGGGTCTGCATGCAATGTACTGTTTCAGAATTGCTGTTTCAGATTGTTTCAGACTGAGATGTGGCATGATGGTATACAATATTTCTTTCTGTAATAGTTCCCCATCTGTACAATGAAAATAATTGTTATTCCCTATAAGGGCTTTCTAGAGCAATCATACTGCTTTTGTCAGGGCCTAACAAACTGATATAGTGGAGATATTTAAGCCAGAACTCAGCTGTGGCAGTCCCTGTATTGATTGCTACAAGTTCAGATATAACCAGTGATGGTAATTGTAAACACAACACATCAGGCACATATTCTATCAATGACTACCTGTTTCAGTTCCGAGTATGCTGCTCCCAGCAGGAAGCTCTCTATCTTTTTTTAAAGGGTCACAACTTTATTGAATTCAAAGGATCTGCAGTAAATTAGCACTGTAGCTAATTAATTAGCCACCCCAGTGCAGGTAACTAGATCAAAGGGATGCGAGGATGTACAATGTCTACCACCCTCTTCATCCCATGTCAGGTGACCCTACCGTGGCTCAGAACTAGGCACCATCCTGTAACTGAGCTCCCAGCACCTCAACACCCACATCCAACACTGAATAAGATAACACCTAGACAGATGAAAAACAACTACATTAATCTTACCTCAGCATAGCTCCCTGTTCTGTCAATGCGATGAATAATGTCAATATTTACATTGCTTAAGCGTTCTGAGAAGGTGAGAAACTGTAAAAAAAAAAGTAATAAACAAACAGGAGTTTCTTGGGGTTTTTTCCAGTTATCTTTGAGACATCAAGCTGACAAGAAGTTGCCAAAGAGTAAGATTTTATATGGCTGTCCCTTCTAATGATATTTCATACATAGTCACATGGTACTGCCCATAGAATTGAATGACATCAGACTCAAATGGGACTGACAGCTTATTTGAAATCAGAAAATGTTGTCTAATCTTCTGTACTGTTGCAGGATCTTCCATATTCATAGTTAAGAATTATCTGCAATTTGCAGTGCTAGAAGCACAAGAGACACACCACAAATAAGTTGAAAAACTTGCAGCACTTCACAAAACTACATAGTAGGACAAGGTAAGGTTTCAGAGCCAAGCAGAATATTTTAAGAACACTGATTGTTTTCCTGCTGTTTTGTTAGCAGATGAGTGGCAAATGCTACACACAGTTACTATTTTGGACTGCCCAGGGCATAAGCAAGGTTTTTTGTGTGGTGCTGTTTGTTTGCTTGCAGTAACTACAGATTTCCAAAACTTGTACAGGAAAGCAAAAAAGTTGCGCTGCTCTCCAACTTCTTTTGCTTCTGTACCACTCTGCTCCAATGGCTTTTTAGAGTGATGTGTAACTGAATATCAAATATACTATTTCGCCAGCTCGACGAACCGAAGCGCTAAGCCGAGTTCTTAAAAGGTCCAGGTTTCTGATCCACCCCACCGTCCCTTATCTTACCCTGTGCGTGTTCTCGGACTTGTGAGAGGACGATTTGGTCTTCATGCCTCCGTGAATTAGCAACAAACTACCTTCTGAATGATGGAGATTGAATATTTTAAAAGTAGCTACTTTAAGTCCGCTCGATTTTCCAAAAAAAGAGACACATATACACACGTGCGGCACTATTAGCTGGGGGCTGCCATTTTGGCTAAAGGATTCTGGGATGAGGCTGTCACGTGAGGCGGGGGGGGGGGACGACGACGAGTGAAAGCTGATTGGTCTGTGGAAACTAGAAGGGGCGGAGGAATACGACGCCCGGGGAGGTGGAGTTTGCAGCTGCAAAATAGTTTGCTTCAGAAGCAGAGAAAGAAAGAGTCCAACAAATAAAAAGTGTGAACGGAAAAGCTGTTTGCGGCTGTACAGTATATACTTCCCTAATTAGCTATCAGTCGTACTCTTGCGTATTTTGTATTTCTTGTACTTCCTCTAATGCCTTCCATCCATCTTTAGGAGCGGGGGTTGTGTATTATTTGCTTATATAAGTACAGTATTTGGTTGTGTTGGAAAACCTGCATCTGGCTGTTATAGGAAAGGCATTTTCTTGCTCTTCCACTATCCCGCCTGTTTCCTTTAAAGAACTGGAAAGAATATTGAATGACTTTAAACAACTGGAGGCTGCCTGCGCTTTCACACTGAGCTACCACATAATTGCTGGCAGAATAGCATTTGTATGGGGAGGGGAAATGAATTTTACTCTAGTTCTGGAGACGATAGCACACACTGCAAAGAAATATTTATTGCATTGTTTGTTCGTTGAATAAAAATATTCTGGAAGTCATGAGTCTTGCCTAACTGACATATCAAAATCTTCACGTGTCTAGTGCAGTTACAGAACTTCACGTGTCTAGTGCAGTTACAGAACCCCTGTGGAATCTACTTTTAGCCTTTTCAATATAGAGCTTAAAGTCAGGGCCAACCCACTCATGAGGCAAGATGAAGTGACCATCTCAGGCAGCAGGATCCACAATGGCAGCAGATCCCATGGTGATCTTCATTCCCCTCCTTCTTCCTGATGTAGAACTTCACTCACCCCTTCTTCCCTGGTAGAGGACAGGATGCTGTTTTGTGGTTGCCTCAAGTGCAGAAATGTCTTGGGCAGGCCCTGCTTAAAGTGCTATAAAAGTAAAACCATGCAAAAATAGTTTAACCAGAGCCCATGCTGAGACAACAAAGATTAATACAGTGGTGCCCCACAAGACGAATGCCTCGCAAGACGGAAAAACCGCTAGACGAAGACTCTCGCGGAACGGATTAATTTCGTCTTGCGAGGCACCACTGTATGTCCACAGACTATGGTTATAGGGTAATACCACATTCAGTTCTAAGCAGTCATCTGAACAGGGCTGCAGGAGCACAGTTAGTGCTGACTTTACCAGGTCAATTGTTTGGGCACCAGACACTTCAAAATTGTTCCTGAAGGCTGCATTCCTAACCCTACTTACCAGGGAGAAAGCACCATTGAATCCAATAGGACTTACTTCTGAGTAGGCATGGTTAGGCTTGCATTTATTCTAATATGTTTATCCTAGAATTGTAGAGTTGGAAGGTATGTCAAGTGTCATCTAGTTCGAACCCCTGCTTTGCAGGAATCTCAACTAAAGCATCCTTGACAGATGGTCAGCCAATCTCTGCTTAAAAACCTCAGATGAAGCAGAGTCCACAATCTCCCAAGGGAGTCTGTTCCACCTTCAAACTACTCTTAATGTTAAACTTCTTTTAATTGCCTCTAATTGTGTTATAATTATTGTTTTATATTGTACTTTCCATAGCATGATTTATTTTATTCATACTTGTTGTATACTGCCATGATATCCGCATAGACAATTAATGGTCTAGATTTCTTAAACAAATAATTAATACAGTCACATTCATCTTCTAGGTTCAATGCTGCTGCTGCTGAAAATATGAGCTACCAATATTGCAAAGCTCAGGTCAAATACAAATACTTAGAAGATTACAATTGTTCCATTTCAAATAAAATAATTTAAATAAAGAGTTGGTATTCAGCACAGAGTTAGAAAAAAAGTCAAGTTTAGCACAAGAGATTTTCATGAAGCGTTCAGCAAACACTGCATTGTAAATATGAAGTGCTATTTTTTCAAAGACAGGGTGTACTTTCATCTGTTTCTATTCTGATTAATCATAAAAGGCATAGTGTCTTTTTTTAAAAAAACAAGACCGGTGTGACATCAGAGGATGGCAAGAATGGAAAACCACTAATGTCATGTGAAGAAAGAAAGAACAATCTTCCCCTGAGAGCTGCTGATTCTAATTAGCTTCCTGGTGAACATTTAGCTAAGGAATTAGTTTCCTGGTGAACATTTGTCAGCTCTTTAGCTTACATTAACTTGGAGTTAAGAAACTTGTTGAATCATACATCAGTTTTTGTAAAACTAAAAACCTTATACAAACAAGGATCTAAAACCAAAAGGTTAAAGTTCAGATGGGTGTAACCCATAGCATTAAGAAGGGCATGAAGCATGGGCTTAACTAAATGCTATCTATGTTTTCTCTCTTTCTGTCCCAGAATGTGAGCAGCTTCAGCCCATAATAAGACTTCTTTCTCAAGCATATATTTTCTTAGGGTGGAATGTACCAAAAGATTTATAAACACACCTTCAGAAAATGACATTATGACAATGTTAAATGTCCTTGCTTAAAAAAGAGAGAAACAAATACAAAATAGATAAACCAATAGCTTTTATTGAACCAATATACTACTGCTACCAGTAATAATACTGTATAGGTAGATCTCATCCTACACACAGGTTACATTCCTGGCTATTACATCTATAAGCAAAAATCACATAAAGCCAGAATGACCCTCATGTGGCCACCGCTACCTATTCAAAAACATCACTGAGTGAACCTTGCCCACAGAAGGCAGAGGTGTTTATAAGGTTGAATTCACTGGAAATAAGTATTTATTTATCTGTTATGTACTGAAGTTCTCACCCTGGGCCAGCAGGGGGAATACTGTAGATAGTTTTCACTCAGGTCCGCATATGCAAATAAGGAATTGAAAGTAATGTTCAGTGATTGGATAGTTACAGAAAGTTGTTACTGTTGCCATGTAGCTGAGCTCTATATAAGCAGGTTGGCTGAACCCTTCAGCCCTGTTCTGTTCTGGCCTGTGAATAAACAAGAGCTGTCTGAAGAATTGCTGTGTCGTCTGATATGTTCACCTACAACATAACATTATCCATATTACTCTTCCTTATACAGACCCACCCATACAGACACATCTTTCAACACTCTAAAATTACAACAGCCAAGAGAAAATTCCTTCCAAGATGAGTCATTGGGAACAGCCTTTCCTTTGCAGCATGGTGTTATCAGTATGCTAATGACACTGAGCTCTAATTCTCCTTGAGTCAGGTGAATGCCAAGATGCAGTTATAGGTTGGATAAGGGCTGATAAACAAAAGATTAATCCTCAGCAAGATGGAGGCCCTGTGAATGAGTGGTTCCCAGATCTTGAGACAATGGTTGCAGAGTTTGGGGTGCTACTGGTGCTACATAATATGGGGTGCAACTGTCACCAGAGTTGGCATTGGCAATTTCAAGTTTGGATTAGCGCAGTGTGCTCTACGGGGGGTGGAGGTGGGGGGTGCTTCCCTTAGGTTTGGAAGGTACAGCTGCTGCAGAATACAGCGATTACACTGCTAACTGGAGCATTTTACTGCAGGTGACGCCTCTCCCAAAGAGCTGCACTGACTGCTAGTATGCTTCAGGACTCGGTTCAAGGCGTCATCATTTACTCATAAGGAGCTAAAGCACTTGGAACCAGGTTATGCAGAGGTGGGGAACCCGTAGCCCTCAGATTTATAAGAAAACAGGGTAGCCTAGAGTGAAAGAGGGAGAAGGAAAATAAAAATGGATAGAGCAATAGAAAACAGGGTGGCGACCTTCTGCAAATGATTAGTTCAGTCCTTTGTCAAGGAGGATGGGAAATTGATGTGGGACAGCAGAAATAGACAAAGAGGTGGAAGGAAAGGGAAGCACAGAGAAATGGGGGGGGGGGAGAGGAGACAGAAAGAGCGGTGGAGAGTGTTATGCTGTCCTGAAATGCTACATTTTGGGTCTTGGTCCTGCCCACTGCTGGCATGCAGACCCTGGTGGATTAACTCTGAAGAAAATGGTTCCCTCTATAGAAAATAAAGGTTCTCCATCCTGCCCCCATATTAAGGACTATCACACGGAAGAGGGAACCAGCTTGTTTTCTCTTGGTCTGGAGGGTAGGATTTGAACCAATGACTTCAAGTTACAAGAAAGGATCTTCCTGACTAAATATCATGAAAAACTTCCTGATAGCAAGAGCTGTTTGACAGTGGAACAATCTCCCTCAGAAGGTATTTTTAATCTTTGTTGGAAGCCGCCCAGAGTGGTTGGGGAAACCCAGCCAGATGGGCAGGGTACAAATAATAAGTTATTATTATTGTTATTGTTATTGACTCTGCTTCATTGGAGCTTTTAAAGCAGAGGCTGGAAGGCCATCTGTCATGGATGCTTTAGCTGAGATTCCTGCATTTCAGGGAGTTGGACTAGATGAGCCTTGGGGTCCTTTCCAACTCTACAATTCTATGAAAATGAAACCTGAGTCCAAGTACTGTACTTCATCCACTTGGATCCAGGACACCAGATAATTAGTATATGTTGTCTTAGCTCTGCGATCCATTAGCCATTATTATATTGTATTGCCTTCTCAGATGATATTTTCTGTAGGTGATTTGTAATGTTCTTTTCTGCAACCCTGAACTGTATTTACCTTGAGTAAAATTAAGTGACTGACTCTTCTGGAACCCTATATATAACTGTGTGCTGATAAGAGGGACAGTATAGACCCCTCCCTCAACGTAGCAGCTGTTTCTGTGACAATCTAAGGTGCTATTTTAACCATTGAACCAAAAGTTTAATACATGAAAGACATTTTTAAGGTTTTATGTTGAATGGGGCTATATTTGTCACAAAGTGTTGGATAACAAGACTCATAACTAACATGCTAAAGTCTAATCCAGGCATGGGCAAACTCAGCCTTCCAGATGTTTTGGGACTAAAACTCCCATCACCCCAGCTAACAGGACCAGTGGTCAGGGATGATGGGAATTGTAGTCTCAAAACATCTGGAGGGCCAAGTTTGCCTATGCCTGGAATGCATGAA